GCTTGCGGACGCGGGTGACGGTCATATTGCAAGTGAGTATTGGTATCGTTGTTGGAGGCTTCTAGGATGCGGGGAGGTGGTTCGCGATTGCGTGCACGCCTTCGTTTTCCACAGTTCCATGGTCCCTTGCCTACGTCCTCCTTACCTTGTTATGTTCGCACCAGTCCCTCACCTTTCCATCTTCTTCGCCTGTGCTCTGCTCCTTCTCTACTTCTTGAGTCCCTGTTCCTCCTCTTTCATGTGCACGTCTCCTCCCCAGGTCCTGAATGGGTTGGCGCCGGTCGCGCCAATCTTTCCATGGCAACCCAAACCAGCATGCCGCCCTCCTCACCGCCCTCCGCACGAGGCCGCCAGGGCATGCTGGACGTGCTGGCAATGGAGTTCCGGCAGGAGGTGGCGGCGGCCGCAGCGACCCATGGGTCGGAGGCAGCCGCCGGCGACGCGGGCGCGGGCGCCGCCGCGGCCGCCAATGGGCATGCGGATGAAGGCGGAGGAGGCGTGGGAGAGCCGCTCACCACCGCAGGTGCGGCGGAGTGGATGCATCCGCATCCGCATCCGCACCCGCCGCCACCGCCGCAGCAGCAGCAGCTGCAGCAGCCGCGGCGCAGGTCGGAGGAGCGGATGACTAACAGCCCGAGGGCACTGGGAGACACCGGCGGTGGCGGCGCGAAGGCTTCACCTTCGGCAGCTGGAGCTCCGCTGCAGATGCTGCCGCTGGTGCCTGGTACTCCTGCCCTGGCGGCAACGTCGCAAGTGGGCCTTACCTCACCGCCGGCGGCGCCCGTGCCGCCGATAGTAGCCGGCGGACGCAACCATCAGGGCCATCCAGGGTCTCGGATAGGTGGTGGCGGCGGCGGTGGCGATGGCGGTCCAACGCTGGAAGCTGGTAACTCAATTTCGTTCTCCACTGGCCGGCCCTTCGCAAACGCCTCTGCGTTTGCGGTAATGGCTGGCGGCGGCGCAGACGGCGGAGGCAACACCATACAACGCCGTACAACAACTCCGGAAGCGTTCTTTGCCGTCGCGCCGTCCACTGCGCCTGCCGCCGCTATTGCGACTCAGCCGCCGCCAGAGACAGTGCTGCCGCTAGCGCAGCCCTGGCGCGCTACCTCCGCCGGCACGGCCCGCAGCCTCAGCTTGACGACATCGCTGCCCGGTGGCGCTACTACGGCCCGCAGCGGCAGCGGCAGCCTTCGTGAGATGCTGTACGGCAGCGGCGGCGGCGGAGTCGTACGGATGGAGCGTTCCCTCAGCCCAGGCCTGGGCGCCGCTGGGGCCACCACGGGACAGGTGACCAGGATGGGCTCCGGAGCCCTTCTTGCTGCGGCGGCGGCACGGTACGGCAACGGCAACGGCAACGGCAACGGCGGCGGCCTTGAAGACGAGCCGGCGGCTCCGGCGCCGCCGTCAGTGGCTGCTGTAAGCCATCTAGCGCATGCCATGTTGCTGTCATCATCCTCGTCGGCGCCGCAACCGACGCTGGCACCATTTCTGGGAGGTGCCGTACCCGAGGAACCGATTGCGTCACCTGGAACGACAACGTACGGCCCTAGCGGCGGAGGCGGCGGCGGCGGCGCCGTCACGGGCAGCGGCGCCGCCAGCGACATCAGTCGCATGCTTGCGCCGGTCGGTCCGGCAACGTCGCATTCAGACGGTGTTGTTGCATCCGACATGAAGCATCCCCCGTCGACAGCAGCGACGACCGCTACTCCGGCAGGAGGGACGTCTGAGATTGAACCGCTGACGACAGTGGGGCTGCCGCCGGAGGAGCCGCCGTCGCCGCCGTCACCGCCGCCGCCGTCTCGACGACGTTCACCAGGCGGCCTGATCCGTACCGCCGCCACCGCACTAGGAGACATGGGCCGCAGGGCGCTAGCCTCGTCGCAAAGCGGCGGCTCGGCGCTCCTCGGGCGTCTGCGCCGGCGGGGCAGGACCGCGGAGCCCGCTGGCCCTGCTGCCGCCGCTGACGCCGCCGCTGACGCCGCCGCCGGGGCCTCCGCCGAAACCGCTGCCGCTGCGGAGCCTGCGGGCCCTGCAGGGCTGCTCCCTCAGCAGCCGCCAGAGCAGCGAGAGCAGCATGAGCAGCCACACGCGCAGGAGAAAGAGAAAGAGAAGGAGCGGCTGCAGAAGCAGCAGCGGCAGCAGCAGCAGATGCCGCCGCCGCCTGCAAAGATTAGGAGGAAGGAGAAGGCTGCGGTAAAGGAGGAGCGCCGGAGGAAGCCCGCTGGGGTAACCAGAGTGGCCCTTCAGGCCCTGCAGGTGGTTCTGCTGCTTGGTTTGCTGCTGGTGCCAACTGCCACCGTGCTACGACGGCACATGCGCAGCAGCGGCGCCGGCGCCGACATTGGCGACGTCGTCGGCAGTGAGGCGATGCGGGATGATGGCACGGGGGCAGCAGGCTTGCAGTTGGACGAGCCGAGTCTTGCAAGGTACGGCAAGCTTGTTTGGATCCTCCGAGACCACGCCGCAGAATGTACGACATGGTTTTGCGCGGGCGGTACGACAAGTAAACTGCAGGAAGCAGAACCTGGAGGCAGAGTCCTAATTCAGCGTGGGCAGGAGCTAGCCATGTCGTCTTCGTCTTCGTTGTCGCCTCCAGCGAAGCAACTGTTGGATGCCGTACACTCTGCACAGCGTACGGCGGCAGAAATGTACGAACTCATGGTCTCAGGCTTCAGCGCTGCAGCGGCCGGATTGGACCCACACCAAGACGATGACGGCGACGCCGGCGATGCTCCACGTGACAATGAGCTGCTACGTAAGATTTTCCCACATCAGCGGCCTGGATCCCAGAATCAAGCCGTTCCTCATCGCCAGCAACCCGAGGACTCCTACCTTGAAGAGCTCATGCTACAGGCGGCGCAGACGTACGACAACGTCTGCAGGCTGGCGGATGCCGTACAAGCTCGAGCGCAGCACATGGTTTCGGAGCTGTTCGGCTCCGCAGCCCTGGAAGGCGCCATGGCTAGCCACATGCGGCTGACGGCTGGGGATATGCACCAGAGCTTCGTCTTCTCATGCCCCGGCGCATCCGGCTTAGCCCCCGCCGCCGACGCCGACGACGCCAGTACCAGCGGCGTCGCAAGCCCCTCCGCCGTCGCCGCCAGGGCCGCCGCTGCAGCTTGTACGGCAGAGCACCGCCGCCAGCAGCGGCAGCATGTACGGCGAGTACGTGAGCGATTGCACAAGCTGGGCTTGGCAGCGGCGGGGCTGTCGCAGGAAGCGGCGGCGATGGCAGCAGACCTAGCGGCAGCCGGAGAGGCGCTGTTACTGCATGAAGGCGCTCTGCAACTGGCGTACGAGCACCGCTTGGCGACCGGAAGCCTTGGTTCTGCGTCTGTCGCTGCCGCTGCCCGGAACGGACAAGGGGAACACGAGGACGTGGGCGAAAATGGTACGGAGCAGCTGCAGCGATATACCAGAGCTCTGGAGGAAGTGTACGGGCGGTTACAGCGGGTTGTGAGGGAGCTGAACGGCCACGGCGCAGCGACGGCGGCGACGGTAGCGTCGTGGCGGACTGGTCGGCTGGCGGCGACGGAGGCGGCGCTGGCGGAGCTAGAGGGGACGGCGATGTCGTCGCCATCTGCTGCAGGGATTGCCCGGGACTTTGGACAGCTGTGGGTGGCGGAGCCAGGCCGCGCCGGTGCGCCGCCGCTGGTGCTGGTGGGTGGTGATAGGGTGGGTTGGGAGGTACGGCCTCCCCCGTCGCAGCAGCAGCAGCAGCAGCCGAACGCTGCTGCCGACGCCTCTGCATCACCGTCCGCCTCCGCCGCCGTCCTTCACGAGTATAACGATGACGGGCTGCAGGACCTTGCCGACATGCAACGTTCGGCGGCGGCGGCAGCGGCGGCGGCGCTAGCGCGGGCGGAGGAGCGCGTGGTCAGGCAGGGGTGGGTTTGGTCGGCTCGTCGGGTGCAAGGGCACGGCACAGCTGTACCGGTACGGCAGGGCAGCAGTGCCGGTGACGACGGTGGTGGTGGTGGTGGTGGTGGTAGAGGTCCGATGGCTGTCAGGCCGGCAGCGAGAGCAGCGGCGTGGTCTAGGGCTTGGTGGGATGTCGCGACGGCGTTGCAGCAGTGTGCAGCCTGTGGTGCATTGTCTAGGTGAGGTCCAGAGGCGGCGGCGGCAGCAGCGGCGGTTTAACATCGTCCGAGTTGGGACGTTTGTGGGGGTTGACACTGTGTGTCGTACATGCTTCCATGTGGCTTGCGATTGTTTATGCGGAGGTCTGTGTAACATACGGTACGATGTTGGAATCGTGGGAGGTGTTTTAGTCTGTGGCTTACGTGGTCTGCATGACGATTTGCTGGGTGCGACAAGCCGGAGGTTCGTTGACGGCAGCCCATGCCAGGGAGCCTTGCTTCATGGCAGGGCTGTTGCTGCTGCATACGGTAGTCACAAAAGTGTTGTCATGCTTTAATCCTGATTGGAGTCTACACAATGGCAATAGAGATTTGAGGAAAGGCATGGGTTCGTTGTGCCACTTACGATGGATTACGCCAGCGGCTGGCGTTCAGGGTACGACATTTGCGTTCAGGGTACGACATTTGCGTTCAGGGTACAACATTTGTACCTTGGTCAGGAGCGTGGCTGCATACCGGTATGCTGTCTGGCTACAATACCGTGAGAGTGTGTATGTGTTGTTGTGTTCCTCTTGGTAATGTTGTGTGGCCCTGGGGCCACTGTCCATCATGCAGAGAAGGGAATGAAGAAAGTTAAGAGTTAACCATACGCGTATGTCGCGTGTTTCATGTCACAGGGCGTGACAACTGTTGTGTTGTTTTCAAGTAAGGACTGACGGGACGGGTGTTGCCTTCACGGCTTGCTGGGCGTGTACGGAAATGATTTGTTTGGTTTGCATGGAGCAAACTCTAAGAGTGGAGCTAAATTGGGTGGTTTCGCGAGTTGGCCAACAGGTCGTTGTGATTTGTTGTACATTAGGTCCAATGCATGGCGTGGCGTAGTTATATCCCGGTTATGTGCAGCAATGGTTACAACTCCCTAGGTCCTGGGTGTATGTACTATACCACTACTGGAGGCGCACTGGACGCATTGTCTTGATAACGAAAGCGGGTGGGTGAACCTTGTAACCAAACAATTTTACTTGCCTGAAGCTCCGGTAGCAGTCGGCAGGATAGATGCTCGGACGACATGGAGCATGTGCTAACACCGGTAGCCAACTTCTTCCTCGCACGGCAGACCCATGGGTCCATCGGCCTGAAGGTCCTACCTCCTGAGCGGTTTTTAGGACTGTGCCCAAAGAAGGTGCCGTAGCATGCCAGCCTTGCAATGCACCCTCCTGTTGTGGCTGCCTAGACATCCCAATAAAGGCGCTACCGGTATTCCATCATCGGCAACAACAGCTCCCAGACATCAGAGCGGTGTATACATCTGAGACATGCACATTATCCTCCTGCTCTTGCTCAGCCAATCACATACATGCGTTCGCTTAACAGCTACAGCTGATGCTGTAAGCCAGCTGAACACCTGCTCATAAGTAATCAAACCCTCGAGGGTCAGACATGCCTATCATGCCCACACTGGTGCATGCACGCACAGTGAAGTGCAAGCAACGTTGTATGCCTCATACATCACAGTCGCACTCGCTCCTCATACGGTACCGGTGTCTCCTCCTCGGGTACCTCGGGTACGCTTATTGACGTGCTTATTGACGAGCCCAACTCCCTCCCAAACGGGTAAAAGCCCAGCACCACCGCAACGTGAAAGCTAAGAAATGAAATGGCATCTCTGCAGGCAGCTCCAGCAATGAAATAACCCACAGAGGCTCCAGTACAGGACTCCAAATGCTCATGTGCTTTTCATGCTCCTCGCCACTGCCCTATGAAATTCGGCACTCACCATTGCACCCACCGCAACAAACCGCCCTACAACACCCCACCCCCTGCAGCCCAAGAATACGCGCCTCCTGCTGCCCGCTTACATCCCTCCCTCACTCCCGTTCTCTCTGCAACACAAGCGTCCTCATCCAAACACATGCCCCTCTGCTCAGCTCAACACTGTTTTGCTCCTCCACAGCCTACCACTCCTGTAGACGGTCCTGTCCTAACTCACATCGTAGCTCTTTACTCCCCCCATCTCGACCACCCATCACTCCAACAAAACCCATGGCAGCTGCCCTGTAACCTACTACTGTCCCTCCTGCCGCCCGCCCATCACCACCACCACCAACACCACTACTGCTGCTGCTGCTGCTGCTGCCCCAGCATTGCCGCCCGTGCCCTCAGGTCGGGAGTGTCCAGCTGCACTCGAGCGATGGCGATGTCTGCCCGGATGCGCGCCACCAGGGCGTCCAGCCCGGCGAACCGGATCTCGGGACGCAGGAAGCCCAGCACCACCACCTGGACGAGGGTTGGGAACGAGGAAGAGGGAGAGAGATGAAGATGAAGAGGAAGAGGGAGGAAGAGGGACAGCGAGAGATGGAGGAGGAGGAAGAGGGATGAAGAGGAGGAAGAGGGAGAGGGAGAGGGAGCGTCAAAGCAGCAGTAGCAGGCAAACGAGAATAGCCGCATGCAGCACGCAAGAAGCAAGCAAGCAAGCAGTACCCTTCCGGACGCATGCACCCCCCCCCAGGTAGCACATGCACTCTTGCAATCCGGGTCGCTCAACCAAACCGGGCGCCCTGTTGCTAACCCACGCATAGACATTACCCGGGCGGATCGCTCTTGTTTCCGCTCAACTACACACACACACGCGCACATCCAGTGCAACAACAAGGAACCCGGCTTTGGTTGGATCCAGGATTGGCCTCAGGGGGAGCCTCAGGACGTGCCCGAGACCCACCCAACCCAACCCAACCCACAGCCCCACCTGAAGGTTGCACCCGTAAAAGTCCGAGCCGCCCACGAAATCATGCAGGATGTGGCACTCCACGGATGGCGCCTCCCCGCCCTGGTTCACGGTGGGCCGCCAACCCACGTTGAGTACCACCTTGTGTACGGCGGAGTCGGCGGGAGGCCAGCCGGGGGGCGCGGCCAGCCTGGCCCAGCTGCGGAGGGACACAGTTATCACAGTTACTAGAGTGCTTCTGAAGACAGATGAGAAACAACTCAGGTCGGTACAGTTACACGGCGCAGTAAGCATACCGTAACGTACAGATCGACTGACAGAGCAGCAGCAGACAGCAGGTCGGTCCAGGTGTTCGCATGCATGCATGCAGCCGTGCACCTAAAACCGTAGTAGCCCTGACTGAATCCCCTTTGACTGAATTCGGGAACCGCAGCAGCCCTGATCCTGGTCACCCCTTTTTCCTTGGGAGGCTACCGGCTACTCACCCAAAGTACACGCCCGGTGCCATGCCCGCCAGTGTTTCCGTCAGAGGCTCCGGGTCGATGTTCGCAGTGGGAGTGCCCATCTGGCGGCTGCCGCGACCGAAGCCGCGAACCACGGGTCCGCTTAGATGGATGGGGGAGCGCAGTCGGTAGTTGTACGGCACCTGTACGGCAGTAGTTGTTGCACAGTAGGGTACGGCAGAAGGGCAGAACATGTGGCAGAGTCAACGTGAGTACGGCAGTGCCAACAAGCATGTAGCTGGCAAACGTGGCCTTGAGCATGGGACCCCTCCGTCACCGTCTCCTCGAGGCATAAGGAATCATCTTCTGAGGCATAAGGGAATCATGAGGATCATCCGCGTACTTGGGGTACGCACAGTTGGGACTTATACGACCCATCCTATCCCTCCTCCCCCAGCAGCGCCCCCCACCTGAAGCACGCCGCAATAGCCGCTGTCCGCCTCCTGCTCACTATGGATGTTGACTGGCAGGCCGGCCACGAGACCAGCCAACACGTCACGTGTGGGAGGGTACTTGGGCTGTATTGCGGGGTTACACGGGGAGGCAGACGGGCGGGAATGCTGGTGGATAGGCTTAATGGGTCTTACATTCCCATGTTAATATGCTCCTAAGCACTTTTCCATCTTGCTCATGTTGCTCTAAGCTCTCTCTGCCTCCCTAAGCCCGCACGCACCTGCCACCTGCGGCTCTCCATCTCCGAGTTAACGATGATGGAGCCGCCCGGTCGGATGGTGAGGCATGCCCGCACCAGCGCATCCCTGCAGCAGCAGCAACAGCAGCAGGAGCAGCGGAAGTGGGGCAAAAGGGTCAGAAAACCGGGCAAACAGCTCGGCTTGTTCCCGAACGGGTGGCATACGTTGTAAGGTGGGGTGACCCGTGGGTCATAAAGGGCATCCTGGTTAGGCGCCCGAGTCTACAAGCGAAGACCCTGCTTGTCAACTCCATTCCGTGTAACGCATTCACGCGCGGTGCGGTACCACATGACCCAGAACACCCAGCGTTACCCCCATCATACCCGCATGCCCCTCCACCTTCCCATGTCCCCGGAAGGCCCACGGAATTGGGACTACAGTTGCTCCATTTGTTTTTTCCCATGCCCCCCAGTCCGACTCTGACCCCAACCCGCGGAGCTCCGCACCTGGGAGAGAGCTGCGTTCCAAAGGGCTCATCCGTAAATACCACCAGGTCCGCAGGGCCCATGTAGGCAGGCAGCTCCGTGAAGTCACCGCACCATACACGCACGCCTGCACATGGGAGGGAGCGGGGGAGGGGGAAGGAAAGGCACCTCACGACCTCAGTAGCAGCAGCGCGACTCAATTGCACAGCACGCAGCAGAGTCGCGTGTGTCAAGAGGCATGGCGATATTATGCCGAAGCCTACAGCCCACCATGCCTGCTCAGTCCGACAGACGTTTGGTCCGAGGCGCTCACTGCAAAGGTACGGGCTCCCAGTCAAGCGTTAAGGCTTACCCGGCTCGTTTCCCAGCGTGCTGGCTGTTCCATGAGCCGTCTTGACGACGCTAATGAAGTCGGGCGTCGTATCCACCGCTGTAATGTCCTGCTGACACACGGGCACGCCACAGGGCATTACACGGGCATGTCACAGCACGCCACAGCACGCCCCTTGCATGCGTGCACGCCCAACCCTATGCACTCTCAAAACACCGGATGGCCCCAGATATGTGCACCAGGAGGCGTGTGTGATGGTTTCTGTGCACCGCCGGGTTGGCCCCAGCTGGGCGTATGTACCGGGAAGGGCGCGCCCTTGCTCAGGCAAGGGCACCCCCACATTGCCCTTGTTTAGGGAAGGGCACCCCCCCATGACACATCGCACATGACGAACACTGCGGTACTTGCCTGCACTCCGAGGTACTTGAGCACGTCGATAACGGCCAGAGCTCCCGAGCCAACCACAATCGCGCGAGCATCGGGGCCCAGCCCTGGTGCCAATTTGATGCGCTGCAGGATGGAGGAGTTAGGGAAACGTTGTTTGTCAGGCCGTCCATCAGTGACTTGTGTGTACGCAGTAGCAATTGGATGCTGTTGCGGGTGCCATTGTTACCATTGCGAGCTCCTTTGTGCGCGGCGATGCAGGGCGGATGGACGCCTCGACGGGAACGGCCTGCGCTGAATAATCCGAAGCTTCATCTTTTTTCATTCGGTCTAACATTCAGCTATATAGATTTTAGGTTTAGTACCTTGAGAGTCATAGCCCGGACACAGAGAGCTGCTCGGCTGACTGGACGCGGGCATTTCGCTGATCGTAAAGTGTGGGCACTAGTCGATAAATTAAACCTTTTCATCTGACCGGCAACACGGCCCAGTGAAGCACTCATTCCTAATCTTGCGTCAAGCGATTTTCGCGTGCATTAGACGGGCAGATACGGCTTCTTGTCAGAGCGCAATCGAACGCAAGTTCATTAAATGGTTAAGCTTTGAAGGGAAGAAGTTAAGGAGCTCTAGGCGAAATCGTGCGCGTCAGTTACCTTTCAGTTAACTGTCAGTTGTACGTTTTGCCGCCGGCAACGGTCACGTCAGCACCTCAGGATCTGATCGTCCCACACGCCTTTGCCGTCCATGCTGCTCATTCCACACGCTAAGCGTCAGCAGCCTCCAACGCGGCCGCAAGGTGCAGGCGGTGCTGCTAAGGCACGCAAAGGGCTAAATTCCTGGAATTCGTGGGCATTTTGCAGGCAGTCTGTTATGTGGCTTTAGAGCAGCGTTGAGCACGGCAGGAACAGCTGCGTCAGGTGGAGGCTACACATGACGTAACCCTGTGAACTTGTCGGCCTGCAGACACACCATGTGACCGCTGCTGTGGGCCCTGTTAGTACCCACTGAGCTGACAACTCCAATCATGCAGCCACAAGGGCCCGCAACCTCGTCCCACGATTACAACGCTCGTTAACAGGCTAAACCTGTGAGTTATGCAAACACCACAAGCGAGGAAACATCCTTTCCTGCGGTAACCCTTGTTTGCACCCCAGGTCAACGCTATGAAGGACAGCCATCCCATGCCAACAAAACGCAAAATGGTTCAAAACTTGTTGACAGGTGACGACTCGGCAACGAACGGCAGCCATGCAGGCAAGTACAGACAACAAGAAACCACCAACGCTTAAACGCCAAACCAGTACAGCAGGCTGGCCTGGACCAACCTAGTAGTACAATTACGCTAACCCCATGGGTGACCCATGGGTCTGAACCAGGTGCAATGGAGGCCTCGACTGCAGCCTGCAAAACCGCGCGGCCAGCCGGTTACCCAAAGACACGCTGTGTTGCCCCTTCCCTCGTTATGGCAGATCCACACCGTGCAGCTTGGCTTGACAGCCATGCCGCTAGTACTGGTACGGTAAAGCTTACTTGCCTACAACACGCCTGCTGAAACCAACTCTGGGTCGTATCGGAAGCCATTACTACGGAGGTCAAAAGGAAGCCCAGCCAAAAGCAGCTATCCGTACAAATGCACACACACTACACAGATACACACTAATTGCCAGCCGTCATTGGCGGTCTGAAAGTGTCATGTCCTATCAACACACACTCGGTTAGCAGCTTGTCGGGAAAGACTTCAGCCCATGCTTGAACGGCAGCTGGAAGCACGGGGTACGTAAACTATACAGCTTGCGGCTTGCAACTGTACAACTGTGCAGCAGCATGCACTTCGGTGAGCTTGGGCAAGCAATGGCCTGCCTCAATACCTACCGTACCGCACCCCTGACACCTTTCCTAACCCTATCAGACTTAGGTCACATCTCTGTTCCGCCTACAATGCATACCGGTATATGCCACCACCCACTCCAAGCCCCTCACCACTGTCCTGAGTTCCCTAGCAGTATCCCCTCAACGTCCCTCACTCCTCGTCAACCTCGTCCTCCTCCCACTCCTCCGCCTCCTCCCACTCCTCGTTGTGCTCATCATCAATCGCACCCACCAGCGTTATGGTTGGGTCGTGCTCGCCAGGGAACGCCTCCTCCTCACCGCCGTCCTCGTCCTCCTCCACATCCACCGCAGCCAACATGTCAATTTCCTCAAACTCCTCCTCACCGTAATCCTCGCCGTGTATAATGAACTCCCGGTCATACTGTTTCCGGAAATCCTTAATGGCCAGGTGGCCAGTGCGCTCTAGTAGCTCCTCCGTCTCCTCGATGTAGCGCACTCCGTACGAGTGGTAATCTTGGATAGCAAGCGGATTCTCAACCACCGCGCCGTGGTCCTCTGGCTTGCAGGAAATGCCGTTGTTGACGATGAGTTGGTAAATCTCCTCCTCCGTCCAATCGAAGCGGTACTCGACAGGAATTAGGGGTGCCACGCGGATGTCGCGATGCTCATCCCGCATGTGCGGGTAGATGAGCTTGCCGATGCGGCTCTGCTGGCGTCGCCACTCCGTGTCAATCTCCATTTTCTGACGCCGCTTCTCGGCCATAGCACGCAAGTCGCTCGTGCTCAGCGGCGGGTTGTGTTCGGGCTTCCAGGGCTCCATGGGCGGGTCTTTCCACTTGTCTTCCTCGAACATGTCCTCCGAGTGCGGCGGGGAAAGCCAATTGGTAACATCTGTCCGCATATCCAGCTTGTTGAACGCCTCAATGAACTTCCTCGCACGGCGGACAGCCTCGCAAGACGGAGCCATGTTTCCATCTTCCGTCTCGAGGTCTTCAACCTCCAGCTCCCAGTTCTGATAGTTCCAAAACTCCTGCCAGTCATCAACTTTGGTTATCCAGTCCTCGTCCTCCATATTGGGTGACACAGAATGCTTGGAATGTAGCTGCAAGAATCCATCGTCCTCAGCCACTTCATCCCAAATTGGTGAAGGCGTAATTGTCTTTCCATTTGACCGGCATGTTACTGTCGGTCCTAGCGCTGGTGGCGCGCGCTTGCTTGCGACGCTTCTGTGGTGGCAAACGGGTCGACAAGCGGTCGGCGGCGTGCACCTGCTGCTTGGCCCAGCTAACTGATGCTGAGCCCTCCTGGTCGCAAGCCCGCTGCAATCCATACGGGTGTTAGCTAAAATATTGCAATGTGGAGTAAAAAGTCTAAGGACCCCGGGAAGTTAAAGGGAATAGGCAGCTTGTGTTCAATTATGCAAGTATAGTGTATCGTTAGCACAATTCGGCTTGCGCGTGCTGATTGCTGCCATGGATGCCGTGCTTGTCGGCCGGAACCAATCCATGCATCAGCCATGGCACTCCTGCGCTTTCCTCCTGGTGCAGTAGTGTAATAGCATTCGTAACCATTTATCTACTGTACTACCGGATACACCTTGAACGTCGCGGGCCGTCCCATGGCGTTCGCTTGCGCATCCATACCGTCGGAACTGCTAGGCGGCAGCAACGATGCCTCGTCGAACGGTCAAGCATGGTCACTCGGGCCATTCAAATTTCCAGTCCAGTTTCCTCCTCAGCACGACAGCGGTAAAAGCGGGACTCGTACGCCACCAGGCATGGCAAGCGCCATTCGGCAATTTAAGGAGCTTGTAACCACCGGCATGCACCCAAGCTCCGGCAGAGGCGGGACTGCGAGCACAAGCGGGCCAGCACTGCAACAAAGGGCTGCAGGTCAAAGGGTTGGTGGGATGGCGCTGGAGTATAACGATGATACACCCCGCCTGCTGGGCAAGCGTAGCATCTCCCTCAGGTTGGTCCTGGGCACACATGCGGCATCAAGGAGGGAGGGCGCACAGCCCTTTCCCAAACTCTCTTAGGACATGAGAGCTCGTGCAGGCAGCCATGCACCCTGAATGAGACTATGGGAGGGCTTCTACAGGGCCCTGGAGCAGTGCCCACTGGGTCCCAGCGCTGAGGCATGCGGCTTCCGAACCTCACAGCCCTTACACGTTACACCCCCCGGGCTCCGAGCCACTTGGGCACAACATGCTCCGAGCTACTCGACCTTCACCCTGCCCTGCCATTCCTAGCTTTTTACTGATCCGCCCATTCCTGCCCTATCCGCCCACTCCTCTCTTTCCCGTCACCCCCACCCCTTACCGTCCTCCCACCTCCTTCCTCTCCTCCTTCCTCTCCTCCTCCTCCTCCTCCCTCGCCCCCACCAGGCCGCGCCACCTGCTGCCGCTGTCCGGTGCGGAGCCCCTGTACGACGACCGAGACAGCCGCTGGTGGAACATCAAGGAGACGGCACTGCATGGCAGCTACAGCTGGGCCATGCAGGGTGGGTAGATTACGGTAGCTGAACAGGGTGGGTAGATCACGGTAGCTAAACAGGGTGGGTAGATTACGGTAGCTAAACAGGGTGGGTACTGGACTACAGGGCCCCAAGGAGCAAGCAGCAAGGCGATTTCGGAAAGGTGCAGGGCGCCTACACCGTGTGCTGTCCATGCACCATGCACCCTCCCTCAATCCCACTCCGCCTAAAGCTCCAACAATCCGTCCCACGCTCGCACCCCAACCCCAACCCCAGACTACCAGTCAGACCGCGAGGAGGCCCCCGTGCCGGGCGACTCCTGGCGAGCGGAGGTGCCGAGTGACGTGGAGTTGGAGCCCGTGCTGACGTGTCGGGACCTTGTAAAGCAGGTGAGCTCCGAAACCTGGCCGCAGGAAGCAGGTGGCTGCACGCGGAACTAAGTCTCGGTAAGCGGTAACCGCACGAACCGCAGCTACGGACATAGATGTACACAAAGGAGAGGTGGTGTAGTTGAGCGGAAACAAGGGCACGCAGTTGGGATAGGGCACGCATGGGAGAGATGGTGTGCGTAAAACCAGCGCCGTCTTGCCTCATGCCTCTGACCATTGTACCTGCATACATTCCAACACCCATGACACCCTTTCCCCATCTTGTCTCTCCTGTCGTACCTACACCGCACGCACACAGGTGCTAGTGGACCAGCGGGGTCGCGGCGATGCGGTGCAGTGCGCGTTCCCCGACCAGCCCTGCCCCGCCGGCAGCTACAAGGTCATGGCGTTCACGAGTCCGGTGCCGGCTGATGACCCCGCAGCCAACTACTGCGATCACCACTTTTACGTGCAGCATAAGGACGTCAACATTACGCTGCAGCCGGGGGACAGGCTGCGTGACGTGGCAAGGTGCGTGAGAACGTGGTGGGGTGTGCAGCACCTGTGTGGTACATTTGCTGCATGGCCCGCTTTGGCGTTGAAACGTACACTGGCATAAAAGCGCGGTGGGTTGCATAGGGTTATGGGTTGCATAACGCTTTGCCAACCGCATATGGTGGCGAGGGTTGCTGGCACTGCCGGGGTCGACCTGCAGTGACAGGGCTGCTGCTGGAAGCGAGAAACGTTTTCCAAAACGCTCTCAGTCGCGACTCGTATCACCCGTGCTGTCGCCGTACCTTTTTCGCACTCTCTAACCTATCCTGCCAGGGCCGCTACCACCACCACCTGTCGTGCCTCTCCGAGCTCCCAGCCAGTCACCCCCCTTGCCATCAAGACTCCGTGCTCACATGTTCCCATGCCTTGTATGTGTGTACGACGGCGCTTCTTGCACGGCTGCTCCATGCAGGTTCTTCAAGCTGCCGGTAGAGGAGCTGTACGAGGCCAATCCCGGCTTGGTGAGCCTAGCAGAGGACGCTCCCCTGGATCGAGAGCGAAGCCTGCTGGTTCCAGGAGCCAACGTGTGGAGCCACAAGCCTAGCGAGTGGCTGCCTCCGCGACTGCATGACGGCGCGGGCCGGGCCATTCACAACCCGCTTCGCGCGGTTGCTGCGTACTCGGATGATGAGGGTGAGGTGGCGGAGCTTCCGGCGCAGTACTGTTGTTCCTTCTGCGTGCGGAGAGGGGAGGCCAGGACGGGGCCGCAGCCGCCGGTGGGAGGGGCGCAGGAGTGATGGTGTGTTGGCAAGAGGGTTAAGGGACTATTGTTGCAGCTGGTCTGTTTCCAGGTTTTCCAGGAGAGCGGGATGGGGAAGGAACGGCAGGCTGGTTGTTGTGTGGGCATTGCGAGGCGTTGTACGGTGCAGGTGTCGCTGCGGTGCGTGGAGTAATGCCCAATTAGAAAGCACCGGCATGTAAGAGGGCAGCAGGGGAATGAAATCAGGATAGTTGAACGTGTCTTCAAACGACAGCTGATTTTCGTAGTGAAGGTACAGTACATAAGGCCAAACGAAAGCGCACAGCAACTGCACCTAAAAGAGCAGACTTGCTGCAGCTGGTCGGGGAAAGACACGAGGCTTTGGTATCCAGCATAGGGGCTTGACGTGCAAGCGGTAACCCTTGTGGTGCAATACCAGAACCCATTTAATTGTATGATACAGACGTGTTGCTCACAGCCTCCCGTACGGTATTGTAGCTGTCCACACAGCCGTACAAACTTCGGGATAGAGGTGCTGAGGTGGGATGTTGCATATACCGTAGCTAACCGTATCTAAGCTTGTACGGGTTTTGGTCCAACTTATAACAGCTTAGTAAAGCTTACAAGGGATAAGCCAGCTACCACATCCCAGTAACTCGAGGCTTATTGGGCATGATAGCTCTTACTGAAGAAAGTCTGAGACATGTTTGTACTTTCACCATTGTCGGCGCCTCCTGTCATTATACAAGTTAGTCCTTAGCTAGTCCTTCACAAGACTTCTACTATTTCTACTCCACAAGCTTGTGCGGATATTATGCCAACTTTACGCGGAAGGAGTAGGCGCAATGCCCCCGCGCGCAGCCGTGCCAAACCTACCGCCATTGTTCGGCTCCAAAATGTCGCAGCTGCGTGGTTGTCTAAACCTTTGGCTCGGCGGCTAGCAGAATCCGATTTAGATGTCGCTCTGGAAGCAACTCTTCACGTGGATTTGGCTATGTACACTGTAGAGGCCGCAACTCTGCGGGAGCTTTGGCTGCCCCGCGAAAGCCGCGCTTCACTGCTATTGCTCAGCCTGGCGTGCCTTCGAGATCTGACCAGCCCTGTGGGCCGATGTACAGCATCAAAGCAAACGAGACGTTTGCACCTCTTCGGCTTCCTAGGGCGCACGTTGGCTCACCTGCTACATGGCCCGCATTGGCAGCCTGACCGCCCATTAGACCTGAGCGCAAATCGAGACCTATGCGAAGCTGCGACGGAAACCGCCCATCTGGCCTTCAAAATGGACTTCTTGCCGGCGTGCTGTGCGGCGCTGGCTGCCGTGAGGAACGGCCTTGTTACGGGGGAGAACGGCGGAGAATTAGTTCGGATGGCGGCGAGGTCCATGGGCTGCCTCCTCAAGTTCGCGTATCTGCGAATGACAGACGCCCTTGCTTTCGAGTATGAGCACCTGACGTCGTCGCTGCTGGCAACCCTTTGCCGCCGCAGCTTCGTTGAGGGGCTCGTAACTGAGCTGCTGCACGTTGCGATTGGGAAGGATGGTAGCCTGGAGGCAACAGCTGCAGGTGCCGTCGCCACAGCCGCAGCGGCAGGGGTCAGCGGCGCCAGCAGGAGCCGCGGTACAGAGGGCGGTGGTAGAGGCAGCGGCAGCGGCAGGGACGGGCGTACTACACTTACAGCGCAACAGACTGAAGTCTTTGGTGTCCTCGTAGATCTTGTCAAGATTCTCCAGGACGCCGCATTGGGTCTTAGCGCCACCGGAGACGAGAATGACCCCGATTGCCACGAGCACGAAGGCGGCGGCGAGCCGGATGCTGCCTTGCTCGATAAGCTCCTTCCGGTGTTGTCTGGATCCTGCTTGCAGTACGCTATGGCAGCACACGCCGTGGCGCAGCTGGCGGCGGCAGATGGTGGTACGACATACGGCCTGACGGAGGCTCAGATCCTGCCGCCGTTAACAAAAGACCAACGCCTACTAAACACGAGCATCCTTAGACCAACAATACACCTTTGGGATTGGTGCCGACGGCTGCCGATGTTGAACAGCCGGCATGCCGCGCAAGAGCTCAGCATGCGGGTTGTACGGCTAGCCGTTCGCTCTGCAGCGGAGCATGCGGCCAGGCGGCGGCAGCTAGAGGGGCAGGAGCAGCCGGGACACGGCTGCGGCTGCGGCAGCTTAAGTCGCCACCAGCAGGAGCAGCCGCAGGAGCAGCAGCAGGCGGGAGGGCCCGGAAGCAGCAGCGACGCTGCTCACCATGAGGCCCCACAGGAGCAGCAGCCGCAGCAGCCACTGGCGCTGCTTATGGCGGAAGAGGAATGTGCTGACATGGCCTTTGAAGCTCTTTCCTGGGCCTTCAACTGTGCCAGCTGGCCCATCAGGCCGCAGGACAGCCGTACGGACACCGGCTCGGGCCGCATCCTCGACGCCAGCGCTGTTGCAGTTGCCACCATGTGGTGGGGCACCGCGGCGCCGGCCTTGACAATGGCGATGCGTCACTTTGAGGAAGGTCCCGGGGAATTCCAACGGACGGTGCTGGTGCAGCTCTTGGTGTTGGAGGTTCCCATGATGCCAGGTGGGTTAACTGCTGGGCAGGCGATGCAGGTCCAGGGCGCCGGTGCATGCAAAGGGAAGGCGCCCCATGTGGGTTTCACCTTTTGCGTGACCCACAAAACAAAGCCCTACGAAGCCTTAGCGGGGATAGAACGTGGTTGGGTACCGGTAGTCCGATGGGGCACTGCAATGCGGCACGTGTGAACACCAACGAGTGATAAGCTCGTGTTGAACCGTCAGTGTGAGGTGGCCGCTGCTTGCCTCACCAGCGGCCTTCCTGAGTTGCTCCTGCATGCGGCTGCAGCCACCCGTTCGCCATCCGCCCCCAGAGACGCTCGTCCCCAACCGCTCCTGTCCTAACCCCTCGCTTACCTGGACCTCCCTCCAGGGTCTATCGCCCAGCTCCCGTCCTCACCGCCGCCCAACCTAGCCGCCGCTCTGGCTGCTGGCTACATCCCACTCCTGGAGCTGGTTCTGCGAATGTACGGCCGGACGGAGGATTTTGACCCGTTCAGTGGGTTGGAAGTGCTCTCCTCCCGCACTCTAGGCGGGCCTCGGCTGCCCTGGCTGCTGGCGTACGGCAAACCACGTGACGCTGCGTCGCTGCTCGCTACAGTCACCAAAGCAGTGCAGCGCTTCACGGTTAGCAGAAACGTTGGGATGACACACCCAATGGCACGGACCCTGATCCACCTGTTTCGCGACCTGCTTTGCCTGCTGTCTAGCGGCCAGATGGCCGTCGGTTGTGGCAGCGCGGACCAGAGTGGCAGCGGTAGCGGTGGCAACAGCGACAGCAGCGATGCAGCAGCCGGCATCAGCACCGGCAGCACAAGCAACTGCGTCAGCGCTGCAGGTGTAGACAGGAGCAGCGTCGCCGGCGACAAACCGCCCATTCAGCAGCTGCTGGCACTGGCTGCGCGTGCTGTCCAGATTTGGCTGCCCCTCCTAGGACGCATCTTCCTCAAGACTCCTGTGGTTGCTGGTCGTTGGGCAGCCCTGCCCACCCTTTTCATGGCATGTGTGTGCGCACTGGCGCATGCCGCCGTCAATCAGGACCGGGCGGTGGTGAAGGAAGAAGAGATGGAGGACAGCCCAGTTGGGGAGGCGCCGAAGGCCATTGCTGCTACCGGCAACACCGCACACAGAGACGACGACGTCAGCGGCCGTATTTGCTGGCGACAGGTGCTGCTGCGAGACACCGGCGCAATCCAGCTGGTGGGCGCGGTGCTGCGGGTGTTGCTGGCGATGCCTAAGGGAATGGCGCGGTATGAGGAGTACCTTGACCAGCTGCAAGAGGTTGCAGCAACGCTGGAATGCCTGGCGGCGGCGTTTCCGGAGGAGGTGGCGGCGGCGTTGCGTGATGGCACGCTACCGGGGCCGCAGGAGGTGGCCGTGTTGGGCGATTCTGCATCCGGCACGCAGCAGGGCAGGCTACAGGACCTGCAGCGGCGGCTGATGGTGACATTGGAGGGGCTGCGCTCGGGCACGTCGCTCGCCAACAGCCACCCAGCCGAACTGCCGGACGGCATTAAGGTCAAGCAGGCAACCTCTAGCGAGCTGGGAGCTTTGTTTGCGGAGGCGGCAGCGCAGTGGGAGATGCAGGTGTTGGCAGCAGTGACCCACGGGTCGCCGCTGCTAGTGCGCGACCGGTGCGCCAATCCCTGCTGCGACAGCCTGGCGGGCGAGAGTGAGGCGGAGCTGCCGCTGCCCAAGGTGTGCAGGTCCTGCCGGAAGGCGCAGTACTGCAGCGGGGAGTGCCAGTGGGTGCATTGGCAGGCGGGGCATAAGGAGGAGTGCGGGAATTGAGTACTGGCCAGCAATGGCGGGCTGCATTTGCTGGAACTGTGGATAATCTTACTAGAGCAGCTAGGGTGAAATGTGCAGGAGTGAATGAAGACTTGACGCTGCTGTTCCGTTTTTGACTGACTCGCTGGATGGCTGACTGAACGTTTGGCTGGTGATGATGTGGACCTGGGTTTGACGTAGATTGCGTGTGACTTGGTGGCGTTCATTGTCAAGGAGTGTCTTTTCGCACTGTTATGATATTCGTACGCAGGCAGATATGCATGAATTAGCGTAGGAGGCAGCATGGCAGGGGTTTTTTGATAAGGAAACGCGCATGCGCTATCTTACAGCCGAATCCGGCATCAGTACATATGGTGAAATAGATGCGCCGCCCATATCCCAACATCAAACAGTATGACAATTCGAATGATGATGAGTGGTGTGGCTGTTAAGAATACGGTAGGTACTCATAATATACACGCAATACAGAGCTCACTCTCGGGTTTCTTCATAAGCACACAAGTTCAATGTAAAAAGTACTCGACGAGACGATCTTCACCTCTTAACCAACACGGAACGCACGGTAATCTCACCAGTCCACCAGAAGCCTCCTAAGCACCTTCGACGGCTTCGTTCGCATAGCAACCGGCGCAAGCCCGCCCCATGCATGCCTCCACCAACCCGGAAATGCCGCCAGGCTCTTATCGCGGCGTGTTCAGCTACGCTAGTGAGCCGCCCTCCTGGTAGCAAGCTGCACTCCAACAGCAAATCAATTACCGCCACGGCATACGAAATACGAGTGGAGAAGATAAAACCCAGTATCCTCGTGCACTGATCTCTCTCTTTTGGGCACAAGCTCACTTGATGTCCTTCTTCTACCACATTCCATAACTTAAACACACACGCAACGCTGCGAGCCTAACCTAAGGATGGAAACGCCCATGCAGGCTGTACACCGTACGTAGTACAACGTCCTCCTGCTCTCGTCCGCATTATGGATATAAATATCTCAGACCAAAATCTCACGCTCATCCTTACATCTCAAACCTACTAATCATGTCATCATAACGCTTCTACGCAAGCCTAGCTCTCCAGTCATACCCACACACGCACTCGCTCTGTTGGTCTTCATACCCCAGCTGAGTCGCCCCATAACAACACCCCAACTACACAGCAGACAAAAGGACCATAGCCCCATTCAGCACTGTAGCTATAGAGCAACCCAGGGCTCCGGACAAGACAAGGAAGGAAGCCCTCTTCTCACATACGCCTCTGTGAGGAGGATCCCACTCTTCTATTGTACCCCTTGCAGTCCACATGCAGCATTACGCCGCCAGGACGAGAGAAGCCGTCGGCGCTACTACCAGTGCCGCCTTGTCGCACTGCTGCTGTACCATAAACACTCATAATCCGGGTCACAGGGAGGTCCAAGAGGTCATAGTCGCGTCCCATGTACCTCATATGGCTGGTATGAATGGTCCAGACGAACAGTTAGGTCAATCCAACCCGACCCAGAAACGGTAACAATCCATGACATCTCCCTATAGTTGTACTACAGGATCCGATTTTGGTGATTTCAGCCAGGGTCACCCAAGCAGCATCCGCTGCTGGCTGCGAGTTACACGCTTCCCGGGCGGCCGCCCTTCAGCCGTGCAAGCATCGTTTTGGCGTCCTCCTGTGGAGCGGCGGGTGGCATGCGTTGTGGGCATTACTTCAGACATGATTTCAGACGCGTATTTCAGACGTAGGCCTGCCCTACATGGCCTCCACGCAAACCCAGTCTCCCAGTCCCACTCTCCACAGCCCATACCTTTTGCAGCAACGCATTGATGTCCGGCACGTCCAGACCCATGGCCGTCTCCAGCTCCCGTTCCGCCGCCTGCAGCTGCCCCAGCTTCCAGTATGTACGGCCCAGCTCAACCCGATGGATCAGGTACTCGGGGCGAAGCCGTACGGCAGTTTCGTAGCACGCAGCCGCGTCCCGGTAGCTGCCGGCCATGAGGGAGGTGCCGTACAGCATCTGGATGATGGTACGGACGACCGCGTTGACGCTAGCCATCTCGTAGTTCTGTGTGTTTGGAAGAAGGCATGCATGGAGTTAGGGAAGTGAAGAGGGGGCCGAAGAGTGCAGAAGCGCCGGGCCGAAACATCGGTAGCTAACGGAAGGGCGCCACGAGGCCAGCTTATTCGGTACCCATGTGCCCCAACTAGATGCTACCTGGCGATTTGGGTCACACGCATAACGCTACCGCTGCGCACTGCTTTCCAGCTCCCCCCACCCATGCACCCCCAGCTTCTTACCCATCGCCCCAGCAGGTGGTGCGCCACGTCATTGTCTGGCTCCAAATTCAATGCCGTGCGTACGTCGTCCTGCGCCTGCCGCGCCAGCTGAACCTTGGTGCGGTTGTCCAGGTGGAGCGCTAGCCGGCCACGGCTCACACAGCACGCCACATGGCCAATCGCTGACTGTGGGTTGGCAGCCACCGCCTGGAGGGCCACGTCGATGGCCCGGCGGTTGAGCTCAACGGCGCGTGCGGACGGCGTGCCAGGAACGTACGACATGTCGGAGAGGACTTTGGAGAGCCTGGCGAGGTAGAGGGCGTTCGAGGGGTCCGCTTGGGTGGCCTTCTCGAAGCAGCAGACTGCATCTTCAAGCTGGAGCTCACGCTCAAGGGCGATACCTTGGTCGGCCCAGCGTTGGGCCAGACGGGTGGTGCGGGTGGAGGTGCTGCAGCAGCGCGCGCGCTCCTCGGCACCCGACTGGGAGCCGCGGATGCGACGGAAAGGACGCCATTGACTTGTGCGCTCGAGCTGCTGTCTAAGCGCCTGCTGTGCTCGTAGTAAGAGACCCATCCGCGCAATTACGTGTATTTGGAGGGCACGAACTGCAGATGCCATATCAGCTGGTGGCAAGCTTAAGAATTGCTGCACCTGTCGAGGTAACTGCCGCTGCCGGCGAGGAGCTACCCGAAAACATGCGTCGTCCAACAGATTAGGGATGCTAGCTTGGTGGGCCCAAGCCAAAGGCAGGCTCGCGCGGCCCTCCAAACGTGCGCGTTTTGGTTCGCTTGAGGAACCGGACGTGCTTGCGTGAGCATTGCTGGGAATCCTAGCCATTGCATCGCTGATGCTGGCCACGAGCAAGCAGCCCTGAGCATTGCTTCCACTGAGCTCACTAGTCGTGGCCAGCAGGCCCCAAAGTGTCCCCATTTTAATAGCAATGCCGCAGCAGCTTAAGTAACCCTCTAAAATAAGAGTTAAACACTCAATTTAAAGCAGATAGCAACCGCAGATGCGTAAGAAGTTGATAACGCTGACCTTTTGCCTTGCAAGCGCAGGAGTTGTGGATTGTGATAACGTGTGAAACACTGTGCAGGATAGAGTATACTTCTGGATTAAGTTGCAAATCTATAAGCTGCATTCCTGAGGTAAATGATTTACGACGCTGCCAGCTCGGATTGCGTCATGCGGCATTCAGCCCACCACCCTGATCGCACACCTTATGCGCAAATAATATACTGACCTTCACCTTAGCTTTACGGCGGCTTGCTTTGCTGGATCCCCACCCTAATAACCCAAGCAAAAGAACAACCACCTGTCACTTACAGTTCCGCTGTCCAAACGTTGAATCATCATCTCGGTTGACAATAAGCAGTGGTCTGAGATTACATTTCATCTTTCATCGAACACCATGGTGGAGTACATCGAACCCGGCCAACTGGCGTCCACATTGCGCCATCCGGAGCATAAAGACCGGATCTTGGTGATAGATGTGCGAGACGAGGTAGGAGCGCAAAGCTTGGGCGACGGTATGCCAGCGACCAACAGCCGTGTCCCTGGACTTGACGCTCTATGGGCCGGGGGCGGTCGGGGGCCCTGACAAACCCTACCCGCTCGCTCGCCCGCTCGCTCGTTCCCCGACCCCGGGCCAGTGTCACACCTTGAAACTTTTCCTTATTCAAGTTTGCGTTTAAGAGAAGCATGCCTTAGTACCATGGCTCGTGCACCACTGGCAGGAGGCGACGCTACCGGTTCGCTCTGGGCTCAGATACTGCCTGTGCATCTCAGTTATCTCAATAGCCTATCATGACACTGGCACATAACCCCAGCCACACCTCCACACGCCTCAGGACTTTGCGGGGGGCCACATCCGCGGAGCAGTCAACGTGCCCTCGGACCTCTGGTGCGATGATCCGCACCTGGACTCGCTCATCGAGCAGCACCTGCCCGGCAAAGACATGGTGTGTGTGTCTCTGGGAGCTTGGTTGAGGCGCCTGGGGTTAGAGGGATTGGGTGACTACGCGCGCATGGGGCGCGCACGTTGGTTGCATGTACCGATATGCCAAGGACTGCGGGAGGCGATGAGAGGATCCCGTTTTCAGGGCAGGGCAGGGTGTGTAATCGCGCTGGGGTTTTGCACGAAGTATGCATGTGGGTCGCGGAGGTGAAGGCATGTCCTAGCCTGGGAGCTAAGGAGGGGGTGCCTGAGGTGTGCATGCTCCGGGTTGGGGCTTCAGGGCGCAAACGTTTCCGAGGTTGGAAGCCGCCCAGCTGGCGACCGTACCTGCCTTGCAAAATGCAGTAACCTCAAGCACCATATCCCCTTGGTCTGAGGCGCCAGGCGGATAGCGTCACGTCCGCTCCGGATGCGTACGTAATGGCGCTGACCCAAATGGGGCACCCAGAGGCGGGGCCCTTCCCAGTCATTTGCGTATTGACCCACATCACTTTCCAATTTGACGTCTCGACCCACATCACCTTTCTTGTTGTGTGTGTCATCCTTCCACCCTTCAGGTTGTTGTCCACTGCATGTTTAGCCAACAACGAGGCCCTAGGTAGGTACCAACTGTAGGCAGGGATTGGGAGGCAGCGACATTGCCTGGTTTGGGGCGTGCGCCGCATGCCTAAAGGAGGGGCGGTCATGTGAGCCATAGACTGTGGCTGCCCCTGCTACGCCAGCTGTGCTCTCCAGCAACGGTCCCTTCCGCCAGTGCATGCAACTGAGCAAGCGGATCAGCCATTAACACATAGTGGCCTGCATTCTTATTGTGATGAGGGCTTCCGGACTATTCAATGGCACTCAGCATGGGCACTCCCTTGCCACGCCCCTTGCTTCCTGCCTATCTTAGGTGCGCCTTGCGCCTGCACAACCGGTTGAGCGCGCGTGAAGACCCTTCCAAGCCGTCGGTGTACGTCTTACGTGGCGGATTCACTGGATTTGCGCGTCATTACAGGAACGAGAGCGACTTGGTCGAGGGCTACGAAGGGGCATGCTGACTTGCTGAGTTGCTGAGGCCGTGTCCCGAAGGGCCGACAGCGATACACCGCTGTGATTGAAGCAGATATAGGTGCAAAATGCAGGACTTAAAAGGGGTTAGCCCAGAGCTGCTATGTTATCATGTCAGGCCTGAACCGTGGACCCGAACCGAAACCGAACATACTGCTTGCAGTGTGTTGCATATCCTCCGTATTCCATATATCTATGTGGTTACCTTGCGCTTCATATTTTCGATGGAATAGTGCAAGGGCTGCTGCGAGCTCCGACCATGTATAGTGTACGACGTCCCTGTTCTCTTATTTGCCTTTTAGCTTCTTGTGACTCAGTTTGACATGGCTGATAGTTAGGGGATTGGTTCCCGCCTTGTAAATAGCACAACGGCTCTGTCGCAACAAACCTTGCTTTACTTCGAAGGTTGCCTCTATCCAAGATATAAACAGCAGTATCGCTATTATATTGGACTGGTTTGGCCATATAATCGATGAAGCTAGGCTGAGCCTAATGGATGATTATAGTCGTAGAAGACGCAAATAGAAATGGTCGGGAGCGGGACGCTCAACAACTCGCGCGGAGGGACCTTGAAACATCAGGAATGCCCTCCGAAGGCGACTTTGAAATATAAGAAGTATAATGGAGACGTTGATCCTACGCAGCTTGCGAAGGTAGGTGCATGTCCAACTTCGCACAGGAAGACCGAGCATCCGAAGCCCAGCTTTGCGCACCTGCAGAAACTACCAAGTCAGCAAATTGCAGAGGTCTCGCAGCCTGTGCGCAACGTGGAGGGTTGGCGGCCGCGTCCGCGGATTATCGAGCACCTGAATATTGCAGACTTCAGCCACCATGTGAGGAGGGGAGCCTGGGGCATCCATGCATGGGATGAACGCATACGGGAGGGCGACGACTAGCCTTTGACGGGCCGTGCAACCCCTATCCCACGCGGCCTCCCTCTTAACCCACACCCACTTAGCTAGGCGCGTGACCCCTGAAGGTTGAGTGTACGGTTACTGCCAGTGGAAGGGAACTGCCCTCGCACGTCTGTGCAGCCCCAGTTAACCGATACGGAACTGTACTTCCTCCCAGGTCGACTGCAAGGTGCCCGTGGACGAACCCATCTTCCAGCCGTTCCCCCCGGAGGTGACCTTCCACAATTACGAAGCGTATCAGACCTACGAGGCCACGCTTTACCTCCGCAACAACGACAATGTAAGCGCATTTGAGTTTGGGTCACTGCCAAGACCTACTTAAAGGGCAGGGTTATTGGGTCTCTCTTCAGCAGCTCCAGCCTGGGGTCCTTTGACAGGAAACCCGAGCATGGGAAGCCCGAGCTTGTCCCCTGACGCCCCCCCCTCTCCATAACCCACCAGGTGTCCCGCCGGGTCAAAGTGCTGCCGATGGAGTCTCCGTACTTCTCCGTACGGAAAGCCACAGCAGCGGGCAAGGAGGACAGCAAGGTGGCGACGGGCATGGAGGTGGCGTTCACCGTCACCTTCCGACCCGAATCCCGCGACGATTACTCCTGTGACCTGATCGTCTGCACCGAACGTGAAAAGTTCGTTGTGCCGGTGATTGCCGTGGGTGCCTCCGCAGCCCTGGACTTCCCAGACCTTGTGGACTTTGGCTCTGTGCCAGCAAAGGTGGACACGCGCCAAACCGTGTTCGTACGCAACGTGGGCAGCAAGGCAGCGCACTTTAGCCTCACCGCGCCCCCGCCCTTCAACGTGAGCCCCACTGCGGGGCACCTGGCGCCGGGCGAGACGCTGCAGTGCGCAGTGGGCTTCGAGCCGCCCTCCACGGGGCGCTATGAGGGCGAGCTGGAGATCCAGTACGACAGCGGGAGATGCGTGTATGCGCAGCTGGTGGGCAGCGGGCACGAGCTGGAGGTGGGGCTGTCGCAGGGCGTGGTCACCATGCTGTCCACCTTTGTCACAAAATCCAGCCAAAAGACGTTTAAGATCGTGAACAACAGCGACGTCAGCGTCAAGTATGCGGTGAAGCAGCGGCCCACGGCGGAGCAGGACATGACGATGACAGCACAGCGGCTGGGCACACTCACGGCGTCGGCAGGCATCAGCGGGGGCGGGGGCTATCACTCTCCTACCGGCGGCAGCGGCGGCGGCGCCGCCGCTGACGCCGATGGTGATGCCACGTCAGAGGACGAGGACGCCATCCTCTCCAGCGCCGCGGCGCAGCTCTCCCGGCGGCTGCATAAGGCCCAGCAGGAGGCGCTGCTTGACGCCTACCTCTTCAACGACCGCAACTTCACGGTCAACCCCGCGGAGGGCACCATCTGGCCTCACAGCGAGGTGGAGTTGATGGTGTCCTTCAGCCCCGACCATGCGCGGGAGTACGAGGTGCTGGCTTACGTGGACGTGGCGGGCCGCGCGGAGCGCCTGCCGGTGGTCTTCAAGGGCCGCGGCTTGGGCCCTGCAGCAGTGTTTTCCTACGATGTGTTGGATGTGGGTGACACCTGGGTCAACACGCTGCACCAGTATGAGGTGGAGCTGCAGAACCGCGGCAAGATTGACGTGGAGTTTCGGTTGGTGCCGCCGGGGACAGCGTTTGGGAGTCGCTTCACGTTCGAACCCTCGCATGGGCGGCTGTCGGGCGGGCAGATCCAGATCATCAAGGTGAAGCTGCTGTCGGACCTGCTGGGCGCATTCGATGAGGCGTTCTTGTGGCAGATCAAGGGCAGCAGCGAGCCGCTGAGCCTGCAGTTCAAGGGCCGCGTGTGCGCGCCGTCGTTCGAGGTGGACGTGGAGGGGCTGGACTTTGGGGTGTGCTCCTACGGGTTCAGGTGCGCGTGGGCGGGGTTGACGGATGAGAGGTTGTGCTATGGGATGCATGGAAGGGTTGAGGAAAGGGTGGTGGAGCGTGTGGAGGGAATAGTTAAAAGGACTGGGATAAGAAATGGCTATACACGATGTCAGGAAAGCATCGTCAGGCGCCGAGTGCAGTAGCAAGGTACCGGTACGCGTCGTTAACCCATGCACAGACAGTCTAATATTGTAGCGGCCCATTTACGGCTACTCTGGACATGCGTCCATGCCTACCGCCGTACAGGTACACCAAGGAGTTCATGCTGACCAACACCAGCGAGATCCCGCTACGCTTCTCCTGGCGGGTGCCCACGGACACTGAGGAACCGCGGGAGTTCCAGATCCTGCCCGCCAAGGGCACCATCCTGCCGCATGGGCGCGTCAAAATCAATGTGGAGTTTGTCAGCAGGACGGTGAGTGTCAGAGCGTGTGTTTGCGGCCCCTTCACACGCTGGCAATGTGTGCGGTTGACGCCCTCCACGCGACTGCCCGCGATCATGCAAAGGAGTGCCCCCTCACTGCGTTGGGGACATCACTCGCGCCTTTGGCATTGGGATTCCCGACTCACTTCCAGGTTCCAAATCGCTAAATGTCGTCCGTTTTGACCCTACCGGTATTTGGCCCACAGGTTCAGCGCTACCGAACGGAGCTCGTCATGGACATCCCTAGCGTGGCGGAGCGGCAGCTGGTGTTGCCGCTGGTGGGCGAGTGTGCCGTGCCTAAGCTCAGCCTCTACTCGCGGACCATGGAGTTCGGGGAGTGCAGTCTGCGCTTCCCGTACAAGCGGGTACGTGACGCTGGGCTAGAGGGGCCAAACGAAGGGTGGCATGGAGCATACGGTGCATGTTTTTTTATGGATCTAGTTCGGCAAAGCAGCCTCCACCCGTAGTTCATTCCTTGCGAGGTAGTCATGGATCAACACGGCCATGCATGCTGCTTACCATACTTCCCGCACGTTACGCCGGCACGTAAGGCCGCCATAGTCGACTTGTAACTCCATTCCGAACCTCCCGTGCGCTGTGCGGCGCGTCTCCTTTACCCTTCCACCACCGCAGGAGATGCGCATCATCAACGAGTCCAAGCTGCCTGCGAAGTTTGAGGTGCTGCCCCAGGAGCATAACTCCCTGGGCCTGGCCTCCTTCATAGTGGAGCCCTCCTCAGGCGGCATCCCGGCGCGTGGCGAGCAGGTGATCGAGCTGACGCTCACGACGTACACGCTGGGCCGGATCCAGATCCCGGTGCGCGTCAAGGCGCTTGGATCCAAGGCGCCGCCGCTGGAGCTGATCCTGAATGCCAAGTGCATTGGGCCGCAGCTTGACTTTGGCGATGACCTGGAGGGCAGGTGAGGGGCCCAAACATGCTGGATAGCATGCAGCATGCTTGCCTGGACCCATACTGCGAACCGTGCTTAAGGCCATGCGTGGTGCTGGTTTTCGCAGCACCGCGCATGGTGCTGCGTGAACCCAGCGCGCCGTGTGGCTTGGCTTGGGTTACAACTTACACATCATGACCCACCGCCCGAAAAGCTTCCACAGCTGCTACACATGCTTCATTCACCACCATTGTGCCGGGTTTCCAACCCGCACCCTACCTTACAACCCGTATGCAGGACCAGCACACCCAGCATCGCCTTCGACCGGGTGCCCGTCCTCAAGGAGCACTCCCTGCCGCTCACCATCAACAACATCAGCGTCATTCCCGCGGATTTCAAGCTCTTCATAGAGTCCAAGGACAGCGTGTTCAGCGTGGAGCCGCGTCAGGCCCACCTAGACCCGGGTGATAGCTGTACGGCACACGTGATGGTCAAAATGGACGACAACATGGACTTCGCGGACACGCTGCATGTGCTGATCCAGGAGGGCGCGGACATGTCCATCCCGCTAACGGCAAGCGGTGAGTGTGGCGTCGGGCGAGCAAGAGCAGCAGCAGCAGCATGACGGAAGCTTGCATGTGCCCGGGCAGACATTGTGGTTCTTGCTTCCGTTCGTGCACTTGCCGCGTGGGCCCCTTGGATTTTGTTGCATTGCCGACTTGCCAATTGCACCCAACGGCTCACCGCCAGTGTCGAAAGGGGCAACGCTCTTAACCATATGTTGCTCACAACCTTGTAATTCCAGGTACCGGCAGCGCCATCGTGGCGGAGGAGCTGGCCAGTGGGCAGCTGGACTTTGGCTACCAGTTTGTGGGCCGCCCCTTCACGCGCGACGTGACGGTCTACAACATGGGGCGGAAGACGGTGCTGCTGGCTTGGAGCTCCAACAGGTGAGCTTGGTGGTAGCTTGCTGTGGTTGCATAGCTGTACCCCTGTTATGCCACTGCTAGGGTTGCCCGTTTTGTAAAGGCTTTTACAGCCATACACGCGAAGCGCTTTAGTCAGTTCGACTAGCCTCTTTTCGGCATCTGGTAGCTCCTGGCATCGGAGGGCTCTGGCTCGTTGTGGCTAAGGGGTTTGGCGTGTGCTTGCCACCAGGTTTGAGGAGCTGAAGAAGGAGTACGCCAAGGCGCACAGGGGCTCAGGCAAGAAGTTTGACCTGGCCCTGATGCCGCCCGAGCAGCACCCCGTGTTCAACATCACTCCCGACAAGGTATGCCAGCGCACCACGCCCCGTTAACTTGGGTCTCAGAATGCCTCGAAAGTACCGTATGCACACCACCGCTGCACGTGACCACCGTTAGGGCGCGCTAGCCTACTTGCCAACCCTCTTTTCGGTATTTCCATACTATCAAGCCATCCTTTGCCTGAGCATGGTTCAGTCCGAAATGTTAGGGACCATTCCTCGCTGGCATCCACTTCACCTCTTACCCCACCCTCTGCTCCTCCTCCGCCGCCGCCGCCGCCGCCGTACAGGTGCAGCTGGGCGCCAAGGAAGCCGCCACCTTCACCATCACCGGCAACGCGCTGGCGCCTGGAGAGATCAAGGAGCAGCTGGTGTGCAGCGGCGTGTTTGGCAACAACAACAAGGCCATCAAACGCGTATTCGAGCCCATCATGCGTGCTGACGTGGCCACACCGCTGCTGCACTTCTCCGACCGGCTGTTGCACTTCCGGCACGTCTACCGCAAGGGGGTGTCTGTGGAGTCTCAGACGCGGCCGCTGACCATTAAAAACATATCGCCGCTGCCGCTGTCGTTCAGCCTGAAGCCCTCGCCGCCGTTTTCGGTGGACCGAGCCACATGGACGCTTGACTTGGAGGAGAGTGGAACGGTCAACGTCACCTTTGATCCCAACTTTAAGGACGACTTGCAGGTATGCACATGGAATGGGGCGGCTCAGCTCCTCAGGTTTTTTCGTGATACTGGATTGCAGCCAGCTCCGAATCCGGACAGGCACGCTATCCCATGTTCACTTCTTTCAGCGCGAATATTGCAAACCCTGGCCGTGTTTGTAAGGCCTTGCTGACCACCCGCTCTTAACACTCTAGACGCCATCAGCGGCTACATCTGGCTGTTGCTGACTTGCATGCGCGCCCCCCTTCTGTCCATGATGACGCCTTATCACACGGTTCGTTAGTCGTTTCCTCTTTACCCCATCTGGTCCCCCTTTCTTCCGTTTTCGCAGAGCCTCCAGACGCGCACCAAGCTGCAGGTGGTGTACAGCGACAACCCGCAGCGCGACTCGGTGGACGTGTACGGCGACATCGACTTCCCCAACCTGGTCTTCGACGCCCACAGCATCGACTTTGGCTCCGTGCTGCTAGACACCACTCGTCGCATCCCGGTTCGCGTCGTCAACACCTCCAACGTGGATGTCGTATACACCTGGGCCTGGGACAAGGCGTCCGTGCAGGAGGACGTGAACTCCATCGCCTCCATGTCGATGCGACAAGGCCGGCCCAAGCCGCCGCCCACGCAGCTCTTTGACGTGATGCCCATCCGCGGCGTGTTGCGGCCGGGCGAGGCGGAGAGCATGACGTTTTCGTTCTTTGCGTATCCGGGTGTGCGCGCATCGTGTTCTGCGGTGTGCCAGGTGGAGGGCGGTCCGTCGTACACGGTGCACCTAACGGGCGAGTCGAACAACATCAAGTATAGCGTTGAACCCCAGCTCATGGACTTTGGCGTACAGCTGTACGACCGTACGGTGGAGCGCGAGCTGACGCTGAGCAACCTGGGCAAGGTACCCTTCACCTTCAGCTTCAACTCCAGCCGGCTGTCCCGTCCGGGTATTGTGGAGGCGGCGCCCGCATCTGGCACCATTGCACCCCTTACCAAGGAAGTCATCAAGCTCAAGGTGTGTTACATGTTGCGTTCATCACCCTCATCATGTTCCTCGTATGCATAGCGCTCCGCTCGCGCTCGCGCGGTAGCGCTTTCATAAATGCTTTGTCGCCACCTTAACATGGAACTACGGGTGGGACCGCCTGGGTCCTATCTATCATGGCCAGCCTCTTATCCTTTGCTCCTTTTGCCGCCGCTGTGCCGCGGATGCTCCTGCTTTGCTACCACCAGGTGTGCCCGGGCATCCCTGAGAAGCTCTCCGAGACGTTGCTGGTGGAGGTGGCGCACTTTGAGCCGGTGCCTGTGCAGGTGAGGACTCATGCTGAGGATGGGTGACAGGGCCCTCCGCGCGTTATAGTTGCCACCTTGCTGCTTGTTAAGCGCAACGCCACCTCTGTTTCCTCGACTAAAAACGACGGGCCGCTTTCCCCGCAACCGCAGGTCACCGTGGAAGGCACCTACGCGGGTGTTTCTCTCAACCTGCCGCGCAGGCGGGACGAGGCCTTCCTCGCTTGCCTCGACAACGCGCGCAGCAACATCGCAGCCGCGACCCTACACAACGCGCCGGTCGACGACAGCGACAAGCCGCCTGAGGGCCTGCTCTCAATGCTTGGCTTTGGCGCGGGTTCCATGCAACGCTCAACCACACGCAACACCCGTGCTGCCGCCCCGGCTGCCGCCGCGGACGCCGCCGCCGCCGCCGGCGGCCCCGACGGGCCCATCATACCAGCGGGGTCACCGGTCTTCGCACCACGAGGGCAAAAGAGCATGGGCGGCGCCCGCAGCACGGGCGGCGCAGGGGATGTTCGCGCCCTGTCGACGCTCACAACCGGCCTTGCGGGCGTCCAGATGTCCAATGAGAAAAAGGCGGAGGTGGAGGCGGATCGGCTGAGGCTCATCCAGCTGCTGCTGGACCGCGATGCGGAGCGCCGACGCCACTCGGAGCGTGCCGCTGCACTGACGGCAGCGCTGGAGGTAGGCGCCGCCGCTGCAGGACAGCCAGGCCCCGCTGTGACGCTGGCGCGTCAGATCAGCAGCCAAGTCAGCCCGGTGCCGTCGCATGCTGGCTCGCGCCGTTCACTGGCGGCTCCGTTGACTCGCGACCCCTCCAGCATGACCGTCACTTCCGTCAGCACGCTGGCGCGGCTTGACGAGGACGGCAAGCGGGTGCCCCGTGCGCCGCCGCAGCCGCCGCTGCCCTCGCTTGCGGCCGCACACTACGTGCTGGACTTTGGCTATGTGATTAAGGGCACCTCGAAGACGCGGAAGTTCAAAATCACAAACACCAGCAACCAGCAGGTACGGAAGCAACGGAGTTGTTTTCTCTTGTCATCCTTCTCATCCATTACCCTTGGTCAGAAATGGACGCCTTTAGCCTTGGTTGCGACGAGACACCTCAGCCCCCCGTTAGGTCCTGCGCCGTGCATTGCCCTCACCGGGCGCCCGCTTCCCTTCCGCCACTCCTCCCTGCCACGCGCACAGGTATCCTTCCGCTTCGACAAGGGCCTGCTGGAGCAGCACGGCTACAAGGTGGACCCCGAGGTGGTGTCGCGACTGCCAGGCGCACCCGAGTTCGCGTCCGTGGAGGTGTCGGTTACGCTGCAGGCCAACAAGTCCAACGTGGCCGCGGGCCCTATGGAGCTGACCTACCCCGTGGCCATCAAGGGCTCGCCGCCGGTGCTGCTCACGCTGCGTGCACATGTGCAGGTGCCGGATGTGAAGCTGAGCTCGGAGGTGAGAAAGAGGGAAGGAGAGCGCTGTGCGGATAGTACCGAACCCTGATAGGCGGGGGCAGGCGGGGGCCAAGCATGTAGCTTCCCTTGCGGTCGCTGACGGCAACCCTACTTCGATTCCGCCCCCCACCCCAAACCTTCCTACTTCCTGCTCCTGCTTCTCCTCAGGTCCTGGACTTTGGCTTCTGCCAGACGGGTCAGTGCAAGGTGTTCACGGTGCAGCTGCACAACCACAAGCAGGTGCCCTGCGAGTTCACCATCAAGCGCCCCGCGGAGCTCATCAAGGCGAAGGACTGGCAGTTCTTTGGGTGCGAGCCGTCGGAGGGCACCTTGGAGCCGGATCAGAGGCTGAAAGTCAAGGTAAGGGAGACCCTATAGCGGTACGTACGCCTAAAAAACAAAGTTGAGAGCTAAAACAAGTTGAGAGCTACCGCATTCTGCCGATGGGAGGTGTTCCCCACCAAGAAGCTGTAGTTGTGGTCCCAACGCGGCATGTTGTGGCCCCAACAGTTCCAAACGGCCTCTCCTTACCCCTTTTGCAGGTGATATTCACTCCCGTCCTCAACCGAGAGCTGCCGTACAACCAGGTGATCCCGCTCAAGATCAACCTGAACCCCAAGGTTAAGGAGCTCCAAGCCACCGGCCGCGGCCTCACGCCACGCGTGGCCTTCAACCCCACGTTTGTGGATTGCGGTCCCATCCTGCCGTACTTTGTCGGGCAGCAGCCCAACGAGGCCAAGGTTGTCATGTCCAATCCCTGCACCTTTCCCATTGAGGTGGTGTCTTTGGACTTTGACACGCGGTACCTGGCGGATGATGAGGCACTGCGGGCCATGGAGGGGTAAGTACGGTGGACGTACGTTACAAGACTCTAGTCGTTGGCCTCTGGGTGTGTGGAGACGGTGGTTGTGAAGGTAGCAACTAGAAATGCTCAAAGCTGGCCAATAGGAAGAGTTCTTGTCTTGATCACATTCGTGGAGAGTGTCATGCATCCATCCATGCAGCGCTGTGCTTGTCTCAGGCAACAATGCAAAACGTGTTTGCAGGTACAACGAGAACGGCATCCTCTTCCTGCCACCGCTACATCCCGGAGACCCGCTTTGGCCGGAGGTGTCGGAGGCGGCGGAGCAGAAGAAGCGCATGGAGGCTGCCGCGGCGGAGGCCCAGGCAGCCGAGGACGGTGCTGCAGGCGTGCCAGTAGGCGCTGCTCCTGCTGCCGCAGAGGAGGGTGTGGGCAGCCTGGAAGCTGTGGCCGGCGGCGCTGCCGCGGCCAGCGACAAGGCCACAAGCCAGGGCGGACCGCAGAAGACGATTGTCCTCGTCACCGGGCCGCACTTGGTTGGTACCAGCACGCAGGCTCGCAAGCTGGGCGAGCGTTACGATGTGCCGGTGTCATCTCTGGATGACCTGCTGCTGGCTGCAGCTGACCTGGACACCCCGCCGCCGGCTGAGGCTGCAGCCGATGCGGCGGCAGCGACGGATCCGGAGCCGGCTCCCGAGGCTGAAAGCGCGGACGGCGACAACGAGGCCGCTTCAGCAGCGCCCACTGAGGCGCCTGTTGGAGAACCGGCGGCGCCTACTGGCCCGCCGCCTTTCGACGCGGAGATCTCTGATCTCCTATTCGACAAGGTACTCAGCGACCCAGATCGCGAGGCTGAGCCAGACTACGTACCGCCGCATACCAAGCTCCCAGCAGATGAGCTGTACGGGCTCGTCCTACGCGGTCTACGGCACCTGCTGGCCCAGAAGCCTGCGGCATACAACAAGGGCCTGGTACTCGACGGCGTCGTCTCACGTTACCTGCCCCCGCAGCTGGTTGCAAAGGTGCTGCTGGAGGCGTTGGGCATGGAGCAGATCATGCCACCACCGCCGCCGCCGCCGCCGGAGCCTGTAGAGCCGCCCAAGTCCAGGAGGAGCAAGAAGTTGGATGAGCCGCCACCGACTCCCCCGCCGCCGCCGCCGAAGCCGCTGGGATGGCGGGGCCCGCACACGGTGCATGTGGTTCAGCTGGAGCCGGAGGCCTCCCTGTTGGCTGCGCGCTTGCGTACTGCCAATGACGTCAAGGCGGTACAGCAGGTTGGCTTTGCGGCTGAGGAGTCAACCGCCGCTGCCGCAGCCCCTGCGCCCGCGGCTGCGCCAGGCGTCGAGGCTCAGGCACAACCACCCAGCCAGGAAGCACCGCTGGCGCCTGGCGCCGCTGCAACCGCCACTGATGAGGCCGCGGCCGCTGCTGCGGCCGCCGCCGCCGCCGCCGCAGCTGACGAGCTGCAGCAGCAGTACCTTGATGAGGCTGAGCGCACCCTGGCGGCTTACCAGGCTGCCACAGGGGAGCCCCTGGCCGATGAGATGGCACCGCCGGGAGCCGACAACGCTGTCATTCTGCGCAAGGTTTCTGCAGCAGGCAACGAGGACAAGGTTCACAAAGCGGTGTGTGGCCTGAGCTTCCGCATGGGCGTGCTGGAGACGGCGCTGCCCGTCGCTCCATGCGATCTGGAGCTCGTGCCGTCTCGCTACAGCATGCACATCGTGCCGCGGCCGCGGCCACGTGCAGCTCGTACTCCCGTACAACGCTTCCGGATCTTCACTTTCATCGACCTGCTCAAAGACGGCGCGCCGCCACCGCCGCCACCACCACCCCCGCCGCCGCCGCCACCCACAACCCCGCCCAAGGGCGCCAAGCATAAGAAAGGGGAGGAGCCGACGCCGCCGCCAACGCCGCCGCCACCCACGCGGCAGCTCATTCCAGACACGCGATGGGTCATTCCGGCAGGGGGCTCGGTAGAGCTGCTGGTGCAGTTCTCCTCAACCGAGGTGGGCAAGTTTACGGAGACGCTTGCGTTCGACGTGCTGGGTGGCGAGCGGCTGAACACTCTGGTGCTGACCGGCACTTGCGACTATCCGCACATCAGCACCGACTACCGCAACGTGTTTTACAAGAAGGTCAAGGCACGGCCGCAGACGCCGCTGATTCGCGCGCAGTACGTCATCAGCAAGGGCGTGTTCGAGTTTGGGCCGCTGCTGCACAGCAAGGACGCGACGGGCTACCTGGAGGGAGCGCATCCGGATAACACGGCGCGCATCCGCATCACCAATAACGGCCTGTTTGACAACCATGTGGAGTTCAGTCTCAAGTCGCATGAGCAGCAGCAGGCGGAGGAGGAGCTGGCTTCACCAAGTAGGTCTTGTTTGCGGGGAGTGGTCAAGAATGGGGATGGGCACCGCCCTTGTTGTGTGTATGCTAAATCTACATTAACGGATAAGGGTCGCGTGCATGCTAAGCTTACATTAAAGGGCAAGGGCAGGAAAATACGTACGGGCGGGTGTTGTGATCAGCACGCTGTACCCATCCACCACTGAACAACCTACCTTTCCTACCCGCGCTCCCAGCCGGGCAACGCGCAGCCGCCAGCAGCGGTCGAGGCGGCAAAAAACCGGAGGAGAAGCCCAAGAAGCCAGATCCCAAGAAGGACAAGGACGGCAAGAAGGACGCCAAAGGCGGCAAGGCCGCTGCTGCTGCCGAGCCGCCTCCGCCCGTCCTCACGCTTGACAAGGTGTTCACGGTGCACCCACCATCGCTCGACCTCAAGGTGGATGAGACGCAGGAGCTGTGCGTGTACGCCTTCCCCAAGGCGGATGGGCTGGTGGAGGATGTGATCATCTGCAGGTGCGATGCGTTGGGTGGCGGGGCAGTATCGGCGTATCGTACACGAGGCGCAACATGGGGCGCTGCTGGGGATAGCGAGTTGGAGGGTTGGAAGCCTCGAGCATGCATGCACGACGCTGCATGGTGTAGTTCTTTGCAAAGGAGCGACATGCACCAGAAACAAAACCCAACCTCCTGGCTGTGTCTGCTAGCAGTAACACGGGTGATTGGATGTGCAACCGCAGGATCAAGGACAACCCCACACCGGTGGAGTTCCCCATCTCGGTCATCGGCGCCAAGCCGCAGGTGCAGGTCCGCCTCAACGACGGCACGCCGCCGCCCGACCCCAACGCTCCTGGCGCCAACACGGCGCCGCACCCGCACAACCTCTCCACGCAGGGCATTGTGGTACGTCATGTGTGTGTGCGAGCGTGCCATACCTACCATACCATTTCCTCCGTTGCTCCATGCTGCTGTTGCATCTGCTGCCCCAGAGCATCCGACACCGTTACCCTACTACCGTAGCTGCCCGCCTTGTCTTCTTAGTTCTTATCCCTTTCACGCTGTCGCCTTTGGTTGTGATGTACCGCACCCCTGCGGCATCGCCTCGCCTCGTTCCTGCAGTTCGAGCGGCTGCTGGTGAACAAGAAGGACGTCAAGACCTTCACCGTCACCAACCCCGGGCTGCTGCCCATCAAGTGGCGCCTCGCCAACCTGGCCTCGCTGCCCAAGGAGTTCACCGTGTACCCCCAGGTGGGCCCGTAGGGGGGTAAAAATAGGGGGGGCAGCAATGCCCATCAGCCACCCATCAACTGCGGACGAGTCCCATGCACGACTTAACGAGGCCCTTGTCATAACTGCCCCGCTCCGTTAGCATGCGTTGATAAATCCGTTATTGCATCGCCTATCGGGTTTGTAATAGCAACACCGGTTACTGTCCTGGTATCTAAAGCACCAATGCCGGGTTGTCTATCCGCTTGTTAAGCATGCACGTCCTCACGCCTCGGCGCCCTCCCCTGCCTCCATGCACGCACGCTTGTAGTCTGGTGAGCTGGCTGCTCGCTCCGACGTGGTTGTAACGGTGGAGTTCAGCGCCATCGAGAAGCGCATGTGCGAGGCTCGGCTGGTGCTGGAGGTGCTCGATGTGCAGGAGCTTCAGGGCGTGGCGCACAGCATCCCGCTGCCCATCAAGGGAGAGGCGTACAAGATTGAGATCGACATCAACTTCCCGCAGGTGGGTGGAGGTTAAGGTTCTTGCTTTACTGCTGTGCTATCACTCTTTGCTGTCACTCCAGCTGTCATGCATGGGTGCGGTGCTGCAGTGTTGGCTTAAGATGTGTGGTAGTGACTTCCTGTTGTTGATGCTGCACACAACGCAGATCAACTTCCCTGGCGTGGATTACGGCACGCTGCGTGTGGTGGATGACGTGGCGAAGCCCATCGTCATCAAGAACACGGGTGAGGAGACGGGCCCAAACCCATTCCCTGTATAGCGTATGATGGTATGCATGAGTGGTATAATGGAACAGGGCTAAGCCGGGCTCTCTTCGCGCCTTTCCGATACCGGTAGCATGCATGCATCTAATCGCACTGCTGCTCGGCCTCCTGCTTCCCTCCGCGCGTCACCTCGGCCCGCAGGCAAGTACGCCATCGCCTACAACTTCTCCATGAAGCCGGGCTCCGTGCTGCAAGGGCTGCTCACCATCACGCCGCCGGCTGGGAACATTGAGCCCGGCAAGGATGCCCGGATTGAGATGGCGTGGAACAAGGACAAGTCGCTCAGGTTGGTGGCTTGTCGACAAAAGGGTGTCTCCTTGCCTGTCATGTTGACCGCTGGTGCCGTTCTCTGCTGCAACATGCTTGCTCATTAGACGACTTTTATCCCAACGGTCTGGTTTGGGAGCCTTTTGACTTGGTGCCTCCATTTCTTTCCCCAACACTATCGCCCTACCAAGCAGTGCCCCCCAACCTTCTCTTTCTCCTCTTCCCATGCTTCCCACTCACTCCACAGGAACGAGGTCACGCTGCTGGGTAACAGCGACGTCACGCTTTCCATCATCGAGCCGCTCACCACCAACCGCGAGGACACCATCCCCATCCAAATCTCCGGTCGCGCTGTGTTCTCAAAGTACGCCGTCACGCCCGCGCGCGGCATCCACTTTGGCCCCGTCACTTACAACACCGCCTCCAAGCCCAAGGTCGTGGAAATCACCAACCTCGGCCAGTTCGAGTTCAAGTTTAAACTCTTCAGCCATGCGCATGGCCTGCCCACGGCGCCGCCCGCACCGCCGCCACCACCGCCTACCGGCAAAAACGCGGCGTCGCAGAAGAACAAGGCGCCGCCGCCGACACCGGCGCTGTCGATTGGGCCCTTCGCGTTTGATCCGCCGGAGGGCGCAATTCCGCCTGGCGGCCGTCGGGAGGTGGCCGTGGTCTTCAACGCCGCGGGCGCGGCAACCTACACGGAAGTCTTGGGCATCGACATCAGCGAGCGTGACTTCAACGACCAGCCCAGCGGGATCCCGATTGAGGTTGCGGGCGAGTCGTGCATCCCCGGCATTGATGCCGAGAACACCGGCGCCATCTTTGAGGAACACGTCATCTCTGCCTCCCTGGACCCCTTCAACCCCGTCAACAACGAGTTCTCCACACGTGAGCGCGTGTTCAACTTTGGCGCAGTGCTGGCACAGCTGGGCGGCGGCGACGCCGCCGACAAGCCACCGCCGTCTCCACCGCCGCCAGCGGAAAAGCCGCCCACTCCCCGTGGCCGCGCGGCCTCCAAGGCCCCTGCCAAGGCGCAAGACTTGGAGCCGCCACCTGCCGTCGCCACCGCGCCGCATGCCGTCCGCGCCAACCTCAAGTTCATCAACCCGGTCAAGGTGCCCTGTGTGGTTAACTTTACCATCAAGCCGCGTGGCAACCTGCCGCCGGGCGTGCACCTGCCCATGGAGGTGTCGCCCGCGCAGCTGGTCATTCCGCCGCTCGAGTACCGATACACGGCGCTGTACTTTGCGCCGCGCGCCATCCAGACCTACGTGGCTACCTTTGAGGCGGCCGTCGAGAACGGCGGTGACCCCAAGACCAAGTCCTTCACGTGTGAGGTCCGCGGCGAGGGTACGCTGCCGTCGCTGGCGATCACAGAGCCCACGCAGGTGGACAACCAGGGCCGACCGGTGCTGCGCTTCTCGCGGCTGCTTCGTGGCCGGAGCGCTACGGGCCGCATCACGCTGAAGAACAACGGCATCCTGCCCGCCAAGGCGCGCATTGAGATGGCGCCGCATGCTGCGTACCGGCTGGAGGGCGCGGATGCGGCGATGAGCGGCGGAGAGTCGTTTACGGTGGAGAGCAAGCGTAGCGTGTCGTACACGGTGGTGTTCACGCCGGAGAATGTGGGCATTGCGCAGCATGAGTTGCGGCTGCGGGTCAGCAACAACCCCTTTGAGGATTACAGGTGGGTCATGTCACGGCGTTTATCGGTTAAGTGCAGATCAGGGTTTCATGGTTGCTTACGAAGGTTTAGGAGGGACAAGTCTTGTCGGTCAGGAGATGGCAAGTACTAGCCGTACACCCACTTGAGCCGCCGTCGCCTATCTGCACTGCTGCTTAGGTAGGACATGTTCGTGCTCCCTGAATCCTTCTAGCCACACACATTCTCAACCCCCTCTCTTGTCCCATGCTGCCATGGCACCGCCCACAGGTTCCTGCTGACGGGCGAGGGCTACCAGGAGGACGTCACCTTCGACCTGCTGCCCAACGACGCCCTGGACACGCTGCGGCTGCAGGACGGACCCGTGGGTCGGCCGACCCAGGCCGTCTTCGCGCTCCGCAACCACTCCACCACCAAGAACTTCCGCTTCCGCTGGCCTGCCACGGGCGCGCCCAGCTCCAGTCCCTACCTCACCTTCTCCCCAGCTGTAGGCCACCTGCTGGCAGGCAGCAGCAAGGACGTCACGCTGACCTTCTCCGCCAGCGTGCCCGTCAAGCTGCAGCCACACGATGTCAAGGTGGCTCTGGCGCAGATCAACCACGCCTCTGAGGCGCAGGTCATTGACTGGGACGACCGCTCTGTTGTGGTGGACTACGGCCTCCCGCCGGGTCCTGACGGCCAGCCAGTCGCCAAGCCGGAGCCCGAGCCGCCGGTCACGGACGTCCCGGGCAGCATCCGCGAGCTGCTGCTGCACGTGCACGCCACCGCCGACAACGCACGCTACACCTGCGACGCCGGACCCATCGTGTTCAAGCCCACCATGATGTTCCAGACGCGCGCCTTCACCTTCCCGCTTGCCAACGCCAGCAGCGCGCGCATGGACTACAAGTTCACGATCATGCAGGCGGACGGCAACATGGCGGACACGTCGGGGCTGTACAGCGTGTCGCCCGAGGGCGGCGTTATCGAGGCGGGCCAGGCGGCGCAAATCACCGTCAAGTTCTCGCCCACGGAGGTTGAGGACTGCTCACGGGTGCTCACATGCTACATCCCGCACCTCGACGCCAGCTGCCAGCCGCTCGCACGGCCGCTCAGCGGACGCGTGTTGCGGCCTTGGGCGCATTTCGAGCTGCCGGATTCGGACTACATGTCCAGCGGGCGCCGCAGTCCGGACATGCCTGGACCGTCGGGTTCCATCGAGCCCTTGGACCCCGCCACGCGTGTTCTGGAGGTGGAATCCCTGGGCGTGCGCCTACGCAACACCAAGCGCTTCTTCGTGCTCAATCCCACGGGCATCTCATACGAGTTCTTCTGGCAGCCGGTCAACAAGGCGCAGGAGGGCGGCGCGTTCTCATGCATCACCAAGCGCGGCGTGATTGGCGGCGGCCGGCGCTTCGAGATGGTGTTCGAGTACACGCCCGTGACGGATACCGTGGTGGAGTCCTTCTGGACCTTCCGCATTCCCGAACAGAACATCGAGGTGCCGTTCCTGCTGGTTGGGTTGGTCAGCGAGCCGCGGGTGGTGCTGGACCGGCCGTCCATCAACTTTGGGCAGATCCTTATTGGCTGCAAGGGCCACGCCACGCTCACCATGCTCAACAACGAGCACCTGCCCTTCCAGTTTGCCTTCGACAAGAACTCCTACGACGCCACGGACGAGCTTATCAAGGCAACAGGTGGGGCCAGCAACATGTGCATGTGAATATGCTGTGGCTGCCTGGCTTCCCTAATCCTCACCCGCAGCCCTTCATGCATGCTTAAGGAAGAATGCACGCCTCGCGGCATTCGCCAATTCGCCAAATTGTTCCGCTTGCCATGCTACCGGTACCTGTCCACGCGCCTAAACTTCCATCTTCAACTCTCCCACCGCACCCGCCCCTCACTCCATCCCCCTCCCAGGCTTGCGTCCCGTGTTGGAGCTGGAGCCCTCCAGCGGTGTGGTGCCCGCACAGGGCTCCGTTACCATCTCCGCCACCTTCACACCCCGCCTGGAGCGCGACATCAACTACAACGTGCAGTGCACCGTCAAGAACAAGCCCACACGGCTGGCGCTCAACGTCAAGGGCGAGGGCACCGCCATCCACGAGGCGTTGCAGCTGGAGGACCCCGACGGAAGCACGGTGGTGCTGGCGCCACGGCAACCCAACGCTGTGGACTTTGGACAGGTGGGGAAGGGGCTGGGTTCGCATGCAGGGAGGTGTGCGAAGTTCCGGCACCCGGTGCCTTACCGTAACTGGATTATTTTGCATTAAGCAGGCTTGAGCAGCACCCTGACCGCCCTTACCGGTATTTGTCTTGCCTAAACACACATGGCCCCTCCGGCGCAACGGCAGGTCTTGATCAACGAGCGCTGCGTGCGCGCTTTTGCGCTCGTCAACAGCGGCCAGGTCAACTTCAACTTTGTGTGGGACGTGGGCACCAACCCGCGCATCAGCATTAGCCCCGAGAGCGGCACGGTGCCGCGTGGCGAGCGGCTGGTGTGCGAGCTGGCGTACAACCCGCATGGGCCGGACAAGTAGGTGGTGGCAGGGAGCCGTGCTAGCGTAATAGGGTTTGGCTGCTCCTGTGCTGCTGGTACATACACGTTGGCATTGGCGTGGCCCTTCATAGCCCCCCCTCAATTGATCGCCCTTTCACGCCCCGCTCTCCTCCCCAGGCTGCGTGATTGCAAGGTCACCTGCCAGATCCTCAACGGCCCCAAGTACACCCTCCTGCTCAACGGTGTGGGCCACAAGCCGCGTCTCGACCTCTCCTGGTTCAACCACGACTTTGGGTTGCAGCCCGTCTGGCAGCCCGGCATGGCTCCCGCTGTCCGGGCGCTGCGGCTACGCAACGACGACACGCAACCCATCGCGGTGGACCCCCACTGGGACCCCCAGTCGCCAGCCGTTGCCGACTGGCAGGTCGACTGTACACCGCTGGTCCTGCAGCCCGGCGAGAGCCGCGAGTGGGTGGTCACCTTCAAGCCCCGCGCCGCCGCGCCCTGCACGCTGTCGCTCCCCCTGGAGATCAACGGCCTATACACGGTGCACGTGGAGGCCAAGGGCGAGGGCAGTCCGCTGCGCGTCGAGGTGGCCAATCCGGCACACCGTGCCATCAACTTCGGCCCGGTTTCGCAAGGCGGCACCGCCACGCGTGTCGTCCCGGTGGTCAACCGCGGCCGCACCACCGCCACCCTCAGCCTCGCGCCCAGCTTGGAGATGCTGGCTCGATGCAGCGTGGACGTCATTCCAGCCCCCTCCTCGGAGCTGCTGCTGCGACCGCGTGAGTCCACGGACCTTACCTTTTTCTTCCGCCCGACCGCCCGCATGCGTCCCTTCACGGAGGAGCTCCTGGTCAACCTGTGCGGCGTGCGAACCCCGCTGGCCACCCTCACCGGCGCCTGCCTGGGTACGGAGCTGCGTCTGGCATCCGATTCGCTTCCGTTCGGGCCCGTGGTGCTGGGCAGCCGAGCGGTGAAGCGGCTACAGTTGGAGAACACAGGCGATGTGGGCACCAAGTTTGTATGGGACACACGCGCGCTGGGGCCGCACTTCTCCATCTTCCCTGCGGATGGCTTCCTGGCGCCTGGGCAGGATGTCAAGCTGGACGTGACGTTCCACCCGGCGGAGGTAAACCCTGATATCCGGGTGGATAAGGTGCGGCTCAAGGTGGAGGGCGGCGCGGATTCGACGCTCACGCTCACGGGTGCCTGCATCGCCACCGCCGCGCAACCCGAGGTGGTGTCCTTTGCCTGCAACGTACGCGCCTCCGCACAGCAGACCATCACCATCACCAACTCCAGCAGCTCCGGCTGGACGTTGCGACCCGTGGTTCAGAACGATTTCTTCTCCGGCCCGGAATCCCTGTCGGTCGCGGCCAACAGCAAGGCCACCTACCCCATCACCTTCAAGCCCCTCACCATGTCCTCACCCGACCAGCCGCATGAGGGCAGCGTCTTCTTCCCCATCCCAGACGGCACTGGTCTGCTGTACCGACTCGTCGGCCGGGCAGAGGCGCCTGTTCCCGAGGGCCTTGTGGAGCGAGCCATCCAGGCCAAGGCGCCTCACACGGAGGTGCTCAAGTGCCATAACTGGCTGCACAAGCCGCAGCGCTTCAAGGTGATTGTGGAGCGCAAGACGGGGGATCGGTCCACGCAACTGGGCGCGCCCGAGTACATTGACGTTCCGGCGCTGTCGTCCAAGGAGGTCAAGCTGAGCGTGTATTCGTACACGGCGTCCACCACGATGGCCACGGTGACGTTCAAGAACGAAGCCTCAGGGTGAGTTTCAGGCCCCATGAGGGACATGATGCCATTTGAGTCAGAGCACAGAAGGGTTGGGGAGGGGAGTCAAAAGCTGTAACGGTGGCATGGAAAGGGTGTCAAGCTCCCTACCGAAGCTTAATATTCATCCTTGCCTCCATGCTCTTACCAGCCCCTTCTCTCTTAACCTCGCAAACCTCGCAAACACCTCACACACCTCTCTCACCCCGTCCCACCCGCTAACCCCACAGCGAGTACCTCTTCTACGACCTCAAGCTGGTGGCCTCCCCGCCCGCACAGCGCGGTACGCTCTCCCTGGAGTGCCCTGTTCGCACGCAAACCACCACCAAGGTCTCCGTCAGCAACCCCCTGGCAGAGGACATCACCATCCGCGCCTCCGCCACCAACAAGCAGGTAGGCGTGCCCGCCTCCACACTTCTCCGCGCCGGCGCCACCACCGAGATCGAGGTGCGCTACCGGCCTCTGGTGGTGGGCTCCAGCGAGGCGCTGCTGAAGCTGGAGTGCCCGGAGCTCGGGTTGTACGAATGGGCGCTACGGCTGGCCGGCACGCCGACCAACCCGGAACGCAGCCTGGCGTTCAACGTGCCGCTGGGCAGTCGCGAGACGCAGGTCTTCCGCTTTACGCACTGGCTGGACGAGCGCGCGGACTACAAGGTCGCGTTCAAGTCGTCCGGCACGCATGTGGCGACGGGCGGCGCGTTCACGGCAGCGGCTACGGTTTCCGCGCCGCCTGCTGTGGCTGGGCTTGCAGCGGGTGCGGAGGTGTCACTGGAGGTGCACTTTGAGCCGACGGCGGTGGGAGAGAACATCCGGGATACGCTGGTGGTATCCTCGGCCACGGGCGGGGAGTACCAGTGCCCGTTGGTGGGCCGCTGCATTCCGCCCAAGCCGCAAGGCCCGGTTGACGTCAGCAAGGGCACGGCGGTGCTGCCGTTCACCAACGTGTTCACGGCGGATGCGGACTTCCAGCTTGCGGTGGATAACCCGGCGTTTGTGGTGAAGAACAATGAGCGTATCGGGTCTAAGAAATCGGCCAACATCGCCATTGCATACAAGCCGCCGGATCCCACCAAGCCCAGGACCGGCAAGCTCACAATCTGCTGTCCCTCCCAGACGAACTGCCAGTGGGTGTACTACCTGCAGGCGTGAGGGGGCAGGGAAGGGGGCGGCATGGTTGGGATTGGCGTTGCGGGGGATGGCATAGGCGGATGGCTGGTTGGCATGCGCGTGATCTGATGCGTCCGTTGCGGCCTAAGATGAGGTCCCATGTGGTGAAAGGATGCGGGGAGGTAGATGTAAAGAGCCTAGTAAGACAGTGAGGGATGGAGTAGGAGGTGACGGGCAACATGGCAGTGCATGCAAACGTGCGCTGGGGTAAGGGGTGCCACGGTTAGTAAGTGTTGTGGATGAAGGCTGTTCTGACGTGACGGCAGGACGTGACGGAGGTTTCCGTTGCTAAGTGACTAACCGGAACTTGTTATGGCAGGCGTGATCTATTCCTGTGAGCCGACGTTGACAGTATGGTGAAGTCTTGGTGTTAGTGTGTACCCTTAGATGCATCGAGGAAATATCCTGTATGCCATGTGGTCTCAAACTATGTTGACTCTTGGGGAAGGGACGCCGTTGCTAACGTGACTCGGACTATGGGCAGCAGATATTAACACTCCTGGTGGCCTTGTGGTGGGCAGCAAAAATGTCGCACGCGTGCGGTATATGGCGCCGTACTGGCGCTACGGTGGTGCCACATTGTACAGCAATCCTTAGCATAGCGATGCTTCTTAGGTGACGCTCAGTGGCAATGCAGACCACGCATTGCCGTCAAGTTACGGTATGACATATTCACATATGGTCATGTGCCTGGTGGTGTACAGTGCATGGTGAGGCTTGACGCATAACCCGTGAACTGGACTGCAACCGCAGCTGTGCTGCAGTCCTTTGGCGGAGGAAGGCTACTGCCCTTCTATTGTAACTTGCAAAAATGCCTGGGCAGCTCCGGACCCCTTGCGACACATCTTGCATTGGTACTGCTCCCTCCCCGTGGGCAAGGGCACGCCCGAGTCACGTTTAAGGGTACACCTGGTAAAAAGGGCAAGGATTGCCAGAAAGACTGACCCAACCCAGAATGCGCAAAGTGGTGATCTCGGAAGGCATGCAAGGTGCGTTCAGACAGGGGCTTTTCACACATATGACATACCGCCTGGAAGCCTATGACACAACGCACAACCTGACATGTGTTGATCTCGCGTGGACGAACTTCAAGCCGCTGGCCTTTCCCGAAAGGAGGCTGTGGCGTTGCGCGCGTCGGTACGCACATAACATACATAACATAACTGGAACTGCCAACCACCTCAAAGCCGAAAGGATCGCTTTCCACGTGTCACTCAGGTAAATGCAGACCCAATCGCCAACTTACACATTATCCCATCGCCATCTTGGAACCTTAGGATCTCAGGGCTAACTTAGGACACCTGGCCAGGAAAGTCACGTCCGCTCCGCTTCTATGGAGCCTGCGACGCCCGAGGAACGCGCAGTCCGATAAACCAGTGCTTGATGGTGAGCACAACCTTTCTGATACCGCGGTTTGGGCCTCAGTGTCGCTGCTTTTCCGCTCGGCTGTTTGCACCCTCGCTTCCCACAGAAGCATGGACAAAGATCTCTTTACATATGGTGTCGCTTTACACATATTACCATATTTGTTTCGCATCACAGGCGACTCGGCAGGTTTCTCGGCTGTCGCTCGCGCCTCAGCTCCGCGACCATCTGATCGCAAATAACCTGGTAAGCCCAGCTGGGTGGGGCGTTAGGGCGACAAGTGGTATCTAGTTTTACCATCGCGGCAGCACACACCGCCAGCGGTATGTGGACTTCCTTAGCTGCTGGCAAGCCGTGCACACCCACGCGTGGGTATCGCGTGTTAAAGGCTGCGAATGCATTTGCCATGCACACTCTATCCCGTGTAGCTCCTTGCTTATTCTACCCTAACAACACCACGCCGTTACCTTTCCCTTACTCTCTACCCTCTGCCCTCTACCCTCTACCCGCCAGATCACTGCCAGGGATGTCTTGCTGCTGGGTCCCCTAGACCTCATGGAGTTGCTGGGCCTTACGTGGAGCCAAGCCAACCACCTGCTTGCTGACGTCAGCGCGCAAGTAACCCCGCCGTACGCAACGGTACGTTTGGTGCCGTACTGCCTGACATCAGGGTCTCTTTTTCCTTCAATCCTTCGTACGGTAGACGGGCTGTTGAGGGGAAGGAACAACGTCCTTATGACGACGTATGACGTGTGCCTGACTGTTTTTGCTCCGGTGTACGGTATGCGCACTGGCAGGCATGGGAGGCCTTGGCGCAGCTGACGTCTGGAGAGGCGCCGCCGCCGCTACGCACGGGCCTGCCGGTGGGTTGGGATGCGGCCTCGCGGCGTCACCATGCCTTGCCATCTTCTGCTTTTACGAGCTCGGGATGCTTAGGAACTACTTACCGTACATAACTGGCTGGTGTACCGTGGTCAGTGCAGCGCAGCATCGACTCCAGGAGGAGCGTGGTTGTAGTGCACAGCAGCATCGACTCCAGGAAAGCGTGTTTGTTTGACTGGTAGCCTATATAGCACAATCACGTGTAGTCTAGCTACCGGTAACCGTCACCCAACCTTCCCAACCGCCTGCAAAACCTCGTACGGCCTACCTGCCAGATCCTGGACGGGGCGTTGCGGCTGGGTCTCCCGCTGGGCAGCATCACGGAGCTGGTGGGGCCGGGTGGAGTGGGGAAGTCGCAGATGTGCCACATGATGGCGCTCACCGCTGCCCTGCCCACCAGCTTTGGAGGGTATGTAGGAGCTTGGGGGGATAGGAGAGCTGGGTTACTGGTTGCTGCGAGGTGGGGTGGGGGCATGGTTAGAACACGTCGGCATTCTACCTTCTTGTTGTTGCTGTTGTTGCTATTGTTGTTGCTGTTGTTGTTGCTGTTGTCTTGCTACTCCTAATGAGGCACTATCGGTACGTCTATGCCATCCACTTCTCCATGCACACCACGCCTGCCACAACTTAAGTGCTTAATGAAGCTATAGTTTTGAAACCGCTGTCCATTTCCTTCCATCTTCCTTCTTTCCCACTCTGCCGGCCCCTTCCTGCTCAACGACAGCCTCGCCAGTGGTGTCGTGTACATTGACACGGAGCGCAAGTTCTCAGCGGCTCGAATGGCGGAGATGGTGCAAGCACGGGCACGGGCAGCAGCAGCTACTGCTGCTGCTGGTGCTGCTGCTATTGCTGCTGGTGCTGCTGGTGCTGCTACTACTGCACTAGCTACTACTGCTGCTGCTTCTGACGCGTTGATTTCGGAGGTGCTCCAACGGGTAGCCGTTATGACTCCAGGCAGCACGGGGGAGCTCGTGGGCGCACTGGAGGTGCGTGGGAGAAGTCGCTTTACTTGCCTTTTTCCTGCTTTTTAAGCCAGAGGCTGCCCCCATCTCTCGACTCTAATCACCAAAATGCCTGATAAGAGAATATAAGGAAAGAGAGTGAGTGTGTTTGCTCCCCATCTTTTAAACGGCAAAACGGCAGGCCCTGCAAACCATCGTGCTCCGCCATCGGGCCCGACTGGTGGTCATTGACAGCATCGCAGCTCTTGCTCGTACCGAGTACGGCAATAGTACGGCAACTACCGGCGGCGGTGATGGCGGTGATGGTGGTGGGGGTGGCGGGGGGCTGCTGGGGGGTATCATGGAGCGGCAGCAGGTGCTGGGTCGGATAGCCTCGCAGCTCAAGGCGCTAGCGGAGTCCCTGCGAATACCCGTGCTGGTGACGAACCAGGTGAAAGGAACGAGCTGATGTGGATATGGGTTGAGGATTCTGGCCGCGAGTAGTGAAGATGTGCCTGAGGCACACAGCTCTGGCACATAAACAGCGCGTGTAAAAACTACCCACCCCATCCTCCACCGCCACCACCACCTCCCCAACCCCCATGCGCAGGTCACCACCCGCATCACAGGGCCGGCCACGCACCCGCACCAGCAGCAAGCAGGGGGCGGGGGCGGAGGCGGGGGCGTGCTGACGGCGGCGTTGGGCACCAAATGGGCGCACTGCGTGAACCTGCGGATAGTGCTGGAGCGGCTGCATGAACGCCGGTTCCTAAAGGTGGATACCCCGGGCTACCCCTGCAGCCTTACCTTCCTGACGTGTCGATAATTATTACCGTACAGTATCTTCCCTTGCTCAATTCCTCCTTACCTAACTTTCATTATTGCTCATTATGCAACGCAAGTTGCTATGCTTGTGACGTTTTCTCCTGTCCGCCGGGCGTCACAGGTGGCCAAGAGCCCCTCCTGTGCGAATGTGGTTCTCGAGTACGTCATTGGACCCATGGGTCTGCAACAGCTCGACCGTGGCGGCGAGCTACCGGCTGTACTGCAGGGCAACGTGCTGGACATGGCCATCCTGAATGAGGTTGATTATGGGGCGGAGTACGGCTGATACGACACGGAGGGAGCGGGTTGCGCGGCAGCGCGAGAAAAAGGGTCATTGGGCGGTAAAGGCGAGGGCATGATTCGTGGTACATGTTAAGAAGCTTAACGGACACAGCGATGGAGTTGGCGGAGAGAGGTTGGTCATCGAATAGCGGCATTTTGCAAGTGCAACTTGCGCAAATTTGTCGGGTTGCTTTCGCACGCAGGTACCGCTTCACCGTTTCCGCTTACGCTGCCTACTTACAAAAATATTCAGCTCTGTCCCAAACCTAACAATCCGCACGTTGGCAGTACAACTGGAAGTCGTATTTTGTGTAGGAAATTCCTTTTCTTCAACCGTTCGTAGGAAACTGTTGGTCGTACAGAAACGATCCTTGGCGAAGGCAGCCCCCACGCAGTCCCAAAACAACGTAGTTAATGCATGTTCTTTTCTTATGATGCTTGCAAGCACAGACGGACTAAAGCATAGCTACCTAGCGTCGTGACTGTTCGTATCTTGCTCTGGAGCTGTGCCCGCTTTGCACAATATTGTTGTCTGAAGGGGTTACAATGGTGAACCAGCAATGAAGTATTACGAAAACAGATCCAATGCCGCATGCGGTGGTTGTCGGTACCGATGCGACCGCGTTGCACGTCGGCGGTCAACTTCTGGCAAGTGGCTTTGATGTCACACTACTCGAGGCCACTCAGGTCATTGGCGGACAATGGGTGCGGCGCCTTTTTGCTGAAAAGCAAGGTATGTTTCAGGCAACACAACAAAGTAATAAGCGTACTTCATTTGGGGTCAATGAGGTTACGGAGGAGAGTCCTGCAATGAGGCAATGCCAGAAAAAGCGATTGTGGCTGGTGCTTGAATGGTAATTGGTTCAGCATGCTTGCAGACTTAAGGTTACCTGGGACGCTCACAATAGGACACAGCTATGCGTCTCGCATAACTAAAAAACGGCCAGTTGCACAGCGACCGTGGGTGAAATGACTGCCGCCCTTACATGTCCAATGACCAGATTCCGCCTTCAACGCCTGGGAGGATGGCGTGTTCCTGGACTATCCGCTGCTTGCTCCTCGGCAAGGGAACGCCCAACGCACTAGTTCCTGTGGGGTTGACAACGACTTACCGGCTAGTGCCGTTGCCGACTTGGGCAATGGCCCGGGTCCGGCACCTCAGCAAAAGCCCCCGCCGTTGCCTCCCCCAAGCGAGGAAGAGCTCTTAGGCCATTTAACGGGATACGCACAGGCTACAGGACTCCACACCAGCGTGCGGTTGGGCTGCACGCTTCGCCGGGCCAAATGGCAGGTACGGCAGAGCCTAAACAGGACAGACGTGTTAAGGTACACACCAGTAACCGGCACACCTGACCTGACTACAACTCCGCACCCTATCGTCTCCTCCGCTTGCATGATTCGCAAGCCTTAATAGTGTGGCTTAGCAGCTGGACATAGCGTGTCCTTAGTGCCCCTGCCCTCTTCCACCCCGTCTACATTTCGTCCTCTTCTGTTCACTTCTCTCAAGCCCTTCTTTTGTGCCTTCTTAATCACTCCTTGAAGCCTTCGATCCCCCGAATTCATTTCCCACACATGCTCATGGCTGCGCAACGGACGCTGCACTGTACACTGAACGGCGATACGGCGAATGTACGGCAGGCCATGAACGGCTGCTGGCGTCTGGATGTGAAGCAAGAGCAGGCCTACAGCCGCCACATGCAGCGAGGCAACCTGAGTGCGGACCTGTTGGTTGTCAGTCGCCTGGCGGTGGCGGCACCGCGACTTCCGCGCGTGCAGGTGGGCCTAACGGGAAGGTGTCAGGTGATGCCTGATGTGCGATGTCTTCGTGTTTGTTTCCTCTAGGCATGTCGGGTGACATACCGGCAGGTTGGCACCTACATGGCAGGAACATCCACCTTGCATGCATGCGTATCCTCTGAAGTCATCACGCGCCCCGCGACACCTTTGCGATCCAACTGACTCAACCGTTTTCCGCTCCGCTCTCCCCCATGTTCCAGGGCCGGGAGCTGTACTGCGGTACGGTTCTAACCGCTAACGACCAACTGTCGGGCTCCGGCGGCGCCACCATTCTCGAGCAGCAGCTTCGCGGTCGACATGTGTTGGTGGTTGGGGCAACGGGCTGCGGCGCGGCGGCAGGCTGGGCAGACGCCTGCCGACGTCACGCCGGCGCGGAGGGCAGTGTCGTACTGCTTGAGATGGACGACCCGGACGCCGCGCCGTCGGCGGCGGCGGCGGGAGGAGCTGGCGGAGGACTACTGGGGGGCCTTTTCGGAAGCTGCTTAGGCCGTACGGCAAGGTCACGGACTGGCGGCGGCGGCGGCAGTGGCGGCAGTGGCCTAGAGCGGTACAGCCCGGCTTTGCCGGCTGTTGTCGGGGAGGAGGTGATTGCGGATGCGGCAACGGTCGACATGGAGCTTGAAGAGGCGGGAGAGCTGCTGGCGGTAGCGGGAGCAAGTACGGCAAGCACGGCTATGGAGGTGGAGGTGGTGGCGGGAGTGCTGGCTGCCGATGGCGACGGGAAAGGGGATCGATGTACGAAGGCTAGCGGCGTGGGCAGCGTTGGCAGCGGCGGCGACGGAGGTGGGCGTTCGTCGCGGGGTCGCGACGGGCTGCGGCAGGGCCGTGGAGGAGGAGGAGAGATGCGCTCCGAGGGAGACAGCGGCGGCGGCGGTGTTGGCAGCGGCGGCGGCAAGGGCGGACCCGTGGGTCGGAGCTCCCTCCGCGTCATGCGGGGTACGGGGGCACTGCTGAACGGCTCGCACGTCACCTTCCCCAGTGGCGAGGAGCTGCCGGCAGATGTCGTACTTCTCGTTCCTCTGTCCGATCTAGAGCCCTCCCTGTCCTTCCTAGACTGTGGACCCAATCTTCGCTCCTCCCAAACCGGCGGTCCGGCTCCCTCCCTGGACGGAGGCAGCTTCCACCGCGGCGTCTCTCTGTCGGCAGCCTCCATTGGAATGTCCTGCGCCATGCATCCCGACGGTTTGGGTGGCGGTGCGGCAGGTGCGAGACAGGTGGAGGAGCTGTATCGGGACATGGTGTCTACCAGTCCAATGGCGCCTAATTTGGCAATCGTGGGCGCGGGGGCGCATGCAGCGCAGCACGATGCATGCACCGCAGCAGCGCAAGCGGCGTGGCTGCTTGAGACCTGGGTGAACAACGGAGATGGCACTGCAGCCGCGGCAGCACCCGCTGCAGGGGCGGGAGCGGGAGGCGGGGGCGGTGCCTTGGGCGGTGTAGGCAGCAGCAGCATGAGGCGGCGGCGGGGATCCAGTGCGGGTGGAACTGGCGGTTGGGAGGGCGGCGGCGTGGGGGTGCCGGAGGCGGGATACCTGCGCCAGGCGACGCCGGTGGAGGCGGCTGCAGATGCCGCGCTACGGGCGCGCTGGCGTGCAGATGCGGTAGCTCGGGGGCAGCCGGATTTGTACCTGCAGCGATACCTGGGGCTGCTGCTTTCGGACCTTGGGGCGCAGATCAAGGACAAGCAGACCCTACCCAGCTGGCTGTGCGGCCGTCGGGTTGCGCGGCCCGCCGCTCAGCTGCTCACGCGGCCACGAGTGGCTCGTCTGCTTGGCGTGAAGCGCCTGCGCCGGCAGCAGCCGCAGCCGCAGCACCCGCAGTCTCCGCTGACGGGAGCCGCCACATGGCCCACATCCATGGACGGCAGCGTTAGCAGAGGCCAGCTGCAGCACCGCCAGCAATCATACCGTCATTCGCACACCACCCCCGCGGCTCTCAGCCACAACGGGCTGCTTCTTAACGACGGCAGTAGTGCCGGAAACAACAACAACAACCACAACGGCGCCAACCACCAGGGTTTTTATGGCAGCCGCCCGAGCCCTAGCCCCACTGCAAACATGGGCTTGTTCGGCGGCAGTGTCGGCGGCGGCAGCGTGGGCAGCGTAGCGCCCTCTCGGATTCCCTCCCTCGGCAACCTCGCATGTAACCCTTCGCTGACGCCAAACGGCATGACGCCAGGCGTTGCTCGCCGGTGCTCCTCCTATGCGGGCGGCGGCACCCCTCCTGTCGGTACACCAGGGGGAGTTGCAGAGCGGGAGCAGCAGCGAATGCTCTTCCCGCCGCCGCCGTCAGCGCCTAACGGACTGCAGCAGCAGCAGTCTCGGGGTCGGCGTGACGTGCAGGAGGGCATGTTACGGCGCTCAGAAAGTGTCTCCGCCTACCACCCTGGCGTCGGCCAGCAAAACAACCAGCATGACGCACAGCAGCAGCTGTACCGCGTTGCAGAACACCCGACGGAGGAACGCTGCGGCGGCGGCAGCGGCGGCGGAGCCGAGCCGCACAAGGCGCAATCGCAATCGCAACTGCCGCAGCACAATTCTGGAACGCTGCTGACGACATGTCCCTCGAGCCCGAATGGAAACGCCGCCGCTGCTGCCGCCGGCGGTGCCCCAACAGCCTCTTCGGCATTCCTTACCAGCGGCGGCACCGGCGGCGGTGGAGCCGTCAGCACACCCACCTCGCCGTCACCCTTCATGAGCACAGCCTCCGCCGCTGGCACGGGCGCCGGCGCACTAGTGACGGCTCCTGTGGGCGGTCCTGACGACTCGGGCGGTGCACCGCAGCGATGGCGCTCGCAGATGCTGATGCGGCATCGCTCGACGAGCCGACTGGCGGGCGTGACGGGGCCGACGACGCCGCAGGCGTCGACACTGCAGGGCGCCGGCGGCGCTTCCTCCGGCGCCGCCAGCGCTACTGCGAGTGCCATTGCGATGGGCTCGAGTTTCCTGGGCTTGTCAGGCAGTCGCCGACCGCCTGCTGCGTCCACATCGCAGGTGCGCTGGTACGGCAGATAAGTGCGGCAACCACCGGGGCGAGATGTCCCTGGCCGTTGACAGTTTTTGGTTGCTAACTAGGAACGGTTAGCTGGTTAGAGAAAAACAAGCGATGGGTGATGTACCGGTATATGCGTGTAGTTACGCCAGGAAAAGGCTATAGGAAGTGTTGCTCAGGCTTCCCTTACTGCAAACTACCGACCATTTCATCTGTAGCCCGTTTAAGCTTTGGAAACGGTTGAGCGGCTATAACCCTCGCGGCCCGCAGGTCAACTTGGATATCAGCGGCAGCTTCTCCAACGAACTGCGCTCACAAGGCGGCCGGAACTCGTACGGCAAGCGTATGGGAGGTACCGTCAGCGGGGCGGGCAGCGTCGGCGGCGGCGGCGGCGGCGGTCTGAGCACCGGTGGTGGCATGGCCATCGGCGGCGGCGGAGGCGGTTCACCGCTACTTGGCGGAGGTGGCTCGCCCCTTCTGGGTCGTGCTAACAGCGCCGCCAGGCTTCAACTGCTTCTCGCCGCCGCTAGCTCGGCGTCGCGTCGCAGGAATACGGCACTCGCGGGGTCGCCGTCGCCGTCCGCAGCGCCGTCATCTCCGGAACCCGGCCGAACCTCTGGCGGCAGTGGGCGCATGGGCAGCACTGCCGTACCTTCCCTACATAAGGCGTACGGCAACGCGCTACGGACGCCGCCGGCGCCAGCCGCGGTCTACGGTGCCCGCCAGACGCGCAGTCATACGAGCAACGCGCCGGCAGAAAACGGTGGCGGCGGCGATGGCGGGAGGTCAAGCGGCAGCATTGGAACCTCAGTGACTGCGTTGGCCCGCGCTGCCGCTGCGCCCGGTGCCGAGGGAAGCCGGAGTGAACCTGTGGTAGCCGCGGCGGTGGCGGCGACGGCGGAGACGGAGGCGCCGACGTCGGTGGCGCTTTGGTCGCCTGGGGCGCTGTATTGCCCTGATGCAGTGTACGGCAAACTCTCCAGCTTTGCTAGCAGTGGCGGAGACGGCGGTGGAGGTGGTGGAGGTGACAAGGGTGTCGGTGGTGGCCTGGCGGCTAGGCATTTAGGGCCTGCAGCGGCGGCGGCGGCGGACGAGGTGGCGGCGCGAATTGCAAGAACGGCCGGCACGACGGGCTCGTCGTACGGCAACGCGAATGCGGTTGGCATGAACGAGCAAGATGATGGCGACGAAGCCGTTGACGAGTTGCATGTTATGATAGAGGAGGGCGAGTTCCCATGCACCGATGGCCCCACAGAAGGAGGGGCAGACGGCCGAGAGGATGAGGACGCTCTTGCTTTGCAGTCGCCGTTGCTCAGGGGGGATCCAGGCGGGCAGCAGCTGCCGGCTCGAAAGCATGCGGCTTACGGCGCTAGGGGTCGTTCCTACACGCTTCCAAACCTTCGATCGAGTGGGGGGGATGCCCTGGAGCAGCTTGAAGAGGGTTGCGAGCCCGAGGGGATTGAGCCTCAGCCGGTGGGAGCCTGCTAGGCTGTCTTAGTCTTACCGCTCTGACCATTTGTGAGCTTGTGTGTCAAGCACCATCTTCCTGCACTTCGTGTGTGTTGACAGTGCTGCGTGTCTTGACAGCGGTGTGCTGCATTGTTCGGGTTGTGATGGGTAGGGCTCAAGCGGAGGCTGGCTGAGGTAGGGCTGTGGGAGTTGGGCGCTGGGTGGAATGTGGCAGGGCGCGGTGCATGGGTTTGGCTGGGGAATGATGCGAAGAGGGTGGGATAGCGCATGGGATTATTGAGCGGCGGGATGGCGTAGGAGAATATTGAAGGAGACGGCGCGGGGCGGGGGTGCTCAGGGTGTGCATTAGGGTCTGTAGTTAGGAAGCGGAAGTTACACTGTAGTTAGGAAGCGGAAGTTAGGAAGCGGAAGTTACACTGGAGGACAGTAGCTGAGACCATCGTCAGACGTACATTCTAAGTTAGGAAGCGGAAGTTACACTGGAGGACAGTAGCTGAGACCATCGTCAGACGTACATTCTAACAGCTACCTTGTGTGCGAGCACGGTACGGCAGCACGTATATGCATTTGGCGCGAACAAGCGACGATTGAACGTTCGGCGACCGCAGCGCAGAAATGGAAGGCACGGTGTTTTGACGAGGGTGTTCCCAGTGCAAAACGACGGACAAAGGCCATACCTATCAAATGGTGACCGTTGGATTGGGCTAATGAAAGGTGGTTAGCCAGCTACCCTGTGTACCCGTATTTTACAGTTTGGCTATACAGCTTGGCTAATCACCACCGTGATTATGAGGTACGTCCCATAGATGATTGGGAGGGGGGAGGGGCACCCTCCCCCCTTAAACCCCTCTCCCGCACGTGTTGCTGTACAAAGGAAGCTGTACTGCACGTCGGGCCAAGAATGATCACATGTACGCGCCCCGACATGGACCGTTAGGAGCAAAAGTCGGAGACCCATTCATTTCTCAGCCGCCTTTAACAATGGCTTCAACACCCCCCCGAAAAGCCAAGACCCATGGGTCCCTTTCACACCTTCCGAGAAAGGGCACCTACTTCCTATACTTATGGCTCGGAACGCGCTACCTACGCAGTTTCCCTTTCGGTCTTATATTTATCACTATGACGCTGTTCAACAGGCGGGCATCATCGCACCACACTTGCTTCACCTTTGTTACGGTCCCGCTTCCCCTTTGGCCGACCATACATTACCGATGGATTCGTGTAAAATGGCATCCAACAAGCTATAGGCTGAAGGGCTTCAACGCGAATGAGAACTTATCAGCCTTGTCAATCGCACTCTCATGCAACACATGTGAAGGTAATAGTTATGACCTTCCTTCTGACATGTGGTTATTGCTGTATTAAGGGACTGTTAAGCATATGGCATGCCTATGGTAAGCAGTACGCAAACGTGTGCTAACGGCTGGCATCTGTACGTGTATAATTTAGATTTAGTTTACAAGGGCCGCTTGCAGGTCAAAATTTTAGGTAGTTCTGTGCACAGTAATGACTAAGGATGTGTTGGGACGGGAACGCAAATACATTGGACGGGACCGTATAATGTGAGGGGCAGAGGTACTTTAGAGTAGATAGGAAAATTCCACAGATGTGCTTTAAGATGCGCATTGCACAGTTACACAAAGGAACGTTAGTGGATTGTGGTGAAGATTGAAAACTGGTCAGAGAGGCCATTGAGGAGAGCGACAAGGCCTGCGTTCCCCTGCCCTGTCCCTGCACCGTAAACCTCGGCCCCTCGTGGGGGCCTTATGTGCCTCCCCATGCAGGGCCTTCGTCCGCATGCATGCCCTTCCCTGCGCGGCCCCGTGTCCGTCCATGAGCGGCGCCTGCCTCCCCTGCCCTTCCCAGCATTTGGCCTACCTGCCTCTCCCTGCCTTGCTCTGCGCACTGCCCCTCCCCACAAGGCGCTTGCCTCTGCATACATTTCCCTGTTCGGTCGGCCTTCCCTGTGCATTGCCTGCCTCTTCCTACCTTTCCCCGTGCGGCGCCTGCCTTCCCCTGCCCCTTGCGTGCAGCGCCCGCCTCCCTTGCCGCTTCCCAGCTAGTTCTGTGCCTACCATCCGCATGCCTTCCGTGCGTGACGTCTGCCTCCCCATGCGCTTCGCGGCCTCTCTATATATGGCCTTATCAGTCCGGGGCCTGTGCAGCTGCGCTCCCCGCGCAGCGCGTGCGTTCTCATACCTGTTCCTGCACTGCGCCAGCCTACCCTTGTCCCTTACTCCCAATACTCCTTGGCCCCCCGTGGGACCCCCTTGCTCATCACCAGCAGTGATGGCCCCTGCAGTCGCCTGCCCTTCCGCTTGCGGCGCGTGCCTCCCCACGTGGGGCCCCTGATACCCTACCCTGTGTGACACCTGCCTCCCCATGCCCTTCTGCGTGCAACACCCCGTGCAACACCCCGTGCAGCGCCCTTGCATCCCAACGTGGGCTCCTTTGCCCCCCTTCCTAGTGGAACTGCCATTCCCCATGCGGTGTCTGGGTCCCGATGCCTATCCCCGCACGTCACCCGTCTTCCCCTGCCTCTCCCCATGCGACGCCTGCCGTCGTGGGGACCCGATACCCCTCCCCGTGCAGGGCTTACCTCCCTACGCCCGACCCGGCACTTCACCTGCCTCTCCCTGCCCTTCCCTGAGCGGCCGCATGTCCTTGCGCAATGTCTGCCTTAGTATAGCAGGGATGCGCTAATGGCTCATATGTAACCAACCGTCTCAGTTTGTGAAGCCAATGCGTGTGGCTGCTTGGCCTCCCTCAGGCTGTAGGCTCGCTACATCCTAATCCTACCCTTACCTGAGCCCCGATTCCCTTTATCAAGCTACGGGCACCTCCTGCCAAAGCCGGGCCTCACTCGTGCTTATAGGGCGGGACGGCTGCCGGATCTGGACCCATCTTTGACCCGCGGGTCAATTTGCAAGGTCAACAAGGAGCAGTACGATACAGAGCGTTACTGTGGTTACCCACACGCTGGAGTCCAGCATGGGGTGCTTATGGCTTGGTGAGAAGAAGGCATGCCAAGTCGCGTGGAACGCTTACATGTACGGCAGGAGTGTACACAGTACTGAATAAGGACGTGTTGGGACTGGAATGCAGGCACGTTGGACGGGACCGTATAATGTGAGGGGCAGAGGTACTTTCATGCATGTGGATCTCATTCCCTTGCGGAGTAGGAAGGTTCCATCGAAGTGCTTTAAGATGCGCATTGCACACTTGCATAAAGGAACGTTAGTACCGGCCAACCTTGCATGCCCCTCGTGGTGAAGATTGAAAACTGGTCAGAGAGGCCACTGAGGAGAGCGACAAGGCCTGTCGTGTCCTAACCATGCGTATGCGAAATCATGGTCCGTGGTTTCAGAGCAGGTTGGTTGGTTGCTTGCATCGCCCAAGCATGTCCAACTCGTAGACACTTGCAGTTATCTTTATGTTTTTTTATACCATCGGTTGAGTGATACCAGTGGTTGAGTTGCCGCGTTCGTGTATCTGTTCGTTGTTGCTTCCCTGGAGCGACAGATCTTGTGCCGCAGTCTTTGCCTTCGGATTGCGCCTGGTCGGCGCTTTTCGTGGCCTCCATGATGCTTTACCGCATGGTGGGATTACAACCATGTAATCGCCGCATTGTTCCACAAAGCCTATTAGGTATGTACTAAGCATTTGAGTATTGTTATGCATAGCGCCATCACCGCTGCACCGCAATAGCCGGCTTGGCCCGCCCTATCGTGTAGCACCTAGTTAGTACACCAGCCTGCTATCTAGTGGCCGTTTCAGCGCCGGCCGTCGGGAAAGCATGGTCACAGCCGCCTGCCTAGCCGGGCCTCTGCGACGTCGCGGCGCGTCGTACCGCTTATGGAATCGCCAGCGCTTCTGTGATCTGGGGTACTCCTTTATTGTGTTCCGCCCTTGTGACTTCTTACCTCGGGCGTGGGGGGGGGTGTCATACCCCATGTCATTGTTTTGCTCATTTCAGTCCTGGGGCTTGACAGGCCCGCGTTCCCCTGCCCTGTCCCTGCACCGTGAACCTCGGCCCCTCGTGGGGGCCTTATGTGCCTCCCCATGGAGGGCCTTCGTCCGCATGCATGCCCTTGCCTGCGCGGCCCCGTGTCCGTCCATGAGCGGCGCCTGCCTCCCCTGCCCTTCCCAGCCATTGGCCTACCTGCCTCTCCCTGCCTTTCTCTGCGCACTGCCCCTCCCCACAAGGCGCCTGCCTCTGCATGCATTTCCCTGTGCGGTCGGCCTTCCCCGTGCATTGCCTGCCTCTTTCCACCTTTCCCCGTGCAGTGCCTGCCTTGCCCTGCCCCTCGCGTGCAGCGCCTGCTTCCCTTGCCGCTTCCCAGCCAGTTCTGTGCCTACCATCCGCATGCCTTCCATGCGTGACGTTTGCCTTCCCATGAGCTTCGCGGCCTCTCTATATATGGCCTTACCAGTCCGGGGCCTGCCTCCCGACGTCCTTCCCCGCCGGGCGGTCGCCAATTCATGTGCAGCACCTGCCCCTCCTGCCTTGCCCTTCCCTGCGGAGCGCTTGCTGTCGTAGACCCGTCTCTGCACGGCCCCAGCCCACCTTTGCCCCTTGCCCAGTACCCCTTGTCCTCTCGTGGGATCCCCATGCCCTCTTTCCCGTGCAGGGGCTGCCTTCACTTGCCTATCCGCATCCGGGGCATGCCTCCCCATGCCCTTTACCATGCGTGCTCCACTGCGCTTCCCCGTGGGCCCGGTCGGCGGCTGTGTCCATGTCCTTCTCCGTGTGGTGCCGCTGCGGCCCTCTTTAGGAAATTCTATGCCCTTCCCCGCGTGGCGCCTGCCTCCCCATGCCCTTCCCAATGCTTTACCTGCACCTGCACCTGATGGTATACATACTCTTTAGGATGTTGTTGGGCAAACGCGTGTGGCACTCAAGCCCTCACCGTTAGGTGCATGCTGGCTACTCATAAATGCCGGTTGGGTACGCCAGCCGCCAGGGCCATGGATACCAATCCTACTCTTATACGAGCTTCCTTTACCGAGATTCGAACGTCTCTTACTCGTCAGGGTCGTACTAATGCAGATATGGCGTGACAGTTGCCGGACCTGGACCTCAACGTCGATCCGCGGTGTCACTCCCGTTTACCGGCACAGCTATTCTACCGGCAGCGGGTTGGACTACTGCCAGCAGAACCATGGGGCTGTGGCAGTAGCGGACATTCTGTCAGCAGTTAGTCAGAGCCGTCCTGTTAGTGGTTAGTATGCGTTGCGGTGGACCGGAAGTTGGCACCGTAGAACTGTTGTCGTATTCGTGGGACACCTGGGTCAGGTGATGCCGTTGCGCTTTTCTGTTGCCTGGAGATTAGCAGATCTGTTTATCTGGGTAGATTCCGGCAAGTGCCGTTGAGTTGGTTGCGTTGGGGCGTTGAGTCCAGAACTTGTGATCTCTCCAGGGAGGGCTTCCATGCAGCATTGTGATCTGTTACTGTGGTTACCCACACGCTGGAGTCCAGCATGGGGTGCTTATGGCTTGGTTAGGAGAAGGCATGCCACGTCGCAAGGCAAGCTTCCATGTACGGCAGGAGTGCCTTACGTCTTCCTATCCTTGGACGCACTTACCGGCGTCGTTGCACTATCATGTTTTGGCCTTAAGCAAGATGCTTGCATTACATGTAATTTCGCTTCACGTTAACATCCGGTCCAAGGGCATCTGCAATGTGATCGCGCCTACCAAAACCTGCTCATTGTTTTCATAAAAGCCGGATTTCTGGTGAAAGCGAAGTTGCAGCACTGATGCGTCGTGGCGGTGCTGCGACGAAGGCATACATGTACGGCAGTACCCCGATTACTCTGTTTGCCGGAGAGACCTACCTGCCTTTCAACCCTTCTACTGGACTCTCTTATAGGTTGTCTTCACCTTGCCTTCACGTTCGGGTTTCCAAGGTTTACGGTCCAAAGGGCGCCCTCGGTCCAAAGGGTACCCTATCCTTCAGGCCTTCAAAATTTTTAATAAAATTTTGCACAAAGTTGACGCGGAGCTATTGTAGCTTTGCTGTGTAGCAATCGGTTTCTCTGCCCAACCGTGCTTGGAAGTAATGCCACGCACACCCTTCAGCCTAATAACGAATAGCATTAAGCAAGCCATTTCTGTTTTATCAATGTCAATCGACTGCTCATAATAACCAACAGTCATTATTGCCTGGGGTATTTGGCCTGGGGTAGCTGGCCAGGGGCTAAGTTCGCTATGGGTTTGGAATGCAATAATCGCTAGGGGATGCAAATATGCGAGGTGTGTTTAAGGCCTAAAAACTGGAACGTAATGGCACAAGGGATGAACAGCTTGTTATGCCAGGTTCAACCTAGGTAAAGGAGACGACGGCGCGAGTGGCGTGACTGGGAAGAGGGGGTGTCGCGCCCATACGCCGGCTTGCGCACCTAGCGCCACTGGAGTCCACACTATGAAGTGGAGGGGCTGAATGAATCAAGCGGTGCAAGCTGAGGGAAAAAGAAAGTGGTTGGAATATAGTTGAAGGGCATAACAGCCGACAGTTATGTTCTTTTTGTAGATACAGGCCGAGTTGAGTTGCACAGGGTGCGAGAGTGGGGTTTTGGGACGAAAGTAAAGAAAGGTGAAGAAAACGGGGTTTGGGGACGAAAGTAAAGAAAGGTGAAGAGAACGGGGTTTGGGGACGAAAGTAAAGAAAGGTGAAGAAAACGGGGAGCACGAGAAAGTTGAGGGGATACGGTCGCGTGTTTGGTTTTCGTGATTGGGGTTGAGCATGTGATTGTGGTGTTGTCGTCGTCGTTCTATACGATGTCGTATACCAAGGTGTTGCCGGAAGTACGAAGTGTGAGGTATAAGGTGTGATATGAGTGCGCGCTGTGAACAGGTGATCTTTTGCGAATTGCAATATGGTTGTGTGTTTATGTTTTTTATGTGAGCCGCTAAATTTTTGGGGTTTCCGGGGTCGTAGGGAACCTGACTGCTTGCAGGGGTGTGTTCAAATAACAGGCAGGGGTGTGTATGCGGGCATGGGGGCGGATGTGTCACCGGTCTCCTATCAGACCGGCCCCTTCTTCCCACGATAGGAACTCCAATGCAAGAGAAACATTAATGAATGAAACAAATACCCCACGGCCGCTTGTATGGGGAGAAAAATAATGCGAATAAGGCCGCTGGATCGCCTTGTGCCCTCTCAGCATGTCATATGAAAGCTCTAAGTCCATGAAGACTGCTGATAATGATGATTTCAACAAAACCCCTTCCGTGAGCTGGGTGGGAAGGGGCGGACGTGGAGATGTTTCTGTTTGGAGTATGTCTCGTGTGATCTCTCTCGTTGAGACATGTTGATGTTCGGTATGTAGGGCACGGGGGAATTCTTCCCGTAAGACCTTCGTTGCATTGCCTTGTATTGGTCAAACAGCCCGTCATAGGTTTTTGGCAGGAGGTTCTTTTGCCGAGAGGGTGCTCCGGACTTGCTGCTTGGGATGGAAAAATGCGGAGCTGTGCAACAGAGGAAAGCCCTCCTTCCAAGAATTGCGAACAGTTCCGTACCAACCTTGGCTAATACTGCCGTACCGGAGGGTTTCGGAGCCATGAATCCGTGTATAAAGGCCCTGCGCCTACCACCTATGCTTTGCGCAATCCCGGAACTCGGTGCACTGCACCCTGACTGCGTCCAGCACTGCACCAGCCTTACATCCAGCGGCCCAGGCTGGCCACCAGGGCCCAATGACCTTTGCTCTTCTTGGCACGCACGCCGTGCGTCAAGTGGGCATACCATGCACTTAATCGTGGGCATAGAACACCCCCTTTCCATGCCCAGGGTTCATTTAGGGCCTCAGCTAGTGTCCAATGCAGCAAGCACCGTTTGGCACCCCAACCTCCTCTTTGCTTCCATGCGCCTGCCACCCTCAGGGAAGCCCGCCCCTCCACCCCTTCCACCACACACCGCCGCCGACAGATCATGCCCCACTCTCCATCACCCTATACACCACACGGGTACACGGCATCGCCACGCTCATACATCCCACCACAAGACACGCAGCATCCATCTCACACATGCATCCCCAAAACACAAACATCCACACAAGCCCCCCCTTCGACCCCTGCCCTGCCTGCAACCTCCCTAACAAGCCCCTCCTAGGACGGCGGCGCCCCCAGCCCAAGCTGCTGCCGTACCAACAGCACCTGCTGACGCTGCGCGGGCGGCAACGCGTCTATCTGCGCCGGCGTCAGACTCAGCACCTGCTGCAACACCTGCGCCTGCTGCGGCGCCAGGTTGGCCGGCAGCTGTACCGACGCAGGCGGCCCGCCAGCCGCCGCCCCAGCAGCAGCAGGTGCGGCTGCAGCAGCTGCAGCCGCCGCCGCAGCAGCAGCAGCGGCACCCTGGGCGGCAGCTCCTGCGGCTGAGGTATCAGGCGCGGGCGCCGCCGCGACCATCTGAGGTGGCTGCTGCTGCTGCTGGGGCTGAGGAGCGGGTTGCGGCAGCAGGACTTGCTGCTGCTGTTGCTGCTGCTGTTGAGGTGGTGGTGGCGCCGTTGTGGTGGGAGGGGCTGTGGTGGGGACCAGTACGGCACCAGGGGGTACGGTGTACGGCAGGCCGGTGCTGGGGTCGATGAGCATGGGTCCTGCAACCGCGGTTGGGGGTTAAGGGTTGGTTTGGGTGCTTAGGAGGACGGAAGCAGGCAAGAGAGGAGAGCATGTGGTAATGTGGGGAGGGACGTGGGACGGGGAAGATGACGAGATGCGGCGTCAGAGCATGTTGTAACCTCGCGCCGGCGTACAGGTCAGCCTCTCATACGTCATACCGTACCTGCATACACCCCTTGACAGACCCAAGCCAGTGCCCACGACATCGTGTTTCACCCAGGGTACGCCGAACCTCAAGGCCCTTCCCGCACCCCCCCAGGGCACCCCGGCTTCCTTCCTCTCCCTCTCCTCCCAGCCTCACCTGGCATCCCGCCCACCACCGTCACCGGCTGCGGCCCCGCCTGCGGCCCCGAGGGCCCCACGAAGGCCCCAGGCAGCCCAGCAGCCATCGCGAACTGAACCTGCATGCCCTGCGGAGGCGGCTGAGCCTGTCCTGGCGCTGCGCCTGCGGGGCATACCGGCGGGGTGGGGGTGGGGGTGTGAGGGAGCATGAAGGAACGCAGAAAGATTCCGGGGTGGAGTGGCCGGGGGGAAACCATGAGGGTCGTGACCCTGGTGTCGTCATGATGTGGGGCTGTGGTCGCAGCGCGTGGTCGAGTGGGGCTGTGGGTCCTTCCAAGGGTGCTGAGGAGCCAATAACGGCTCAACCGTAGATCATACGGTGCGTTACTGCATACCAGCATGCCTCAAAACATACCTAGAGGCGGCAAGTTGTGTGGGCCAGGGCCCATGGGACCGGGTGCCGGTTGCTGGGGCTGCTGCTGGGGTTGGGGCTGCTGCTGCGGCTGCTGTTGCGGCGGCGGCAGCGGCTGCTGAGCCACGGCCGCAGCCATGGAGGAGGGCGGCGGGGCGCTGCCCTTCACCATGCCCAGCAGCACTTGCGCCTGTGCGGGGTTGGGGGTAGCACGAGAGTGAGGGAGACGGGGTGGGAGGGTGGGAGATGGGAAGAAGCGCGACACGGTGTATTGGGGAGATTGCAACCTCAAGCTGAGCCGTGCATGCCAGTGAACACGTCCATGGCATTCCAATCACGGATCACTCGGCAGCACCACCACCCCGGCGCCATCCATCAATGCCCCGTGCCCCATGTGAGCTCCTCCTTCCATCCAGGCCATCATCCCACCATTCGCCACCATCACCCCGCGTTCCCTTTTACCCGTGTACCACCGTAACAGCCATTCCTTCCTTCAATCATTCCTTCATTCCTTCCTTCAATCGCCCCACCTGAAACAGCGCCTTGGTGAGCTGTGGGTTGGACACCAGGATGGACCTCGCGGCCGCGTGGTTCTGCTGGCACAGCGTGCGCATCTGCGACAGGATCTCGAACAGCTGGATGGGCGTCATGCCCGCGATCACGGTGCTGATCTTGTCCTGGGAGGGGCCCGTGTACGGCGCATTGCCGAGCAGCGCGTTCATCTGGGTGGCGGCTGCGTTGGCGGTGTCACGGCCGATGGGCTGATGTGGGAATGATGGCAAGCAAGGAAGGAGGGAAGAAAGGAGGGAGAGAGGGTGGGAGGGAAGGAATGGGGTGAAGTGCAGTGCAGCACCGTCGCCATGCAGCCCAGCCCAGCAACCCCAGCGCAGCAGTACCTACCCTGGTCCCCGGGGGCGGCCCGGGAGCCAGCCCAAGTTGGTCGCCTTCCCTTCCACCTCCACCTCCTCCTCCTGCTCCTCCTCTGGGACCTCCCCTGGGCTCTGGGAGTGCATGGAAAGGGGGGGGGGGAGCGAAACGACGCCGTTAGCGGCAACACACAGGTATCCTTTTGGGCAATAGCACTCCTATGGTGTATTCGGCAGTGCTGGCAAGCTGGTCTGGCATGGAGGATGTGGCGGATGCACCAAACCCCGGTTCATGCAGCACGGCTGTCCAGCATAGCTCCGTTCCCGCCAGACCCCTACTCCCCAACTCCCACCTTTGTCACGCTTGCCACGCGGGTCAGTTACGTGCTCATCAGCGAAATCCACACGCAACATTCGGCCATTAACCTCATATTTATTGAGGTTGCGGACCGCAGACTGCGCCGTCTGCACGTCGTGAAATTCACAGAAGCCATAGCCTTTGGGCTTGCCGGTATCCTTGTCCGTCACCAAGCTGCAGCCATTTAAAGCGACTTTGATCACCCAATTGCCCAATTATATTGCGTCAATAGAGCCGCCAAGGACGCACCGCATCGACTTGATCGGCCCCGCCTGGCTGAACATGTCAACGAGCATCTGTTCTGTAACATCGTATGGTATATTTCCAACTGCGCATTTAGGGGCATGGAATGGTTTGAGGTCCAAGAGCGAATGCGCATCGTGGCAAGTTTCTTTGGTTCTTGCAGAGCAAGCTCACTGAAAACAGTTGCGGTGGGTGGTCGATCCATTGCTTAACCTTGTCTTTGCAAGCCCCTGTATCAAATATTTATGACCGAGCCCCGATGATGTGTAAGGCGACTGTGCTATACTATTGGCCAACGAGCGACTATCTTGTTCGCTGTTCTTTTCCTTGCAAATTCTATGTGCAGCGTTTCCCAGGATCGTTATGCGTGCATATGACAGGTGCACATCAACGCTTCGTGCTGTGCCGTACATGGCGACACGACGGCGACCGCGCCGTGCGGTGTTGCCCACATCCCGATAGACGGAAGGAGCAGTGGCTAGCGTTCTTGTGGAATAAGCTCCCACGAACATGACAACGCATGTAACGCGTGCCAACACATGTTTACTACCGGTAGTACACGTGCGTTGCCGTAGGAACGGTACGGCTGGCCGGAATACCCCAAGTGTTACCCATGCATTGCCCCGGGGCATACACGACGACGCCCTTCAACATCGGCACGGATCCAGCAATGGATGCTCTGCTGTGAGTCTTTTACACCACGAGCCGTTTACTCAACCGGAGTTGCCGCTGTTAGCCACAGCACGTCGGCTGGAAGGCTGGACAAAGACGCAAGGGCTGTGATACATGGCAATTTCGCATCTGATGGTCACCTAAGGATTACCGAGAAGCCTCGCTCAAAGCACAGCTTACAAAGCCCGCTCTCTCCCTTTCCCCCGCCAGCGCTAGGACTCGTCAAAGCCACACGGCAAGACGCAACACTGCCTGCTGTCCAACGCACTGCCACTGCCACATGCGCTTCCTCCCACACAACCCACGACAACAGCGGCCTCGCTAAGCTCCGGAAAACCAGACACAAGCCAACTGCAAACCCGCTTCCCTGCATCAGACCTGCCCGCATGCCGCATCCACCTTCCCTGCAAAACCCTTGCCCCGGCCATCCCCTCTCGCCGCTCCTCATCCCTCCACCCTAAAACACAACGGCTCCCCCCGCTGCACCTCCACCGCCCCCGCCGCCTCCATGTACGCCGTACAGCGGTAGCCGCTGACGCAGTAGGCCCCCGGCCGAAACACCGCCACCTGTGTCCCGGGGCGCGTGACGGGGCGAGGGAAGAAATGCGGAGAGCAGGGTTAGAAGAGCGGGATTCCGATTTCAAGGGCAACACACAACTGCTAAAAACACCGCAGCCCAGATATGCACCCCAACACGTGGATGCCTGTGTACCGTACGTCTGCATACGGTAGCTTGCCGTACAGGGCAAGGAACGGCAAGCCAAGGCAAGGCAGGGCGTTGTAGCTGTGTTATGTGCAGACCACCACCATCCCTTCTCGGTTCTCGCATCCCCGCCCCCCAGCTCCTTCCCACACACTCACCGACAGCGCCACCTCCACCTCGCCTCCCGGCGGCACCCTGGGCACCGCCACACAGCTGGGACCCACCCAGGTGTACTCGGGGCAGGGCGGCAGCCCCGCCTGGTAGCTGATACCCAGCATGCTGCCGCCCGGACCCCCCTGCTGCCCGCCGCCACCTAGCAGCCCCGCAGAACCCCCCATGCCGCCACCGCCACCACCCGTGCTGCCGCCTGTGATTCCGGCACTAACGGGGCCACCGGGGGACATAAGTCCTCCGCCGGTGTTTCCGGCGGCCACGGGCATGGCAGGAAGCCCCGAGCCCGGGCTGTGGTGGTGGTGGGAGTGGGGATGGTGGTGGGGGTGGTGGGCGTGGAGGGTGCTGGAGGCTTGGTGGTGGTGGCTGAGGGCGAGGCTGGAGGAGGGCTGCATGCCGGTGACGGCGCCGGGGCTTTGGCCGAGGATGCCGGTGGAGGCTTGCCAGCTGTGCGGCGCGTCGGTGGACTGCCAACCGTCGCCAACCTATGGATGGGGTTGTTGATGGTGAAAGGTAAGGGAGGGTGATACGGAGGCAAGTCAGCGATAGAACGGGAACGGGCCAGGTAAGTAATTGCGGCTTCAACGAAGATATAAGGGCTGGTGATGGGCTGGTGACTCGGGTTTCGTAAACGACGCAAGAAGCCGAGAAACCGATGCGGGTGGTGACCCATGGGTCGCATGCTCGCATCGCATGGCCCCTCACCTCAATCTGCAGCCTGGCCTCCACCGCCGTGTTGTTGCGCACCACCAGGCGCAGCGGCACCACCGCCAGCGAGCTGCGGCGGAAGTCGTGTCGTACGACAGGACCCGCGCTGCCTGCGCCGCTGGCGGCACTGCTGGCTCCGTTGGGCCCCGTCAGCAGCATGCGAATGGGCGCCGTCTGGGCCTGTGAGGTGGCCGTGGCAGCACCGGCAAGGTTTGGTTTACCGGTAGATTTCACAGGCTGCGGCAGTTGACAAGGCCTGTACGGAGAGCCCCTGTTCGCGAGCCCCCTCGCGAACTCCAGGGGGAAGGCATACATGATGCAGAGGCAGAGCAATTTCCAATTTCCAAGCCACCTGCTACAGCACAACACCCTCCTGCACCCACCTGCAGGCATCCAGAAAGGTCCCGCCCCGACTGCGGGTCGTACGGCCTGCACAGCCCCAGCCGCTGCTGCCCCTGGTGCGGCCCCGTGCGCTGGCTGGCAGCCACGTGCCACAACAGCAGCAGGTCCAGCGGGGGGTCAGCCAGCGGCAGCACCTGACCCTGCGGCCGACCCGGACCCGACCCGCCGGGCGCACCCGCAGGCACCGCTGCGGGAGCGCCGCCTGGGCCCTGAGGCCGGCCGGAGACATGACCCCCGCCTGCCTGAGGCCCTCCTCCGGGCTGGAAGCCTCCCGGTGCGATTCCGGGAACCGCAGCAGCAGCAGCAGCAGCAGCAGCCCCCACGGGGCCGAAGGAGGCGCCGCGCATCAGCGGTTGCTGCGGGTACTGCAGCGGAGGGGGAGCGCCGTGGTGGGGTGCCGTCTGGCCGGGGCTGAAACTGGCTGAAGCGGCAAGGCCGCGGCCTCCTGGCTGCATTCCAGGAGCCTGGGAAGGCCCCATGCCGAACGTGCCGGGTTGTGGCTGTGGTGCCGCCCCAGGCATCCCCCCAGGGGCTTGCGCGCCACCGGCTCGAGCAGCAGCAACACCCCCAGGCGGTACCGCCCCCGCCGGACCGCTGCCCGCTGCCGTTGCAACACCCCCTGTCACGGTCACCATGCTCCGGCGGCCACGTCGGTAGAAGTGTGCCAGCACGCCGGGCCCAAACAGGTTCAACCGCTGCAAGCTGGCGTCAGATCCGTACACGTACGGCAGAGGGCCGCTGGGCTGCCCGCCAAAGCCATCGTCCAGCGCAAGGGCACGCACCGCTTCTGCCGCCTGAGCAACTGCGGTGGCTGAGGTGGTTGAGTCGCCGTCGCTTTGCTGACCTGGGGTCGTCATGCCGCTTGGAGGGGGGCTGAGGACTCCACCAGCGGCAGCTCCTCCTCCTCCGCCGCCTCCCATTGCTACGTTGCCAGCGGCCGGCACCGACCCGCCGGGTCGCTGGGACTGCGAGGGTGCCGGTGCCGGTGGCGGCGCGATGAGCTGTAGGAACAGGCTCGCGGACTCACCGGGCTGCAAGGGCAGCGCCAGCGGCAGGCTCCGCGCATGAGGCGCTTTCGCTGCTCCTGCTGTTGCCGTGGCGCCATCCTTACCGCCAGCGCCGCCGCCGGCGTCAGGGGCGGTAGCAGCCGGCGTCCCTGCCGCCTCAGCAGCTGCTCCGGCGGATGAGAAGCTCTGGCTGCCCAGCAACGCCATTCGCCAGCCTGCTGCCGAAGACGATGAGGACGACGATGATGACGACGCATGCGGTTGGGAGCCGACAGCGGTGGCCGTGCCGGCGGGTGGTGCGGCGGGCGTGACGGCGGCTACCGTGGAGGAAGAGCCCCTACCGGGTTGCTGTTGCTGTTGCTGTGGGGGTGCTGTCACGGCGGCCAGCTGCTGCAGTACCACCCGCTCACCCTCCTGCAAGGGGACATCAGAGGATGGCGGCAGTAGAGGACATCAGAGGAAGGCGGCAGTAGATGACATCAGAGGAAGGCGGCAGTTCAGGAGGAGGATGGTAGCGGGGCAGCGGGGATTACGGCATCATCGCAAGTCCTGATCTAGAGTGCCAAACGCTTTCGCATTGACAACACGCTGCCATGCACATGGGCACGCGTGACATGTCAACCGCTAACAGGAAGCAGCAGAGCTATCACGGGGCGGCAGCACTTAACAATAAATACCCCTCCGCTTCGCTGTGTGGGTTACACACCCAGCGTTCGCGCTACTGTGGCAGCGCCTTCTACCACCACATCTATCCATGGTCGGTGCCCTGGGCGCCGTGGCTCAGTTGCTAACACACACCGCGTAAGCGAAGGCCCTGCCTGGCCCTCTCCGCCCCTCCTACCTTGCTGTTGTCTATGGCCAGCCTCAGCTGGTGGTGCGACAGGCGGGTGGGTGAGGGCCACACGGCGGGTCGGGCAGCCAGCAGCGGCTGCACGGACACGCTGCCGCAGATGCGCAGCGTGCGGTGCCGCATGCCGCATTTGACAGCCTTGGCAGCGGGAGGGAGGGAGGGAGGGAGCAGCAGCAGCGGAGGAGGAGGAGGAAGAAGAAGGGGAGAGCTGGTTGAGGCGCGCGAGGAAAAATTGAGCGACCGAGTCCCCAAAAGCTACATAGTGACCCGTGAGTAGCGGTAGCTTTGCAGCCTATTATCCTTTGCCCCTTACGCCTACCGTACGTCGGAGACTCCTTGCGAGGTCCAGCATACCGGTAACCCTCTCCTCCGGCACAACCACCATCGCCCCCTTGCCCCCCCCCCCCTTCATGCCTCACCGCTGGTTCTCCGTACCACACCAACGGCAGCTTGAGTGTGCCCACGCCCCGCGGGTGCAGCCACAGCGGCCACTCCAGCACCTCCCCCGGCGCCAGCTCGCGACCCGGCCATAGCCGGTAGAGCTGCATGCTGGGCCGCACGAAAGCGCCTCCGGAGCCTGCTGCTGCGGATGCTGCGGGCACGCGGCTGAGCTGCACCACCTCGCGGGGGTCTGGGGTCGAGGGACAGCAGCAGCATGGTAACAAGGCAGCAGCAGCAGGAAGGGTGCATGGGCAGGCAGGCAAGCGTGTATGCAGGCGTGCATGCAGGCGTGCATGCAGGTAAGGGCCATCATACCCGGTACGCGGGGCCGCCTCTCAAGTGCACCAACCAACCAACCCCCCCCTCCCCCCCTCGTGTGAAGCCTCGTCACACAGCTCCTCAGCTTTTCCGCTTTTTACCCCCCCCCCCTCTCTCTCCAGCCGGCCCGGACCCACCCATGAGGCTGTCCAGCAGCGGGCGGTCCTTGTTGGCGTCCGTGGCGGGGCACACCGCCTCCGGGTGCCCCACCACCAGCGCCAGCGCGCGCAGCGGCAGGCCGCCGCAGTTGCGGATGCGCATCAGCACCCTGGGGGGCGGGGACCCAGGGGGAGTTGTTACACGTGTGTTGGTTGGTGTGTGTAGTTGAGCAGAAACATGAGCAAGCAGTTGGGAGAGGTACGCATGTGAACCGCGAGTACACGTGTGTTGGTGTGTATGTTGGTGTTTACAGGTGGGGAAGGGGTGAACAGGGGTGTGGAAAGCAGCATTGTTTCCTCCCACCCGCCCCCACCTGCACAGCTCCCCCGAGTACAGCGCGGGCGGCAGCGGGTCCGCCAGCAGCTCCAGTCGGGGCATGGTGGGCACCACCTGGAACAGCAGCCGCCGGTGTGGGGGGTAGTGCTTCAGCTGGCCGGGCCTGGGGGTGAGGAGAGGGAGGGGGAAGGGTGAGGGTGAGGGGACGTGAGAGGCCGGTGAGCAGATGGGGCTCTGGAGGATGTGTGCTGTACAGCACATGCGCGGCAAGAGTGCGGGGGAATGCTGCGGTGCTGCCTCGTGCCGCCAAGAGCTACCGATACCCATACCGGGTTAGCCTCTCCTTTCCATCCCTAACACCACACCCCTAACCAGCGCCGTAACCGCAAGGCCGCAACCAGGTGATACACACACACAGGGCAATCACAGTACGTTCCGACTCCCGGCCAGGTTTCTTAACACGCAGCCTCACCGTGTGCCCTTGGGCTTCTTCCGGCGGCGTCCCTTGACGTCGAAGGCGATGCGGCCGTGTGCAACCCCGTTGAGAGTCCACACCACGCCCGTCACCCGCAGCCAGCCCGGCACCCGTGGCAGCACCCGCAGTACCTCCACCAGCGCCTCCCCGGGGTGCAGCGTGAACTGGGCCTCGGGGATGTGCAGCTGGGGGGAAAAAAGAAGTTCCAATGTGTGGTGTGATAATGATACAAGTTGCTGACAATCCCTGGTGGAAACAACCGTGAGTCTAGCCGGAAAGGTGGAAGGGAAGGGGGAAGGGGGAGGGGGTGGTGAAGGGAGCGGGGGGGGGGGGAAGAGCAAGAATGGAAGGAGCTAAGCTGGGCAAGCGTGCTTGCCCTTACACGCCTCCGCCCATCGATCTTGTTTACAGGCGACTTGGCGGCCGTGCTAAATGTAAGCATTTCCTGTAACAATCTGCCATCCGCACATTCCTGGCTTCAAGTACCGTTAACACACACTGGGTAAGGAGCTAGGTAGGTAGCTAGGTGCAAGACCCCAAAGCGACCCCAAAGGCCTGATCCCCCCGACTCACGAACTCGCTGCCCGGCTGGGTGCTGATGGACGCAGGCGCCGAGCCCGGCAGCAGCGGATGCACCCCCTCCACGGGTGTGGCCGATCCGCCGGGAGAGCCCGCGGCGGCTGACCCATGGGTCACTACGGCTGCTTGGCTGTGCGCCGCTGCAGTGTCGCCCTCGGGCGTGAAGGTGCAGATGAGCTTGACGTTGGTGACCTGACGTCAGGGTCGGGGCGGTAAATTGGTAAGTTCCAGAGCAATGGAATAGTCTGCTACTGAAAAGAAATCCTAGCGCATAAACTAGCTCTCCTCCTTTCTTTCATGGAACCAGAATGACAGCATGTCGAAGGACTGCCGGCAGAAGGCACCATACACAGCGATTGGTACCGGCGTAGCCCTTTTAGCCCCAGCAGGGTTTCGTTAGCCCACCAGGGTTTAGTCAGCCCCTCCCACCTTGAGCTTGACTGCCAGCGGGTTGCGGAATTCCACTTGCACGCCCACCTCCTCCCCGCACACACACGTGGTGAACTCCTCGTGCTGCAACATGGGATCATGTGCAGGCGGAGCGAAACGGCAATAACGGGAACGGAACGGCAATTCAGGGGGCGAATCAGGCGGTGGGGAGCACCCGCGGGTAGCTAGGGTACAGCTGAACAAGGTACCGCAGCAGCTCGACCGGTACACCTGCTGCTGCGGTTAATTTGTTGCGGTTTACTTGTTGCTGCTGCTTGCGAACGGAGGCGGCGGGTCTGCTATCCCCGTGGGGTGCCGCATCAAGCCATCCTGATCCCGTGTCGGAAGGAGGGGCAAACGACTACAGCAAGGAGGTACGGCAGCGGCGAGCGGGAGAAGCAGAACTCACATCGCGCTCCTGCTTGGCGCCTCCCTCCACCAGCCAGTTTGTGGAGCCGTTGGAGCAGCACAAAGCCTCCATCTTCTGCCATGTGCTGTCCGGAACCTGGGGGGAAAAAGAAATTCCAAAGTGTGGTGTGATAATGATACAAGTTGCTGACAATGCCCCAACCTGGGGGTGGGCAGGGCACGAACGAACCGGAGCGGCTGCAGCACATGCGAAGTGGGGCCGAAACGGAGCGCAGAGGAATGCATGGGGCTGCTGCAAGATCAACCAGATCTTGAAGATCGACCAACGCAAGCCAAGGGAAAAAACGCTCCTCAGTTTCGATGTCGTGAAACACACTCAGTCCGGGACTCCCGGACGGGGGTGCCTTGCTACCGGTATCAATACCGGCGCAGTGAAGAGGCGGCAACCGGCAAGGCACAGCGCTACCCACCGTCCTGGCCGCGGGTCCTGCGTAGCATGCGGTGTCGCTGCACAGCACGCGCAGGTCGTGGCGGTTCACCAGCGGCAGGGGCAGGCTGTCCACCAGGCTCACTCCGTCCTGCAGGGGGGGGGGTGCGGGGGTGACACGGTGGCCAACAGGTCCATGTAATAGGGTGTTGGGAGGGCGCACAGGCAAGATTGGACTACCGTATGATGTATGACACTCTGCTGGTTAGCGGCGCCAAAAGCAGGCGCGCCTTTAACAAAAAATCATTCCTTGGGAGCATCCCTGCAGCGCCCGACCCATTTCGCGGCAGCACCCGGTCCACCCCACGTCCCACGCCACCCCAGTTCAACCCCTTGCGACCCACGCCTTATCACACGGTCAGTTAGTTTTTTCCTCTTTACCCCCCGTTCACCCCAGTTTACTTCACCCACATGCAGAATGGCCACCTGGTCCCGCACGTCCGCCAGCAGGCTGAGGAACTGGCCCACGTGGGCGGACTGCTGCGCGGGCGGGCGGTGGCCGCAGTCCAGCAGCGCGCAGAAGTGCCACAGCGCGCGCTCCTTATCGCCGTACTGAGCAGGGGGGGCGGGAGGGAGAGGAGGAGGCAGGGATTAGATAAAATGGGCCGCAAGGAAAAGACGAGGGAGAGAGGGATGCATGCAGAGGGGAGGGGCAAAGTGGAATGTCGGAGAAAGGGAGGGAAAGGCGGATGCGGGTTAAAGCAGGGCGGGTTGTTGTGAGGTAGCTCAGCCGGGGCGGTAGAGGCGGGGACTGCACAGCTGCTGCTGCTGCTGAGCAGGTGCTGGACTAGGTGTTAGCAGGTGAGCATGCAACGGGCCGTTTGCGAGCCGACCAATAGGAGGGTTTCAACCCTTTCTGAACGTTCTTGTTATTGAACCCTCACCTCGACGCACTGCGCTCCCAGCACAGCGTGCAGGTGCTCCTCGATGTGCCTCCACTTCTTGCCCAGGTATATGCCCAGCACCTGCAGAACAGCAAAAGAAAGTCCGAAGGGGTTTAACCCGGTCTATCGCGCACATGGTGTGGCGCTCTTCCTACGTCCGCAAGTACCCAAGCCCGTGCGCATTGCCGAATGGCGCAAGCCCCCTTGACACGCATAGAAGGGAGCCGGTTATAACAGCATCCTGCGCAGACTGCTTCTCATGCACCGCCCTCCTCCCCCTGCTACAGACCACAACGCACCTGTCGGTATGCATGGATGGCGATGCGCTTCTGGCCGCAGCAGATGTAGCGGATGCCCGCGAGCACCATCTGGAAGGCAAACTTGCGCACCAGCGGCGGCCGAGTGTATAGCATCGCGTATGCAGACTGTGGGCGGGAGCGACCCATGGGTCGACTGTTAGATGTTGAGCATCACAAAACACACGCCAATGTCGTCCACTATGCAAGCATCCCTCCTCCTTATCAGTACCGTTAACAAAAGAGCTGCACACACATACCTGTTCCAGCAGCAACCCGGCGCGGCCGTTTTCCTCCTCCGACTGTGCACGCATGAGCGCATCACTGGTGGCGCGGTGGCGCCCCGCCGCCGTCTGCACCGCTGCTCCCAGCAGGATCACGCGCGTTGCAAGCATGCGACCCATCTTGCTCGCCGCCACAGCCGCCGGAGGAGGCGGTGCCACCGCAACGCTTGCCGCTGCCATGGTGGTGGTGGTGGTGGCAGTGGATGTAATCAGGGTACCTCCATTTGCACCCCTGGCAGCTGTGGTAGTGACGCTGGCGGCGGCGGTGGCAGCGGCGGCGGCGGCTGCCGCCGCCGCCAGTACGGCTGCAGGCGGTTTGCTGTAGTTCTCGTAGGCGCGCATGAAGTACTTCATGGGGTCGTTTTGGAGCAGCACGGCTGCGATGGGGTCGGTGGGCTCGCCTAGCACGCTGCATAGCCCAATCATTTCCTGTGGTATGAAAACGTAGTGTGTGGAGGGGTCGGAGAGTCGTCATGAGATGGGGGCGGGAGAAGGAGAGAAGCAAGCAGATGTGGATGGCGTGACGCATGCCACGACACATTCCTCAGAATTCTTCAAGATTTGGCATCGGAAAAGCGCATCTGGCTAGGATGTCCAGCCGCACACGCAGCCCGTGTCATTGCGGGTGCAGCAACACTCACCTCCACGCCGGCATACCACCTATAGTTGTTTTCGGCCAGGTAATCCTGAGGTGGCGGGGGATTGGAGGGACACGGAACGGAGCAACGTAAAGCGACACGACCCTGGAGAGGAAAACGGGGGAGCAGCGCCTACGCAGAGCATGGGGCTGTAAGTGGCAGCAATGCTACCACATGGTTGCGCCGGAAGACGGAACGCTCGGACGCTGCGAATACCCATATAAGATAACACAGGCATGCAGTATCTCTCCCTGGAACCACCCCACGGCCGCACCTGTGCCGCCAGGCGGTATGTCGACTCAGCAAAGGCGTACTGGCGCAGCAGAAAGGCCAGGTCTCCCAGCTGCCGCATCTGCCCCTCAACGCTGTGCCACGGGTATGGCCTGTACGGCAGAGGCAAGGGCGCGCAATTGCTCAGCTTGCTCACCGGTACCACTACCTAAGATACCGGTATAAGAAAGCAGCCGGTTGCTAGTTGCCCAATGGTAACCGCAACGGGACAGGGACGTCTCCAACAGGGCAACAACACAGCGGTCTTCAAAGGCCTGTCGAAGGTCTGGCACCTCCCCAAGCAAAATGTTAAGCAGGCTTTGGACTACCCAAGGGCTCAGGGGCCCGACCCTCGCTGCCACGTATTACGTACTTTTCGTTCTGCCGGTCCTCCGCTGAGCCCTTCCAGAAGCGGTTCAGGCGGTTGCGCAGGCCGCGGCGGGTGGCGGTGATGGCGGCGTTCAGTCGGGCCATGCGCTCCTCCAGGCGAGGCAGCATGGTGCGGGTCATGAAGTCGCGCACAAAGGCCGCTACCCCATCCAAATCCTGACAGGTGGAAAGGACAAGCGCTCTCCACCTCTTAATTCACAGTCCAGACCAATTATGCGAGTAACAGCAGCGGGTAGTGGCAAGAAACCCTCGTCTAGGAGGGCAGTCCCAGGGGGCTTGGTCCCTACCTGCACGGTCAGGTATGCGCCGACTCCGCCCGCTGGGGGCGGCGGCCGAGCCAGCGGCTCTCCCGCCCCACCACTCGGCAGGCAGGCGTGCTGGTAGAGTGCGAAGAAGTCCACGGGGGCTCCGCTGTGGGCGCGGTCCCCTGTGTTGTCAGGTCGGGAGGCAGACAAAGAAAGGGGATGGATGGTACATGGCAACGACCCAGCAGGCAAGGAGCGCAACTGAGAGGCAACAAAACGCAATGGAGTTTCAGTTGGGTTCGGTTAGGCAGTGGGCTAATGCGCTGTTTGTTGTGTGCTGCTTACCATTGCCGGAGTTGATGCGCAGCAGGGAGCAGTGCGCCTCGCCGTACAGTTTCCTTATCGCTGCCAGGTTGTCAAGGGCCCTGCATGAAAGGTGGTGGACAGAGGCAGAGGCGTCAGGAGGACGTTCACGATACCGCAGGGGAACGGCAAGTCATGTACGGATGCGGTAAGCGAAAAGCACTCATTGCATGCCAGTCGTCTGCTTCCTAGGTCATCCTATTAAGCTTCCTGGTTTGTCTTCGGGCGCAAAAACATCACCCCTACTGGGCGCCTCATTCGGGGTCATTCCCACCACCAGCTCCCAACTCCTCAAGATTGCCCGCCCTCCCAATCCCCACCGTTTCTCGTTCATGCCCGCCGCCACATCCAGCAGCAGCATATAGTGCCGCGGGAAGTCCTTGTCACGCAGCGAGTACATGACGTCCTGCTGCATGAGCGGCGGCAGCACCAGCTGCCCCACCAGGGTGTCCAAGTGGGAGGCGGGGTTCACCACGTCGGCGGGGATGGCGAACACGCCTGCAGGTGGGGGTGCCATGCGGGTGTTCAATTGGGTTGCGGGGTGCCTAGGGTTCGGTTTGGAGGGAGAGCGGGAAAGAGAGGTGCGTGCACACGGTGGCGGCATGGATGGATGGGTGGTGGCTGCGGCTGGCTACGAGGTGCGGAACGCTACAGGGAGGGAGATACGCAATACGGCCGTACTGTCAAGGGTGCCCGGTGAGCTCCCCAGGCCTGGCTTACATGCGACCGGGTAGTCCAGAGTCTCGTGGTCGCCGAAGCGAAGCAGGCGGAGGAACTCTGACCGGTAAGCGTCAAACCAAGGCGTCAGCTCGCGGATATCCGGCGGATTGCCTGCAGGGGGCGAAAGGAACAGCCCGGCATCTCTCCTGACCCCCCAAGTGTAGCTGGCTTCGTGCTTTTAACCCCGCGAAGTGCTTGCATGCAGGAGTCATGCCAGCATACACCCAGTCCTGCTGTCAGTTCTGTCCATCAAGGGAAACAACGAAACCCGGCCGCGAGGCTTGTATTAATGGCAGACGGAGTTTCCCCCTGGGGTTCAATCAGAGCGCACGCCTGCATGGGTGCTCATCATGCTCACGGGTCTCGGCCCCCCTGCAGCCCTACCCGACATGAAACGCTGCAACAGGTCTGGCGCGGGGTCCAACTTGGCATGGCGCTGTGCAGCCGTCCTCAGCACCTCCTGAAGGTGGTCCTCAATTGCCTGCCCCAACCCAGTACGGCAATGCGGCAGGTGACACGAATGTAGGGAAGAGAAGGCATGAAAGAGGTCACGAGTGCCGCTACGTTCCCAGAGGCTAAGAAGGAGTCAGTCGGGGCCGCGCTGGATTGGGGGAGGCAATTCAGGACTGCGGCAACCATGTAGCCACAAGCGCACCTCTGGCGGAGGCTGGTACATGGTCGCGACATCGAAGAAGCGGATGCGCATGTCCTGGACGCGCACAGAGGTCTCTCCAACGCGTACCGGGACTGCATGGGGCAACGCGAGGGAGTGCGCTCTTGGAAGCCGGGAGTTGTGAACAGGCAACAACCCGCACGTCGAGGATAAGTTGGTTCCAGCGGATGTGATAACATTTCCCTACCCCCCAGCATATTTCTAAGCACCCAATCCGTCAATTCACCATTGAGCTGGTAGACACTGCTGTACGGCCTCAGAAGGTCAACAAGCCCCAAACCATTCTTGGCTTGGACCAACGCCTCGGCCGCTGGCGTTGCAGCGACAAGCACCGCTGGTGCATAGAGCTCCTGGAGCCACGGCCTAATATCCATGTGGCGCTATTTTTTTGTCAACATGGCCATCAGGTTGGTACAGGTTCAGTTAACAACTCAATTCCTTTATCTCTAATTATGCGAGGCTGTTCGGCCTTTGCGATCCTGCATGAACCGGGCAATTTTACGGGTTGTGCATGTTGCCGTGCAAACCTCGTCGTGCAAAGAAGACTTTGGTCTCATCCTCGTCGAACGCAAAATACTTTGTGATACTCACATAGTTCTTGCTACTATAGTGTAGATTCACATAGTTTAAAAGTACATATGCCGCAACTCGGGCGTTGAGGGGCTGATCGCACGCAAGCTTGTACTTGCCTGGACGCCGCCTAGATCATGAAGCTACTCGTTCTCTGCGCTCTAGTTGCTTGGCTGCAGCTGAGTGCAGCAACGCGGGTTCATGTGGGGACAGTAGACCTGAGCAGCGGCGTGGGACGGCATCTCTTGAGCGAAAAGGACCACAAGTATAAGCAAGACGATAATGTTCCACTGTGGGCTAGCAAGGTTGGGCCTTTTACAAACCCCAGGTGAGCAACGGAAGAGTTTCTTGCGGTCAGCCATGCCAACCGGCACAACAGCTTCTAAAAATCATTTTCGGCTCACGCGCAGCGAGACGTATGAGTACTATAGCCTGCCTTACTGTCAGCCTAAGGACGGCGTGAAGCATAAGCTTTTGGGCATGGGCGAGGTGGTGGACGCAAATCGCATGGCCAGCACTCCCTATCAGCTGCAGTTCCGCAAGGACCGCCAGCGGGAGCAGGTCTGCGAACAGTTGTTGGACCAGGAGAAGCTAGCAAAGTTCCGGAAGGTATGTGCTGCGTATATTGGGGTGTTTGGCGGGCTTGCAGCATGCTGAAGGCATTCAACCGCTCCCAGGCTGTGAAGGAGGACTGGTACTTCCAAATGTACTACGACGACCTTCCTGTGTGGGGCTTCATTGGCTATATGGAGAAGCTCATTAAGCCGGGTGGTGTGACGGAGTATGCGTACAAGCTGTTTACGAACATCGACTTCGATGTTAAGTATAACGACGACCGGGTGATCGAGATCAGCGTGTCAACAGACCCTCAGGAGGTTGTTGACATCTCTGAGAACGTCACTTCGACTGTGAAGGCCGCGTTTACGTACTCGGTTAAGTGGACCCCCACGACTACCAAGTTTGAGCAGCGGCTGCAGCGGTATGAGCGGTTTAACCTCAACCCCGTGCACCTGGAGGTAGGTTGGCGTTTACCCCTATGGAGAAAGACATCATATCCTTGCTTGTTTCACTCACGCTAGGGCCCTACACCCCTGTTGTGTCCTGGTCGTCGGAACCTAACCGGTACTCGTGTGTTACAGATCCACTGGTTCTCGATCATCAACTCCTGCGTCACCGTGCTGCTCCTCACTGGCTTCTTGGCTACCATCCTGATGCGCGTTTTGAAAGCTGACTTTGTCAAGTACTCGAAGGACGATCGTAAGTGCTGCCCCGGAGTGTTTTGACACAGCCCCCTTGTTCGGCATTTGGCCGCGTGTGGCTATGGGCCATGGCTATGGCCCTGTTAAACAACGCATTTGCCCCTGTGCAGCCGCCATGGATGAGGAGGAGTCGGGCTGGAAGTACGTCCATGGCGACGTGTTCCGCTTCCCTCCCCAGAAGAACCTTTTCTGCGCTTTCGTGGGCACTGGTGCACAGGTACGTGAAGGTTGGGGCAAAACTTCATGTCACCGGGAAGGGCATCACGCCATGCGCTTGTCGCCCACTCCTTTTGCGATTACCTATGTAGCCCTGCGCCCTTGACGGATGGCTCCCCCAAATTTCCCTCTGCAGCTGTTCTACCTGTCGCTCTTCATCTTTGTCCTGGCGCTGGTGGGCGTCTTCTACCCCTACAACCGCGGCGCCCTCTACACAGCCCTCATCGTTCTGTACTCCCTCACAGCATGCATTGCTGGCTTTGTGGCATCTTCGTACTACAGGCAAATGGAGGGCGAGCTGTGGGTTCGCAACATTCTCCTCACGTGCTTCATTTACTGCGGCCCTTTCCTGGTCATGTTCGGCTTCCTGAACACGGTCGCCATTGTTTACAAGGTAAGGCACCAAGATAGGAGCGAGGACGTAGGCAGCACTGGTTGCATGGACCGTGGGCAAGGGGAATCTACTGCTGGCTTGCATGTCACGAGTGTTTTCGCAATTTTTGAAACGGTGCATGCTCTAACCCTCCCTTACAGTCTACTGCGGCGCTGCCGTTCGGTACGATTGTCATCATCCTCCTGATCTGGGGCTGCATCACCATCCCTTTGACGGTTTTCGGTGGCATTGCTGGAAAGAACAACCGGTGAGGTGGACGGGTCTTGATGCGTGCCCTGTGCATGGAATACAGTCAGCATTGTCTAGCGGGTCCTTCCAGCATACAGGCACTTGTGGCAAGGCCTCCTGATGGCTAACTACGGTCCTCACCTTCTCCATAGTAAACAACTGAAACCGATCCCGTTTCCTTTCCCCGTTGCATCTTGTATTATTTCCCTGCTTTCATCCCCAGCGCCGAGTTCTTCGCTCCATGCCGCACCAACAAGTACCCGCGGGAGATTCCGCAGCTGCCATGGTACCGCACCACCGTTCCCCAGATGGTCATGGCGGGCTTCCTGCCCTTCTCCGCCATCTATGTGGAGCTGTACTACATGTTTGCCAGCGTGTGGGGCCACAAGGTGTACATCATCTGGTCCATCCTTGCTATCGTGTACGGCATCCTGATTATTGTCACCGCCTTCATCACCATTGCGCTCACGTACTTCCAGCTGGCTGTGGAGGATCACCAGTGGTGGTGGCGGTCGTTCCTGTGCGGTGGCTCCACGGGTATCTTCGTGTACGGGTACTGCTTCTACTACTACTACGCTCGTTCCGACATGAGTGGCTTCATGCAGACGGCGTTCTTCTTCGGCTACATGTTGATGGTTTGCTTCGGCTTCTTCCTGATGCTTGGTACCGTGGGCTGGCGCGCGTCGCTCATGTTCGTTCGGCACATCTACCGCGCCATCAAGTGCGAGTGAGCAGCACGCGCCTCTGCTGCGGCGCACTCCCGCGGTGTGCCTCGTTGCTAGGTGGCTATGTCTGGATGAGTATCCAGCTGTGCAGCTAGTTTTGTGTGTGTGTTGCGTATAGTGGGGCATTGAGACTTGTGAAAGCGGTTTCCGGTGATTGGCGGTGCGCCTTTGGGGCCCAAACGTGAATGGACATGCTGTTAGCAATCGTTAGGGCTGTTTCCGGAGGCAGTGTCCGCTTAGGTACAACATTGGACGCGAGCACGGCCGTTGACCGATAATGAGGCGACTCCGTATACACCTAGATGACCGACACTGTTAGGCTGTTATATCCTTGATGTTAACAGCCCATAAGGGGTTCCAATATGACCCAGTCAATCCTTGGACTAACACACTGTTTATGCAACAAACCTAAGCTGCTATCCGATGCATACGATGCACGTGTCTTGTATCTCCAAAGGGGTTCCTGTGTCTGCCGCAAGCAATACCGCAACGCCCCACGGCCCTATCCTAACCAAGCACCTGCATGGTATGGTCTACAACTAAGAAATCCAGCGTTATCGACTAGATGCGCTTATTGATTGCCGCAACCTGCTGGTACCGGTAAGTACTCACTCGCTCTCTATTTACGTCTCAACAATGCCCCAACCCTTAACGGTATCTTACCAACACACCCTGCATGCCTTACATCACTCGACAGGTCTTACATTCCAACCCTCTACCGCGCCAACCACCTCAGCGCAAGTCCAGGACCTCATGTCGGGTGCGCTCATTAATGTACACATGCCCGCACAGCTCGTACAGCTCTTGGCCCGTGTCAGTGGGCGGGTGTGTGTGGAACCCCCGGTGCGGGCACTTCTGCACCAGGCCCAGCCCGCCGGGCGTGCTCAGCCGGAAGATCCCGCAGCGCTTCGACGGGTCCGTGGGTGCCATCACAATCGCCATGGCCTCATCCAGCATCGTCTGGTAGCCGCACTGCGTGTGCACATCCACGGACGACAGGAAGCACGTCTGCGTGGGGTGCGTGTGGATCCATCCCATGGGGTAAAGCTCCCGTTGGAACTGCGCCTCAAAGATTTCCTCCTCATTCAGCGCTTGGACCGTGTCTGTGGTGCCTTGCTGCTTGGGAATAATGAGTGTGGTGATGGCAAAGGTGCTGTCACCCGCCAAAAGCTTGCCTGCCAGGATTCCGCACGACTCAATGCCTCGCGAGGTGTTGGACCGTGCGTAGTGTAGGAACTCCTCCATGAGCGACACGCTAATGTGTACGTCGCGCAACTGAGCTCGCTTGGCCAGCTCCTTGGGGCCACCGCTGGGAGCAGGCGGGGCTGAGGCGGGTGGTGGCGGGGACTGGGGAGGCGGGGGCGGCGGCGGCGGCTGGCCGTGCGGGATGCTGCATGTGTCCGGCAGCCCAACCGTGGAGGCTGGGATGGTGAACACCTGCGGCAGGCATCCCGCGGGGGGGGGGGGGTTTCTAAGACCATACCATGTACCGCGCTTCCACATTCACACGGTAGCAATTACTACGACCAGTTGTCACCTAGCCCAACCAACAGTACACCCAAACCCCCCAAAGCCCCCTAGTCACTCACCGACACCTCCTGCGGCCCCAACGACGGCCCCGCGCTGGGATGCACAAGCAGCTGTTGCGGCTGCTCCCCCGGATACGACCCCAACCGCAGCTGCGTTAGCTCCGCAGCAGCCGACGTAACCAATGGAGCAGAGGCTTGACTGCCCCTTTCTAGCGAGGGATATCGCGGCAGTGCCACTGCCAAACTCTGGCCTGCAGACTGCGAGGGCGGCTGCAGCTCCGCCAAAGGCATCCCAGCAACTGCGGGTGCAGCAGCAGCAGCGGCGGATCTCCCAGAAAACGAAGTCGACGGGGCAAACAGGGCATGCCGCCCGCTTGACGAGCCATAGCTATGAGAGTACTTGGGCTGCGGAATGTCCAAGCCAGCAGTTGCGGCTGCTGTCCCCGCCAGTGACGCAGCCGCCTGCGCTGCCAGCGCATACGGGTCCGACGGACCCATGGGTCCAGCCCGACTGCCACCGCTGCTTTGCCCAGGCTGCTGCACCGCTGCTGGTGCGGAGGGCCCCGCCGCCCGACCTCCCTGCATCAACTCAAGCAGGTCATCCACCTGAGGCACCGCCGGCGCGGGCTGCACTCCGGGCCCCCCGTCAAACCCAACAGCGCTCGCAGGAGCTCCTGCAGCTGCTGCTGTAGCCGTTACAGCTGGTGCTCCGGAGGATGCCCAGTCCAGCTGCGGCAGGTTGGATACGCTGAGCCGTACGGCATCCGCTGGGCGGTTACGGGAGTGGGCGGTGGGCGGCTCCGGGCGGCCCTTGAGCTGGAGGGAGGCCTTGAGGCGCTCTAGCTCGGGAAAATGCCGGTCTGACAGCCCCTGGAGCACGTTAGATAGGCAGGTCATAGTGTTTAAGGATTCTTGTCGTCAGTATTAATCAAGCACGCTAGCCGGTGCTAAGCCGACTAGAGGTTAATACCGGTAAGCAAGGTCAGCGTGAACAGGCTAAGAATGATGTTTGATACGGTGCCACATCCCCGCTCACCTGCTTCAGCGCCACATACTCGGGGTTGCTGCCACGGAAGTCGTTGTGCTTGGGAATGGTCTCCAAGACAAGGCTGTCGGGAAGGGGTTTCGGTTAGCAGGCTGGGCATTAGGTTCGGGAGTCGGAATAAAGTGCTGCCCTTGCTGGCCCACATGAAGTTGGTGCCGGTAGGAGGCGGATAGTTGTGCTTTAAAGTGTCTCGTGCCAACAGCGGATACAGGATATGATTAGCATTGCAGCCGAAGGAACAAGATGCCGCATGTGTGGGGTTCAGGATTACCCTGATAACGCCGTCTTAGTGAATGTTGGAAGTGTTCCCACCTGGCAAACCGCAGCAGCACAACGTACAGCTGCTCTTCATTTCCCACCGACCGGTACGCTGAAGCCTAGGGGTATAAAGAGGGAAAGGAAGCTCAGATGAGAGCTATTAGCAGCTTAGATAGCCAACTTGACAGGCGCAACTTGCTGGGATGGTTGTAAAGCGCCCATCTAGTTTGTGCGACTCCCTTGGCACCCGTTATAACCACCTGGTTCAGTAGGAGGCGTGCCGATAGGAGGTAACGATTGATAGAGACTATGTCATTGACGGGTCGCTTAGGAGCCTGCTCGCTCAGATGCTCCAGAAGCGACTTTGGCTTTGTGCCACGGCCAACCGCAGGCATCCTTGCAACTAGAGTATGCCCATAACCTGATAGGTGATCCTCGCCTACGAGGTCTAGTACTTCGTCCACTACCTCATTGCTAGGCTAGCGGAGACCCAGAGGAAGCTGCCACTGCCGAAACACAACGCGTTAAAAGTATCTATTATAAGATGCTGATGGAGCGGTACAGCCCTAAACGGCGCTGAAAGCACTTGAAGAGAAAAGACGTTTCGCAAAAGACCTAGGCTTATGGATCCGCGGTAACGCTTGCGAGTTGAATTTGCGCAACAAAGCCGACGAACTTGGCTTAAATGAAGATCGATTGCCAGGTACTGAGTCGGAAGTTGGCTCGCAAATTGGAGCAGTTGGTACGGATGCATCAGTTAGGTGGTCCATACTTGCAAGTATTGCACCGTCATGCTGCTCACAGGATTGCACTGGAAAGCTCTGATGTCTTGACATGTTGTCGCTGTGCTTTTAAGGCATTGCGCGGAAGGGCGTCCGTCGGCTCGCCGGCTTGCAGTTGCACCACGCGCCGCTGTGACCCAAACACTTACGGTAACAATTTGTCTTGACTAGTGATATAGGTAAGCGGTAACGTACAGGGAAACCAGGGGCGCCAGTGGCGATATATCGCTTCATGGACGTCCGCCGTCGGCTGGGCAGCTAGCGTTCAGCATAACTGCAAACCGTGCGCTGTATGGAGCGCTAGCTTGGTCAACTACAATTACCACTTTTAGTGTCCGGCTCCGAAGCCGACAGCCCTTGACCACCAGACGTTCAGGACGTTATCCAGCGACGATTTGACGCGTCCATACCGGCCTCTGCCCGCCATTACCCTCTTCCCTCAACGCCTCCCTCTCATCCCACTACACAGAATGCTAGGGACGCTGCCGCTATGCAGCTCCCTGCACTCGCAACCTTCCCAGCCACCATCAGCGGCGGCAACGGCATCCCCTGCCCCCGTGCCCGGACTCCCAAAGCGAAGGACCCGCGCTAGCCACCAAGACAGCCTCCTCCAACGCAACCGCTATTCGAACCGCACCTCAGCTGCTTTACCGTGCGGCACCAGCAATGCCAGTCCGGCAGGGGTGCTGCTGTCGCCCGCTGCTCATTGCTGTTGCACCCAACATCACCTGCGGCGCACGGGGAGCGGCTGGCTGCATCGGCCTCAGCCGCGCCAATGCCCATTAGGCACAAGCCAGCCCCCCCTGCTAGCCGCTGCAGCTGCTGGCGGCCGCCGCCGCGCCGTTTCGGCTGCTGCTGTTACCGGCGGCAGTGGGGCGGCGAGTGGGGTTGCTAGTGAGGGTGCTGCTGGCGGTGCGGTAGCTCCCGCTGTGCTGCGCATTGCAGATGGGCTGCCCATCAGGTGTGTTGGGTGGAATGGCTGGCAAGCCGGCAGCTGATACGACGGTCACGTGCGGACGCCAAAGGGTATCGCATACCATGTGCGCTTCTGTACATCAATTAGGGGACCTACAAGATTGACGGTTATGTAGCTTACCGGTATACAAGGGGGCTGGGGACATGAGTGCCTTGGCGCCTATCTGGTATCTGCATAGGAACCTGAGCGCTACCCTCCACATGCCCCGCCCCTGCCCCCACATGTGCCTGCAGGGAGTGCCTGGAGGAGGTGTTGCTGGGGCTGGACCGCTGCAGCGGACTGGTGCTGCAGGTGTGGGGGAGTCTGGGAGAAACCAGCCCTTCCTGAAGGAAAGCAAAAGTCAGGGCAACGCAAGTGGCAAAATGGCGAGGGCGGACAAAGGGTAGTGCCTGGATAGGATACCATGGCACCTCGCATGCGGAGGGATAAGCGATTAAGCTGGGGTCGTAAGAGGGGAAGGAACAAGCAGGAATGATTGGGCGGATAGCACGGATGGTTGCTCCCACGCAAGCTCTGAACCAGACAAACAGCAGTGACCGGCAGCATTGGCCCAGCCCAGCCCCGTCTTCACAACTAACCCTACCTCAATACTCCCTTCCCCATGCTTCTCCGCCTCCCTAAAAGGCTCCTCCTGGCGCGGGTAAGACCACGGTGGTCCCGCTGGCCCTGCTGCAGCACCAGCCCGCCTACCTGGAGCCCAGACAGCGCATACTGGTGAGCGGGAGCTAGCGGCTAGGAGCTGGGAGAGTGGTTGGGGGAAGCGGAAAGAGGGGCGGCTAGGGCGAGAGGAGAGGAGCTGAGAGGGGTGCTCGGGGACGTCTGACGGCTGACCGCTGTCCCCTTCTCTCCCGCCGCTCAGCCTTACAAACCTGCCCTTGAACGTCCTTCTGACGCCTCGCCTCCCTCCGGGCTCTCCCTCCTTCCCCACCGCCTCCATTCCCTTCACCGCTGCACTGCTCCCTGCTCCCTCCTGTCTCCCCCACCCCCAGGTGTTGGAGCCCCGGCGTGTGGCAGCCAAGGGCGCAGCGCGCCGCATGGCTGCAGCCCTGGGGGAGCCGGTGGGGGCCAGCGTGGGGTACCGGGTCCGGCTTGACAGCAAGGTGAGAGGGTGGGCGGGAGGGAGGGCTGGGTGAGTTGTGAAGCGTTGATGGTTGCGGAACGGCTGTGTGGGGTGTAAGAGAGCAGTTGCTGCTGCGGTGGTGGTGGTGGGGTGATGTGGGTTGCATGGGAACTGCACCGTGTGGTTGCCACTGGCCCTGTTACCGTAGTTGAAGGCCCTTGAGGCGCAGATGCGCAGGTGGTGGTGGTGGTGGTCACTGCGACATCGCGTCGCTCCTCGCCCCGTACACGGCACTGCCCTGCCGCTCCTGACACTTCGTTCTTCATATTGATGCCACTCTGAACACATGCCTGCCCGCCCCGCCTGCCTCGCCCCGCCTGCCCCCGCCTGCCCCTGCAGGTGAGCTCCAGCACGCGTATCGAGGTGGTGACGGAGGGCATCCTGCTGCGGCGGCTGCAACACGACCCCGAGCTGGAGGGCGTGGGAGCGGTGGGTGGGGGGTGGGAGTGAAGGAGGGGAAGGCGGCGAGCGTGGGGGAAGGGAGGGAGGCAGGAAGCCACAGGGGAAGTAGAAACGGAGAAGTAGGTTGGAGAACGATGAGCAAGCTAGGCGTTTCCATGCGTTGCGTTGCTGTCTCTTCGTAGCTTTCTACGTCAGCACCTCTCCCAACGTCTTACCTACCACCGCCGGTACCCTCCTCTTCCTAACCTCGGCACCCGCCTCGCCTCGTTACCCCATGTGTACTTTAATGAGTTCCATGTTTTAACTCCCCTTCCTGTTCTTTTTCCCCCTTCTGTTCTGTATCCCCCTCCTGTTCTTTACTCCCCCTCCTGCTCTTGTCCCGCTGCTGCCTCAGGTGTTGTTCGACGAGTTCCACGAGCGCAACCTGGACAGCGACCTGGCACTGGCGCTGTGCCTGGACGTGCAGCGGCTGGCGCGACCCGACCTCAGGTGGGTACCGGGAGTTGACCGTGTGACCCCAGGTGGGTAAAGAGGCTACAACTAACTAACTGTGCGACCTTAGGTGGGGGTGCGGCGGAGGTGCCGTGTTTGTGGTGAGAAGGTGCAGACAGCTGAGTGGGACGAGATAGATAAATAGGTAGATGATGGGTGAGCAGGAAACAACACCTGGCCCTGCCTCCACTTCTCCCATGCCCCTTTCCCCTGCTCCCCTGCTACCTTCCTGCACTTCCCTGCGCCCTCCTGCGCCCTCGCCTCCTCTCCTTCACCTTCCCCCACCTCAACAATGTCTCATCATAGTTAGTTCCCCTGTACCTACCCTACCTCCCCTTACAGCATTACAGCCCGTTGCGAGTAACCCTATTTTACCCTACCCCACCTCCGGCCCCCACCCCACCTGCCCACCTGTTCCTTCAACACCTTGGGATTCTTCTTTTACCCCACTTCCTGCCCCTGCCAGACTGGTAGTCATGTCCGCTACGCTGGGCGGGGGCCTAGGCGAGCGAGTGCGGCGACTCATGACGGCCACGCAGCGCGAGGCGGCGGGGCTGCCTGCGTGCGAAGAGGAGGAGGGGGAGCAAGGGCCGGAGCAGGGAGGAGAGCCGGGGTCAGCAGCAGCAGCAGCAGCAGGAGCAGGCGGGCCGGGCTCGGTGCCGCTGGTGCTGAGTGAGGGGAGATCCTACCCCGTGCAGACGATCTATCTGGGGCCGCCGGAGGGTGAGGCAGCAGGGGGTGAGGAGGAAGGGAGAGAGGCAGGGTAGAGGAGGATGGCGGTGCCGGGGCGGGGGTGAGAGGTACCGGTAGGGAGGCTTAGCGTTGCCATCTTGTCAACATTGTCACGTAGCCTAACCCTTTCGTTGACGAGCCCGTTGATGGCGTCGCACCATGGCTCCTCCTTCGTCCGCCTCTTGCCTCCCAGTCCCCTACTCGCGCCATTTTTCTACCCTTTCTTTTCCCCTCGTGTCCCTCCCCTTTCCTGCATGCCCCCTCCAAGGCACCGCTCGGGGCGCCCTGGAGCGCGCAGTGGCGGCAGCGGTGGGGCGGGCGCTGCGCGATGGAGACCGCGGCAGCAGCAGCAGCAGCAGCGGCGGTGCGGATGCGGATGTGGATGCCGAGGCCCCTGCTGGCGACGTGTTGGTGTTCCTGCCAGGAGTGGGTGAGATCAGGGCGGTGGAGAGGCTGCTGGAGGTGAGGCGGGGGCTGGGTTGGTGGAGGTGGAGGAAGGGAATGAGGAGGAGGAGGAGGAGGTGGAGGAGGAGGGAAAGACCCATGGGTCAGGGCTGCAGGGAGCTATTGAATGGCGCTTGGCCTGGCCGCTGGCACCTACCCAGACCTACACTGAGCATGTACCATGATGCCAATGCACTCTTTCCGTCCGTTGTTCCCACCTGCTCCTCCCATGCCATCTTTCCTATGTATTTCCAGGAAATCGGCATCACACGCAAGTACGGCGTCCGCGTGCTTCCCCTGCACGGCAACATGGCTCCAGACGAACAAGACGAGGTGCTGCGGCCAGCTACTTCCGCCACTAGCAGCAGCAGTAGCAGTAGGTTGCGACGGCGACGTGTCATCCTGGCGACTCCCATCGCCGAGTCCTCGGTTACTATTGACGGAGTGACGGCCGTAGTTGACAGCGGGTTGCGGCGAGCGCCCCGGTACGACCCAGCAACCGCCATCAACCGCCTCATCACGGTGCGTGGGTGGGCGGAGTTGGTGTGCTTGGGGTGCTGCTCCTTGGGGGAGGGTTGGCGTGCTGCTTGTGGCTGGTGCATGTTGGGGTATGGTTTGCCTCGCTCACCTCACTTTCTCTCCACACCACCTACCTCATCCTCCCAGATTCCCATCAGCGAGGCCTCAGCGGATCAGCGCCGGGGCCGCGCCGGCCGCACCGCGCCGGGTCGCTGCTACCGCTTGTGGTCAGAGCGCGCCCAACTAGCAGCGGTTTCGGAGCCCGAGATCCGGACTGCTGACCTGGCGCCTGCCGCCCTGGAGCTGGCGCTGTGGGGCAGCGGAGACGGGGGCGACCTGCCATGGCTGGATCCCCCGCCGGAGGGGGCGCTGAGGGCGGGCAGGGAGCTGCTGCAGGTGGGTATGAGGCGGCAAGGGGGAAAGCGGGAGGGTTAGTAGCCAAGGGTGATGGCCCAATCCTTGCGGCTCCATGAACAGCACCCTTACCCTCGTCATCATCCCACGTTTTCGCACTACCTGCTATTGGCGCACTGATGCTGCAGGACCTGGGAGCTGTGGACCCCGTCAGCGGGCGACCCACGGGTCACGGGCGGCTGCTGGCGCGCCTGGGCGTGCACCCCCGCTGGGGCCATGCGGTGCTGCGGGGCGCCCGGCTGGGCTGTGTGGAGCTGGCGGCGGTGGTGGCGTGCATGCTGGGGGCGGAGCGGGACGTATTGCGGGGGGCGGGTGGGGCGGCGGCGGGCGGGCGCAGTGCGGATGTGATGGTACGGCTGGAGGCGATGGCGGCTGGAGGTGAGGAATGCGTGGGAAGGTTTGTGTGCACGCGGGGATAGATTCCCAGTCTACACACAATCAGTTTTCTGTTGTCACTCTACGCCTGGTTCTCGGGTATCGGTATCCCTCCTGATTTCCTCACCACAGCTGATCACCTTCCCCCTCTGACCCCCCTCTTCTCCTCCTCTTTTCCTTCCCACCCTGCCACCCTCCCCGGGACTCGCCAGATGCCGCATGCGACGGCGCCGCCGTATCCCGAATACTGCAGGGCGCCAAGTCCATGGCAGCGATGGTGGCGGCGGCGGAGGCGGCGGAGCAGCGGAGGAACGCTGCCGCCGCCGCTGCTGGCAGCGGCGGCAGTCCGAAGTCCTCACCGTCGGCAGCAGCTGGTGCCGGAAACGGCCAGACGGGGGACGACGATGAGGAGGTGGCGGCGGCGTTGCGTGCTGCGGGCGCTACACCGCTTGATTCCGCTGATGCCTCGGAGACAGATGACGCTGATGATGAGGGGGAAGATCATCAAGGTTACGTCGGAAGTGCAGAGGAGGAAGGCGAATTCTCCTCCATCTCCACCTCCACCTCCGCGGACTCCCAACAGCACAACCCCCAGCCCCAGCCTCAGTCACAGCCCCCTCGAAAGCCGCCACCCCGGCAGCAGTCCCCACACTCCGAAACCAGCCCTGCCACCACCGGGCAGTTCGAAACCGCCTGGGTCTCTCAGCTCCGCCGAGAGGGGCTGGTGGGGGCGCTGGTGGCCGCAGCCTACCCGGACCGCATCGCTGAGCGCCGCGAGCGGTCCAACACCCGACCCGCCTACACGCTTGCATCAGGTACGGCGCATCAGATGCCTCCACCCTGAGCTGTGTTCTGCTTCCGTACACCAGCTGTCGTACCCGCTTCGTACGCTCCATCACCTCTTGCCCCTAACCCACCACAAAGCAGCCCTGCATAACTACCGGTAAGTACCGAACCCCACTGTCCTCCTGCTGCCGTCATCGCAGGTCAGGTGGTGCGGCTGCCCTCGCCTGACGACCCTCTGGGTGACTTCGCCTATCTCGCGGTGGCGGACATCGGCGGGGTGGGGTCGGCGGCGGCAGCAGCGGGGCGGCGGGACGGCGGCACCAATGACACGGTTCGTGCCGCCGCGGGACTGAGTACGGCAGCCATCGAGCGGTACCTTGGGGACATGGTGCAGGTGGGTTCGGTACGGCAGGGGGGAGCCTGTGGTTTTCTGCGGTTTGGTATGGTCTTTTGTCCCCATGACCATATCGTAGTAAGCCACCACTGATATCATTCAACGCATGGTTTTTCTTCTTTCCTCCTTTCCTTCTTTTCCCCATCAGGATCGAGAGGTGGTGTTCTGGGCCAGCGGCAACAAGTCGGTGGTGGCACGGCGGCAGCGGCGGCTGGGCTGTCTGGTGCTGGGGGAGCGAGCAGCGCCACCGACCAATGATGAGGCAGCCTGGCCGGCGCTGCTGCAGGTGGCAGGGGCAGGGCGGGGGGTGGAGGGTGGAGGGTTAGGGACGAGGGTGGAGGGCCAGGGAGGGAGGAGGGGGAGGGGGATGCCCTCGTGCGGAAGGGCAGGTAAGATGGGAAGCATGGTGGGTACGAAAGCCATGTACTGCTATCGCTCTGGACAATGCGTTTTCCTGGCACCCTTACGGTACTCATCTTGCGTGTCTGCCTGCTTGCCTGCCTGCCTGTCTGCCTCTCCTCAAAGGGTTTCAAGGAGATGGGCGGCATCCGTGGCGTGGGTCTGAGCCCCGCCCTGGAGTCCTGGAGGCAGCGGGTCATCTGGCTGAGGACACAGGCGCGATCGGCACAACCCACCGCCACTGCCGCCGCCGCCTCTTCCGCCTCGCCTTCCTCCTCCCACTCCTCCATCACCACACCTACCACCATCAACAACAACGGCAAGGGCACCACCAACAGCACCACCAACACCAACAACAACAATAGCACTATCACCACGTCCGCCTCCGTCTCCTCGGGGAATCCTGCCGCCGCTGCAGCCCGGCTGGCCTCCCTGCCCGACCTGAGCGACACGGCTCTGCTGGCGGAGGCGGCACGCTGGCTGCGACCCCACCTAGCAGGGGTGCGCAGCCGGACGGATATAATGAAGCTGGACTGGAACGCGATACTCAGGTAGGTTAGGGGTTGCCGCTGTATCCTTGAAGTTCGAAGTTCGGTGTCCGTTTGGGGCTTTCGCTGAAAGGAGACGGGAGAAGCTATGGAAAGTGCTGGGAAAGCGAGAGGAGGTGTCGCGGGGAGGTGTCGAGTTGAGCGGAGGAGGATGAGGGGAAGGGGACAGGGAAAGCAGCACATGGAGAACATGAGAGGAAGGTAGTCCCACCACATTGCACGTGGTGCACATGAGGTAGAGAGCGGGTGAGGGTACCAGCACTCCCGCTCACGGCTCCGACTCACCCCTTACCCTCGTGTTACACCACGCTCCTCCCGCTCCCCCTCCCCTTCCGCTCCCCCTGCCCGCATGCAGATCCCTGGTCCCCTGGGACCTGCAGCCCCTAGTGGACTCCGAGGCGCCCTCCCACCTGCAGCTGCCCACCGGCTCCCGCGCCGCTGTGGACTACAGCCGCAGCCCGCCCTGCGTGCGCTGCAGGCTGCAGGAGGTGTTTGGGCTGCCGGCCACGCCGCTGCTGGCGGGGGGCCGGGTGCCGTTGCAGTTGGAGCTGCTGTCGCCGGCGGGGCGGCCCGTGGCGGTGCGTGGGGAGCTACCTGGGGAGATACTGGAAATGGGGAGAGAGGGAGAGGGAGGGGGTTTGGGGAAGCAAGGCGGGGAGCGGCGCGGGTGCTGGCTGGGAGCTAAGGCGGGCAGGCGGGGAGAGGCGTTGGGTTCTGTGAGGTTACTGTCCCGGGTTGTATTTTGATGCGGGAGGCTGTTAGTTTATTAAGCAGTTGAGTTGCTCTTGTACGTCATACAACCCACGACTCGCGTACCCCCTGGTTTCGGGCGCACTCTCTCCATGTGCCACCGCACCCTCCCCCGCTGCTGCAGGGTACTTGGTTTCCTTCTCAACCCCCGTTTTCCTCTGCTCCCCCTCTGCCGCAGGTCACCTCCGACCTGGCTCGCTTCTGGAGCAGTACCTACCCCGAGGTACGGCGGGAGCTGCGGGGGCGCTACCCGCGACACGTGTGGCCCGACGACCCGCTGCAGGTGATGAGGGCCCACACGGGGGAGGGGGGCAGGGGTGGTGGGTGAGGGTGTCAGCTCTCCTAGCTATGCCTACGGTTCCGGTATCATGGGACAAAACCCTACCAGGACACGCAAAACACATGCAGGCGCACTCGCTGGTGGGCGCATGTACCTGTCGCCCGCTGCCTGCGAGGGTGCGAGGGTGCGTACGGCACCGAAACGCCCTGCCGCAACCCCTTTTCCCTCCTCTTGGCTCCGGTGCAGGCGGAGGCCACTCGGCTGACCAAGAAGCAGCTGGAGCTACAACAGGAGCGGCAGCAGCAGCAGGAAGGCGCAGCGGAGGGTGCCGCGGCAAGCGGCGGCGGCAGCGGCGGCAAGAACAAGGCAAGCGGGCCGCCCGCGGGAGGGACGGGTGGTAAGAAGCAGAGTGGAGGTTCAGGCGGCAAGCGGAGATAATGGAAGGTACATGCAGCGGGAAGCTCGCCTACACGTATGCGACTGCCGCATTGCCGTACGAACAGCAGGCGAAGCTGTGAAATTGCACGTGTAATGATAATCCTTGCGGAATGCCGCCATGGGTTCCACACGCGCGCGTGCGTGGATGGGTGAGTGAAGTACGAGGAGATTGCGGTGCGCGCGCGCGAATGCAGGCAGCTGCCGATGACTGCGTGCCAGAAGCCACTTGCCATCTGCTCGCACTGGTCACGTGGTAAACCCAGATGACCCAGATGGCGTCCTGTGTTACCGGCACCTCATGTGCACCCACGATGGATGCCAGTGGATTGCGGCATGAATGAGGCATTCAAGTGATTACAACTTCCTGCATTGGCTCTCCCCACAACCGATTCCCATGCCCTAGGATGCGCTTATTGCGTATGTAAGGTGCAGGGAGGGGATTTGGTGGTACGGTAGGTGAGATAACTGTCGCGGGTAACAACCCGGGGGCTGTGTACCCAAGTACGATAACCGGAGCCATGTTTGACCAGATGAAATGTGCGTCTGAACTCCTTCTCGTTACCGGAACCTGGGAGGCTAAGTAGTGGTGCACACCGCACTAACCTGCTTCATGGCTGCTAGCTGCTGCTACCGGCTGCTACCGGTAGAATATTAATGGGGCTGTTGGCAACAGTGCAACATTTTGGGTAGGTGAGGTACGAGGCTGGCGGTGGGGCTTTCCCGCTGGTTCCGGTTGCGAGGGATTGGGGCTCAATTGTAATCATAAGGCAGGAAGCTACACAGATTTAACGTTACATGAACTTTAGCGGATTCTGTACCATGTCGTACCATGGTCTGTACACAGATCCTCCGTACATGTCAAACGTCAAGAAGCTTGCCAAATATACGACGCGACGAACTGAAACGCCAGACGGCACACTCCCTAGTTCAGATGAGCCGCCATGCGGAAGAACCCCATGCCTCCGGGGCTACACAGTATTGCACATTGTGGATTGGATATGAAGTGCGAACACGAGATTGTATCAAACTCAAACGACACACGAAAGTACTATGTGACACATATTCACAAGAAGCATACAAGCCGGACAGCGGACTACGATTGGGAGTAAGGATGTTCATTTCATGGGACACTCTCAGCGTTGCAGTTCTTGTTCGAAGAGGCTTGACCTTGAGCAGGCGGCCTCACGCGCCAGGGTAAGCTGTCTTGCTTAGAAGCCACCACCACCCATATCGAAGCCACCGCCGTTGTCGCCACCGGTCCAGTCACTGGGATCGAAGTCTGACGGAGCAGGGGTTGGAAATAAGGGATATGTCAATGTCATGTCGAAACAGATCAATTAGCTCTGAGCACAGGCTATCGCACTGGAAGCGAGCAATTATAACAGGAACATAGTTGCAGGAACATTTGTGCAGGAAGGGCTGCAAAGAGATAGTGCTCACCTGGCTTTGGCATCTTGGGGCCATGGCCCTTGCCCTTGCCACCAGGCGGGCCCATAGGGAAGCCGGGCATACCAGGGTAGGGGAACATCCTTTATCACAAGGAGACTGGCGGCAACACCTGCGAAAGGAAAATGAAGCGATTGGTTAGTAGCGTCAATAGAAACGCACGTCGCAGGTGAAATGTAACTGCCGAGCCCGTAAAGCAAGAAGAGACAAAAAGCGCGAGACAAACTTTACTAGTCCACTGCACGGGACGTGGGCAACACAAAGGCGTATGTTGCGCGCCTGCGAGGCGAGCGAACGGCACATACCGGTACGCAGAAACCTAGCTAAGGAGCGCGGATCCCAACTTACCAAGGTTAAGCTTGTAAGGGCGTAAGAATGATGATCTCGGTCTGCAGGTTTCAGACAACACAGGGTGCAAGGGTTACCGTTCACAGCAGCATGTACGCGTCAGGCCACCGGCACTGTTGGTGGAGCAGTCCTTGCCGTTCTTACCTTAGAGAAGTCTTCAGAAGTCTTCCGTCAACAAATATAACGTGTTCAGGATAACGTTAGTTTTTATTTACGTAGGCTAACCAGGAAGGCCTTAGGGCCGTACCCTGGGCCTTATACAGCAGTTGGAATTCCCAAGCATGCTGACAAGGACACAAACCGCTAGCAACTGGTTCAAGCCAATCGTGATTTGTTAAACGAGGAACCCAAGGGATAAATGGGGCTCCAGCCTTAAGCGCCTGGAAGGCCGTAACTCCAAGACAGTAGTCCTTGCTGTCGCGGCTCCTTGTTAACACTCCTGTATATCCTATTCTGTTAGCACAGGCGATAATGAATTTAATCACTCTATACTTCCTGCAAGAGCTGACCCTTTCACATGATCAGTAGGAACTGCTTGCCATGGAACGTGCAAACCCTAAAATACCAAAAATGTGCATGTAAATGAGACATGTAAAAATGCCACTGACCGACTCAAAGCTCGCAATGCGTTATCGCAGCTAAATGCTTCTGGGCATGCACAGTTGTATACAGTGGATGCGACGGATGGACCTTACGGCGCCACCCGCCCTTTCAACATATTCTATTCATGGATGGTGGCGGATGCACACCGCCATGGTTGGGTGGTGCCACGGGTTCTTTGCCGTGAAGCACATCCATGGGACCGGCACACCAGCCAGGCCGGCCGTCAGATGAGGAGACCGGCTGAAGCTTAATAAAGCGGCAAGGCATGATTGCGTCTTTGATTACATTTCGCGTAATGTGTGGTTCTCTGGTCTCATTACCGGTATCACCGTCGCTTGGTCTGCTTGAACAACTACCGACACTGGAACGATACCACACCCGGAGCAACAACGCTAGAACTCCAACCAAAGACACGCAACTGGGTTGCTTGTTGGGCGTGAGGTTGCATTGAGTTGGGGCATGGAGTCTAATGCAGGGTGGCACGTGGTGGGACAGTCCTCATGGCACGCATTCCAGGCTCTCTGCCACTTTCATACCGAGGAGCTTAACAAGTCCCTGCATAGTAAACAGGTTAGGGGTACATAAGCAAGCACCGTTTCATGGTAATCAAGATGGCCCCGGGAACCACGACACTCGCAGTGTACGTTCAAATGGGTCTCAGCTTATCAATTACATGGGTTGAAGCCAAACACCCCGCGAGCATTTACGTGTGTATGGGATGGGTTGTATCTGCAATACCACACCACATTCAGCGACTGCCTCGGCTTACGGAAAGCTGAGAGGCTGTACAGAGAGACGCAGTTGTACATTTAGCGTGCGAAATACGGATACACAGTTTCACATGCAGCGCTCGAGGAGGTCACGACATGCAAGACAATTCCCACAAACCGCGAGGAAGGCTATGCACCAGTAGAACCGTGATTCTGCACCACGTCGAGCAAAAATTGCACAGTCGACCAAAGCCAACGACGACAGTGCTCAATCCTGCGACTTCAATCAGTCTACTCTACAATTACGAACTACTGTACATACAAGGCGCAAATATGCCGCTCACGTTACAACCCCTGCGTGAAACCTTCAGCGTAGCCTGCAAGTGCCCCCTTAGAAGCCTCCCATGCCGCCCATAGCGCCAAAACCGCCCATCCCTCCCATGCCTCCCATGCCGCCAAAGCCTCCCATACCGCCCATGCCGCCTGTGGGGTCAAAGCCTCCCATGCCACCCGTAGGGTCAAAGCCGCCATCCTGGCCACTCTGGTCGTTGGGGTCAAAATCTGCGAAGGCAACGCGAGCAGCAAATACCCATGTAAACAAGATGCAGAAATTGAATGTGAAGTATAATCAACTTATACCGTGGGTAAACTATTTTGAACAACAAGTGCAACCACTGCAATCTGCAAGCACATATCACATGCCGATATATGATACCGCGAACACGGTACCGTGAAAAGTATCAAGTAAAACGGTACAACATTAAGCCTATGAAATTTAATTACAACGCTTAAGCAATACCCATGTGGTAGCCGCGTACCTGGCTTGGGTACCTTGGGCATCCTAGGACGACCACGGCCGTGGGGATGAAACATCTTCGCTAAATTAGGAAGGAAGCAATTACCTGGGAAAGGGAAGGGCAGGACAGGAGGAGCGTTTCGTTGGGGTTGTGAAGCATGGGCGAAGGCTGCTCGCGAACTGGATGTGATATGGAATGTTATGTCGAATAAATGGGCACCACTAATGGTATAATGAATAGAGTGTCGCCACTGGCAACAGGCGCCGGTAAAGCGCTGAGATGGCAGTGTTACGGGTCAGGCATGCTGCGAGCATTTCCAAAATTAGATGAGTCGCGCCGATAAATACCAAGGACACATAGGACTCAATGACAGTATACATATACTACATGATGATGGCGACGAGGCGGTCATTGATAGTCGGACATCGCAGTATTAGCGAATGCTCCAATGCCGAGGTGCTCACCGAGTTTAAAGCTGTTGCACGGCTTGAGGATGGGCGACCTGCGAGAAGACAGGCGGAGGCGCTTAACATGCGCCTGGTCGAAGGCGAGGCACTATCGTTGTGAAGTCGTCCCGACAAGACCTCACTCACTTTCTAGACGCAGGGGTGTGCGCGATCAATAACCTAAAATTAGAAGACGTTACTGCCGCTTTAAATCCTGTCAATCGTTGCAACTTATCTCATGGCGCCCTCCTGGAGCGGGTGACGGTTGGAACTGGTTGAAGTGACTTGTCTCTTACACGTCAGCGTTCCAAATTGTGTGATGACAGAAACAGCTAGCAGGCTTTACGGAAGTGGCTAAAGCCTGGAGAGCAGGCTTTCTCTAAGGCGCATCGCCTTCGTCCTAACAATGTACGGTAAGCCTTGGCACGTGATTCGGTGCGTAAACTTCCGAACATGCAGGTACAATAACCCGTGCGTCCGTGATCGCCTGCTCAGGTATTATCAGTGCGGTGGTGTCTAGCTGTCTACAAAGCGCAGGGCCGGCGACGGGATTTCAAGGCTCTTACAAGAGAACTCCTGCGCGATCAGATTGGGTAACCCATCTGGCTGTATTGGCCCTCGCACATAGTACTGCGCTTTGCATAGCGTGGCAATATCTCATTCCAGCGATGTTCATATCCATTTAGCTGTAAGGCTGTCGCGCCAATTCCCCAATCACTTGCAGCATTCGATGCAGATACCTACGTTTAGTTACATTTTCACAGCTGGGCCTCCTGGTCACGCAGCGAGGACCGATCCGCATGCTCGCCATGCTCTGCGGAACCCGCGATCGACGTTGCTTGCAAGGCCTCAAGCAGCCCCGAGAGCTGCAGGACCGCCTGCTGCAACCACATGCAGCGGCTGTCCTGTCCTGACGCCGTTTGCACGGAAGGCGAAACGGTCGGACCCTCCCCATCGACGCCTTTTGAGGCGTGATGCCCCGTGGCCATCCCATTGTTCCGCTTTGGGGATGCAGCCGGCAGCCGAGCTGAGGCGCGGGCCTCCTGAAAGCGCGCGGTTGCGAGCGATGTAACCAGGCGTTGCACTGCACTGGGCACACGCCGAAGAGCCGCCTTGACCTATGCACACGAGGAAAAGGGGAGGGAAGCGCAAGCAAGGATTTAGTTTCCCAATGTGAGGGAGTCTCGCAAACTGCAGTCAACCATTGCTGAAAGCATCTGAGCGGACCCACAAACACCATTGTTGTGTCTTAGCAGCCTGCTGTACCCTTTCCAATCCATCTCGTTAGTAAAACAACCAGCGCGCCACACACCTTCTCTCCATGGTACACCAGCGACCACAGGCCCGACGCAGCGTACGCAGCCCCCTGCGGGTTGTCCGCAACCCCCTCCACAGCCGCCACCAGCGACGGAAGCACTGCTGGTTGTGCCAACAGGTGCGTCTTCGCCTCCGCTGCAAAGCACAAGTTCCGCAGGAGGGCGAGCGCGGCGTTACGGAGGGCGCACTGCTGGTCCTGCTGCGGCTGAGGATGCTGTTGCAAGGGCGCGTAGGCGAGGGGCACGCCATCTGGGCTGCTGGCCACCATGCGAATGACGACCTCCAGCAGACCAGGCGCGGAGGAGGACTTGAGCAGCGCCCGCTGGCCTTCAGACCAGGCTGCCAGGTTGCCCAGCACCTGCACATGATGATGATGATGATGAGCAGCATACGTGCACACGTGCGTGATTTCGACATGCCAAAAGGGACCCACGCTCACTACCGTTACTATTGTAGAGCAAACAACGTGCATACTTTACCGGTGTCGGAGGTTGCTAGCGGGCGTAGGTGAACCCAGCCAAGACCTAAGCACCCAACCCAACACCAGCTGCCCAGTTACCTGCAGCAAAGCCGCCTGCCGCAGCAGGTCACGGCCCAAGCGCTGGCCTCCGGTGCCGCCGCAGGGGGCATTGGCCATGTCTTGCAGCGCCTTTTGACACATGCCGGGGAATGGCGACTTGAGCAGCAGCTGCACGCCGTCCTCGGCCGCGCTGAAGTGCAGCAGCACACCCACCAACAAGGTATAGGTGGGCGTCTCCAGACGGAGTGGCTGCAAGGGGTCATCACGATTTTTGCGGTTTACCACTTGGCATGTAAGCTATGCAGGTCTGTTAAAGCCGCGGAGTCCACAACCTCACGTCAATCTCATGCATGTACTTCGCTGGCATCGACGTCAGGACCGCACAGCTCCCGAGTAATACCCATGCACATGGCCATGCACACCCCGGTTGCCTTACCACCAAGACCTACCCCGAAGACGCAGCCTAGTAAGCTGCCTAGCAGCGTCCCAGCACCGCCTGCAGCTGTGCTGGCAGCCTCGGGTCCGCCTCCCTCACATGCCACACGCGAGCGCGCCTCCGCACAGTCCGGCAGCAGGTTGGTGGCGCAGCCCAGCAGCTCATGGAAGAGAGGACCGCTGGTGGCGGCGGATGCGCACGGCCACAACGCGCGCAGCAGCGCTACCAGGCCGTCCCGCACCAACAGCTGGCGAGCAGGAGCGCTGCCGTGCGCCATGTGCTTCAGCAGGGACAGGCTGGCCACCACCTGGGTGCGGAGGGAAGGAGGGATGTCAGGCATTCGCAGGCGGCGGCCTGTACCGGTATGCATGCGTGTTGCGGCAAACAATGTGTCCTAGGTAAGGGTTGACACAGCGTTCAACGCGGGAGAATGTACCTTTTGCTCTATTGCCCGCCGGGCAGCTGCCTTCTGGTCCGACGGTCCCTTGGGGCCCGGCCGCCCCTGGTCTGCACCGCCGCGGGGCAGCAGGGACGCTGATAGCTGTGGCCCCTCGGCCAGGGAAACTCGCACCGACGGCGCGTCTCCAACCTCAATGGCCAGCTGTGTAGACGGCGCAGCTGCGGCAGCAGAGGATGGCTTGCGAAGGCCCGGGTGACCCCTGGGTCCGTGGGCCGAGGAGCCGGGCTGCCTGGCGCCCCTTCCTGCAGGCGCTGGCTTGGTTGTCGGAGAGGCTGCATAGGATGACGAGAAGGGGAATTGCAAAACGGTGATGAATATAGGGGGAAACGTGCTCCACGGTTGCTTCAAGTGTGCAGCACGTCGATGACAGGATTCTGGGTACCAAGTAACGGCTTGCGATTGCAATGGACGATGTGACCTTACCAGTACACCAGTCAGCACGCGAACTCCAGCCCCTCACCTGCCACCGAGCCGACTGCCTTCCGCTCAGCCCCAGACGCCCCAGACGCCGCCTGCTGCGCCGCTGTGACAGCCGACCCCAACAGCGTCGTCGCCTTGCTGCACCCGGCGATCAGCGCCCGATGGTACCCAGCCCGCAGCGCGGCCATCTTGGCACCGCTGCTGTGCGCCAGCAGGTTTCGGAGCGCCACGATGATGCACAGGCTGTCGGAGCTCAGGGTCGGGGGCCTATCCGGGGCTGCGGAGTGCTGTAACGGGGGCAGCGGCGAGCCCAGCAGGTCGAGGGAGGAGGTGGAAACGGGGGCGAGGGCGCCGTCTGGCAGGAGGTCCAGTAACGCGGCACACAGACCCGCTCCGACCTCCTTGCCGGTGCTGCCTACCAGGTACTCCTCCTCTGCAGGAATCAAGATAACATCGCGCAGGATGATTAACTGATGACATGCATGTTATGCCGGCAGAGGTTGAATGGTCAAGGGATCCAGGGGCTGTCGGCACCCCCAGAGGGCCATGCTGAGGTCTGCTGTCAGAGCCTACACAGCCGAAATCCCCCCACTGTCCCGGTGTGCCAAAGCCCCCCCCCCACCAGCCCAGTCTCACCTGTCAGCTCGAAATGCAGCAGCCGTGCCGCCGTCTCCCGCCGCGCCAGCAGTGTAGCCAGCAGACACACCACCTCCATGCGGAGCGGCCGGGGGCTGCAGGCAGCCAGCAGCACCTCAGCACTCTGGCATAGCAGCGGACCAGGCGCACGAGAAAGCAAGGCGTTCAGCGTCACCAGAGCCTGCGAAGGGGACAGGCGCCCAGCCGTTTGATACCGGTATGGTGTTTCAGCTGGTGTACATCAGGCGTGACCAGCACCTGGGCAGCCGCGAGCCGCCTTTCAACTCAGCGCGGAGGACCCTACCTGGTGCGCTTCATCTTCAGCTAGGAGCTGCAGTACGGCGTTTCCAGCGGCTGCCGCCTGCCGTGCCGCGGCTAGCCGTAGCATGCCCTCCGCCGCCTGGGAAGCAGTCTGTGACCCATGGGTCGCGTCAATCGCTGCCACGCAAGACGCCAGCCGAGCGAAGCATCCCAGCAGTGCTGCCGCGGCAGCTGCGGGGGAGAGGCCTAGGCTGGGTAGTGACAGTAACGGCGGGTCCTGCTGGGTGTGGGCCAGCAGTTGGGCTGCCAAAGCGGCGCAGCGGAGTGCGGCGAGATGGTGACGGGTGTCGTTCGGATCAGTGGGTCTTGTACCTGGGAACAAGGGGCGGAAACACCGGGGGTCGATGCACGGGGTGATAGGTATCCGTACCATATCTCGGGTAAAGGCAGGAGCGACGTGGATCCAACTAACAGAAGCGTATGCACGCGGACAGGGCTCCCGTCTTGGCTGTAAGCAGCCGTCAGTTCCACTTTATCACCTTACCCCCTCACTCACCACTCGCCGGGCCGTCCTCTGCCCTGGGCTTCACGCTCGCGTCGATGCCAGCGCACATCTCCAGCTGCATCGCGGCCGGCACGTCAGCCCAGCGAGTCGCTCCCTGCCCGCTCGATGCTGCCGCCAGCCCGGCCGCAGTACCAACCACACCCGCAACACTACCACCTCCTCGGATCCCAAGACCACCAGCCTGCCCTTCTGCGCAACTCTCCGCATCACTCCCCAGCACTGCCAGCACCGCTGCCCTGTCGCCGCTGCCAGCCGCTGCCACCGCCGGCGTCATGCTTCCGCTTCCTTGAGGCCATACAACCCCCATCACGTCCCCGATGGTCCGGACGTCAAGCAGCTGAAGCAGGCGGTCAACGAGGCCCGGCTGCCCCAGCTGCGCCGCCACTCCCTCACCGTCTAGCAGAAGCCCCTGCAGCAGCAGCGCTAGGGCGGACGCCAGGAAGGGCGCTGGCGCGTCTGGTTCCCGTAGCATGGCGGGCAGCTGGGCCCATAGCGTGGCGTGTTGGAGCAACCAAGCGGCAGGGGGGAGGGAGGTGGTGGAGGAGAAGAGCTGCCGGCGGGGCAGGAGGGAGGCTTCGGAAGAGGGCGAGTCGCCGTCTTCCGGGTCGGCGGCGGCGGGCTGTGGATGCGGGGGAAGCGCCCGGGATGGGAGTGTCAGGGCATGTAGGCTAATACATAACGCATACGAAGCTCACTACAAAATAAGATGCAAACGGGGTTAATGTAACCGTATGGTATACTTGCGTTCAGACTTGCGTACCTGCGTCACGCCGCTGGGTGCAGCAGCTTCCTGTGCCATGCAGCTGCCCAGCACCCGGAGTGCCGCCGCACGCAACGCATAGCAGTTCCCGCGGTCACTGGCGGCCTTGGCCATCATCTTAACTGCGTCAGGCCAGCCCTGCAGGGACAGCAACAGCCACGGCGCGAAAAACTTAAAGCCGACGTGCAATCCCTCCCAAGCCGCTAGTCCAGTATTCAATTCAGGCGCGCCGGGCAAAGCATACCCCAGTACATCTCTTCACTATACGAGCCGCAGAGTCGCTGACCAAGGGTGCACACGCCTGCATGTGACCCACGGGTCCGTCACCTGTACCCTACCTGCGCTACCATTGCATGCGTGCCCTCCGCCCCCGGCTGCATGAGTCGCGCCAGCACCTCGGCTGCCAGGGAGCGCAGCACCCAGTCGCGATCTCGCAGCAGCCGCGACACCCAGAAGCTGCCACTCAGCTGCATGGCAGCATGGTCAGTACGCAGTAGGTAGGCATTAGGCCCGGTCAGCACATGCCGAGGTGTTGATTAAGATAGTGACCTGAAGACGTCTTAAGCGGAGAAAGAGCTGTGTGGTTCGAATGACCGTTGTGGGGTGCAAGCAGCTTGCTTGCTTGCATGCAGGTGGCATGCAAGGGAGCCCCATGCGAACCCGACAGCTCTTTCAAGGAATGCAACACACGTGGGGGCTTGCACGCATGCACGCTTTCTCCACACCCTACAGCTCACCTGCTGCCACACCGACGTCCATTCCACCACCGGCAGCAGCGATGTCAGGTGCAGCAGGCAGTGCATGGCCAGCCGTACCGCGCCCTTGCCAGCAAAGCCGCCCGCTTGCCGCTCTCGGGCCCGCTCCGCCGCCACTGCTGGCACGGAGGCGCCGCCCAGGCCGCCTAGACCGCCAGCCAACTGCGGAGCGGAAGCCGCCCCCGCTGCGAAGCCGCCGCCAATGTTGTTCAGCAACGCGGCCAGGCATGCCAGCAAGGCCTCCTGAAGACCTGGCTCGAGCGAAGCCACCTGCGGTGCGAAGAAGACATTGTTTGGGTGGGTTACAAACCTTACGATGCTGCTCTTGGTACCTGACCTGTGCATGCTGACGGGCTTGCAGATGCACGTGAGGGGTGCAGCCAGCCAATGCTGGGAAGTAGGCATACCATGCGCATGGCAGCTTGGTCGTCATGGGAAGATGTGTAAGGAGGCCGCAGATCAGCCGTCGCGAATGGATTACAACCTCACATGCAGCAGCCCCTCAGCACCTACCTCGACGGCGTTCACTTCATGCGCGGCCGCCAGCAGCGCCGTCATCTCCTGCAACAGCTGCACCGACAGCGCGCGGCAGCCGTAGTTTGCCGCGCCGTTGCCAATGTAGGCGGCCCCCAGGGTGCGCAGCAGCTGCGTGGGCGAGAGCGCCAGCAGCACGCGGAGCGCCTGCTGCAGCGGCAGGCGCATACGAACGCACCTGGGGAGAGGGCAGGGTGAGGCGGCGCACGTTCGTGAGGAAAAAAGGGATGAGTGCGGCAGTCATTTCGTCAACCTCAATGCCGAATTGCCGATGGACGATGAGCGTCGATCAGCGTCGCTGCGGAGCTATGCTCGTGCAACAGGTAACGGTCATTCATTCATTAAGGTATGCAGCGTGTTAGGTGGGCGGATCAACGCTGCGGCCCCCCACCTGACCAGCTCCACTAGCGTGGACAGAACCGCCTGCGTACACGCCAGGTACGCATGCTGGTCGGAGGAGTGCGCGGGCAGGGCGGCGCTGCCCGCCAGTGCGATGGGTAGCGCCGGCGGGTCAACGGACGCATCCGGAGCCGACAGCAGGCTGAGGGCGCTCTGCTGGAAGTACAGGGCCAGCTGCAGCAGCTGGGGCTACGGCGTCGTGAACAGCGGGAGAAACAAGGTGTCAGTAAAGGTCTTGGATGAGCAGCAGTTAGCCAACAAAGAGAGCCTGTCTAAGCAACTCTACGGCCCACCTACGCTGCACAACGAACTCCGCCTCTTCCCCCAATTTCCTCACTCCCCTTCCTCCGCCCCACACACCTGGTTAAGCCCCCCCGACACCAGGCAGCGCCGGAGCAGCTCCAGCAGCTCTAGCCACAGTGCCCGGTCCTCGGGGCTGCTGGGGCAGGTGGCCAGCAGGTTCTCTAGTGCCACCTGGAAGCACGGTGGCAGGGAGGCGTGAGAGGCATGGGAGGCATGGAGCAACACACATGTCGGCGTGTGCACATTCAGGCCTGGTCTCGTCGAGCTTGCAATGGTTAAGACGTGCACGCGGTCTGCCCCACACCACATTAAAACACCCTGCCTGCCAGCCCCCATGTGCCTCCTTCAACACCAACACCAACACCAGCCACCCTGCCATACCTGCCAGTCAGCCGTTGCAAACGCGGCCACTCCCTGCCGCGTGCTGCACGCCAGCTGCAGGCCCCGCAGCGCCTGGGTGCACTCGGCATGCGAGGTGGCCGAGCGTACGGCAGCAAGGCAGCGTGACACCAGGCCGGCGGGGGCCACGGCTCGGATGCTGGCTGCCAGCGTGTGCAGTGCGGCGGGGCTGAGGCCAGCTAAGCAGTCTGCATGGGCATGGCGCATGGGGCAACGAACCAACACGGAATAGCACATCAGGCACCAGGCTTGTGGGAGTACCGGCATACCGTCTCAGGCGTATGCGGTAGTTGTAAGACGTGTAAGGTGCGGCGATCAAGCACAGCACAGCACAGCAGCCGCTGCTCCAGGGCTAAACCCTGTAGGTCCCATGCATACGGTGTTCTTTGTCGTTCTAGGAGCAATGCTAGGTTTGCTACGCACCAGGTCGTTCGTTCATGAGTGCAAGCAGGCGACCGGCGTCCCCTCCCGCGGCTCGCAGCGCCTGGCGCTCCTGGATCAGCAGCACCACCAGCTGCCGCTGCTCTGAAACCAAATCTGCAAAGAGGGAAGAAGTTCGTCAGTTTGACAGGGACGGTGCCAAATGGTGCCAGGCGCAGCGTAACTTTACGCTGCATCGAGTTGTAAGTCACCTTGTAATCTAGGCTTGCCCGCAAGCGCGGGCTGCTGCTTCCCTGCCTGGCAGTGCTGCACCGGCAGCCCCACCCACGTCACGCGGCAGGGGTAGCAGTACCCGCGCTGGAAGGGCTGCGGAAGCAGCAACACGTCTCCAGCCCTGCCCGAGTTGCCGCCTCCGACACCACCCGCTACAGTCCTGCTGTCCCCATCCGCCGCCGCTGATCGTGGTGTAGCAGCCACCTTCGCAACCGTCGCCGCCCAGCCGGACCATCGATCCGCCTCCGTGCCAAAACACAGCGTTGCGAACAACCGCGCCACGGCCCTCCGGACCGTTACCATGCTGTGAAACACGAGCGGCAACACGCCGCTCTGCAGCATCTCCAGTCCACCGCCACTGCTGCTGCCACCGCCACCACCTCCATTACCACCACCCAAGCCGTTGCTATCACCCTGGCCGCCCATGCGACAGGACGAAGATGATGCCTCCGAAGCAGACGTCAGCCAAGCTCGCACCCGGGAGCTATGCGCCGCCAGCACGAAGAGCAGGTTGACAGCCGCGATGGGCAGCTGCACGTCCAACGTGGAGAGCAGGTCGGGGCTGGGCGGCTGCAGGCCCTGGACAGCTAGGGAGCCCGCCTGGCTGGCGGTGAGGGCGGCGCCGGAGGCGGGGTCTCGCAGCGCTGCGACGCAGACAATGGTGCGCAGACTGGCCTGCGCGGGTCATGAATGGGCGGCGTTCACAGGAGAAAGCGGCATTTCACTGGAACCATGCAAACATGCCAATGGATTGTTAGAACCAAGGACGCGGGACTGCTGACTGACACGAACTTCCAGCCGCGTACCTCCTCCTCCAGCACCTCCCGCAGCCGCTCCTCCGCCGCCAGCGCCAGCATCTGCTCTGCTGCCGAGCGCCGCAGCTCCAATGCCAGCTCGCTGTTCGCCAGGATGGACAACAGGTTGGCCACGTCAGCGGGGCGGAAGCTGCGAGCCAGGCGCGGGTTGGCGGCGGGCACAACCAGGTCGTCTCGAGCGCCGCCGTCCAGGCAGACCTGGGGCGCATGTGGAGGGGAGACCAAGCGGGTGGAGGAAAGGAAGGTGGCGGGATTGTAAGCGGTGGGCATGCAATCCAGTTGGTTGCAAGTGCTGGCTGAACGAAAGGTTGCAGGGCGCTTGCCCCACAGACAACGGTGTCCGTTGGGAGAACTATGCATGATCTATCATGACACCGTCCTAAGCGGATCGCGTTACAAGCATGACAAGCACGACGGTCACAAACAAGGCGAGCGGACGACTCACCCTGAAGGGATCAGCGGAGTGCGGCTCCCCACCCGCCACCGGGCAGCCCAGGGCCTGCAGCGCCCCCGCCAGCTGCCGACACGCGGTCCGGCGCCGCTCCGCATCCCCGCTGTATAGCTCCAGCACTGCTGCGCGCAGCCAGGGCCAGCTGCAGCTCATGAGGGCATGCCGCTGTTGTTGTTGTTGTTGTTGCAGGTTGCTGTGACTGGCGGCTGCCAAGGCCGCTGCGAGTGCGCCGACTTGGGGGTCGGACTCGTACAGACGTACCCAGCAGGTCCAGGGCAGGAGACCTGTGGGGCGGGTTGGGATGGGATGGAATGGCGTGGGGGGAAACGGGAGTGACGGTTGAGGGCGGAGCCTTCCACTGCTCGATATGGCGAGGGTGCACGACTGGACGGCGAAGGCAAGCGAAGGACGACTTGTTAAAGTCGGGCCATGACATATGGGAAAAAGCGGCATGAGCGCATGACGCAGGTATCGCACGCCATTTTTGCTTACACTTCTGGGCGTGTGCGCCAGGCATGATGTGCAGCAGAATGCGAGCCACCTGGCGGCGGGTGCGCTCCTCCGTCAGGCCCACCACTACCAGGTGCTCCAGAATGGCCTGCGAGGGGTTGCATGGGCGGGGGTGCCGTACAAGGGGTGAGCTGGATGAGAGGCTCTAAAGTGGTTGGGCTGAGCCCCCAGTACAAGGGGTGTGGTACTGTAGACATTTGCAATTGAACACGCGCAAGAGAACGCAGATAACAGGCCATAGGCATCGTGCGAAACTGTGAAAGACCGAATCAAGTTTCCATACAGTGCGACGCGGCCTTGGCTCACTGCACCCAGCCACACCAATCACGTACCTGCCGCGTCAGCAGCCGGGGCAGCGGGTGGTCGGGCTGCGACCTGACCTCCTGCACCAAGCTCTCCAGCAGGCTGTAGCACGCCAGCGACACGGCGGAGGAGTCATGCGACAGCAGCGCCAGGAAAAGCTCCTCCGCCTGCCGTATCCAGCTTGGCACCTTCCCCGTCTCCGTCCCCGCCGCATCGGCTGCATCGTGCACATCAGTTCCCGCACTGCCATGTGCACCACCGGGCGATGCAGCCCATGCCAGGCGGCGTGAGGCACTCGCCGGCTCCGCTGAACCGCCTCCGCCTCCACGCCCACACCCACACACCAGCGCAAGCCCCTGAACCACCGCCTCCATCAGCGTCTCCTGCTGCTGCGGCAGGTGCAGCGCTGGAAGCGCCTGCTGCAGCTGCTGCAACCAGCACTCCGGAAGCAGATCCCCAGAGCGTAGCAGCGGCACCTGCCGTACAAGTGTCTCGCCTGCCTCCAGCGCCGCCTCACCAGCCGCCGCCACGTCAAGTAGGGTGGCTGCGTCGGGGCGCACAGCTGATAGGACAGGTAGGATCGCGTCGCGCATGCCTTGTAGGAGTTCTGACAGGATGTCGTCCCTCGCGATCGCGGCAAGGGTGTCGATGAGAGCTGGTGGGAGGAACTCAGGGGTACAAAGCTCGCGAGGAAGGGCTGTGAGCAGTCTGGCGGCGAGGGAGAGAATGGTTGCGGAGGGCGCGTTGAGGAGGGGGGGCAGGGGCCCTGCGCCGCCGTCTCGAGCGATGGCTTGGACGACGGGAGGGCTCTCGGCGCGGGCGATGGAAAGGTTGGCAATGAGGGCCTTCGATAGGGCCTGTGGTGTGGTTAAACGGGCACAGGTAATAAGGTTAACTATGGTCCAGCAACCGCGGGAATAGAAAACAGAGCATAGAGCCGTCTGGGCAGTGCTGCACAGGAAGCTGCCATGCAGACGCTGCCATGCAGTGCCCGCCGTACGGTATCACAGGGCCATGTTGTTGGCCAGCGGCTGCTACGACCACCGGACTGCCGGCTCTGCATGCTGTGCGCCAAGTCAGGACTACATCACTGCTAAAATGGATCTGGGGTGTTCCGTGAGGCCAACCTGGAGCAGCTGGCTCCACTTGGTCCTCTCCTGCTCGGTTGAACCCCCGGCCGCCAACGCCCCCTCCCGGCCCACAAGCAGCAGCGGCATCAACTCCTCCGCAAGCGGCGCCAGGACGAAGAGACGCTGCGGATCTCTGAGAGCGTTGAACACCTGCATCGGGGTTGAACAACGTCGCACCCAGGCTCTCGACCTCTATCGATAACTTATCCATGTCGGACGGACTTGGATCAGCTCTGCACTTTGGATGCTGGCCAGATTCGCATAACAACTACCCAGGGCCAGGATAGCTTGTAGCCACCAGCAAAATGGTGCCCGCTTTACCTGCAGAGATATCAGATACGCCAGCCGTGACGCGTTGACAAGCCCATCGGCCGACCCATGGGTCACGCCCGCCTGAGCAGCATCACCGCCGGCGCCGCCCGCTTTCGGCAGCGCCTGCGGCAGTAACCGCTGGCTATCCGCATCTTGCTGTTGCTGCTGCGGCGGCTTCTCTGGCACGTCCACGAACGGTAGATGGCTAGACGGCGGCGGAGACGAGGCGCCACCACGCCCTGGGGACCTAGCAGGGCTCTGCTCCCATCCTGCAGGCCCGGTGCCGCTACCGCCACCACAGCCCCCGCTTGCACCGCTAGGGCTGTTATACATGGGGTCCGTAGCGAGCAGCAGCGCCCTCTTCAGTAGCACCACGATTCGCAGCAGCGACTGAGCTGCCAGGGACAGCATGTCGTGACGCGTGCTGGAGGCGGTGATCAGCGCCAAAAGGTGGTTCTGTGGGGGGTGGTAGGAGTGAAGCGCAGCGCGTGACACAGCGGTGAAAGACCAATCCCACCAACCAGGCATTAAATCTAGTACAGGTAACGGTACATCCCTACAAACATCACCGCACTGCCACCCACCACGACGTCATGCCGCGCCACAACAGCCTCCACGGGAAGTTCCACCAACGATGCGCCATGCAGCTGAATGAGCGCCGGCAGGGCAATCCGCGGATCATCCATGTACTTGAGCCGCAGTGACAGCTCAAACAGCTCCTGGTCATCTGCCTGGCCCAGAGACACCGACTGCAACACCCAGTCACGTTGACTGCTGCTGCTGCAAGTGTTAGCGGCATCCTTATCTGCGGTGTAGGATAAACGGGTCGCAGCGGGTCGGCACATGTGACATCCTGACACGTCGTATACCGGTTGTGACGCAAGATGGCGCCTTGCGAGGAGAGGGGCATGGGTCAAACCCTACCGCCGTCACTGTTCGCATCTCGGGGGTCGCCCTAGGTACGCATCTTGGGTGGGGTTGCACCAAGTACGTACCTGTCCCTTCGTTTTGCCGGTGGTGCCGTTCGGCCCCTTGACGTGTACGCAGCGTCCGGCCAAAAGCCGTTGTCGTCTGTGCCCCGGATGCGGGCCCGCCGTTGACTGGCGGCCTAACGGTTGCAGCGGTGGCTGCATGCAACACACCTGTAGGGGCAGCGAGAAGAGGACAACGAGCGAACCAGGACTTTCAAGACCATAGCAGAGGGCGTCACAGCTTCAATAAGTTAGATTCTGTCCGCCCCCTTCCCCCCAACTCGCCTTGGCTGGACCGAAGGTCATAGATCGCCGGACCGCCAGGCATTTCCTGTCTATACACGCCGGCAGGTGTTGGATTGTACGTGAAGGCGGGCGGCGGGGGCGCATTGTGCGACAGCCGCAGAGTGGCCGCAGCCGGGATGGGGGCTGCGGATGCCTCCGAGGGCGGCGGCTGCGTAGCAAACCCAGCACCGGTGTAGGACCGGTCAGCGTCGCCAGTGTGTGCCGACCAATGCCCGGGAGCCGCTGAAGTACCCAAGGGCACGCCATGCAAACCTGCGATATTGGTAGTCCCGCATGGCGTATGAGGTATGTCATGCGTGAAGAAGGCATGCTTACGATGGAGAGTGGCGTTAGGGTGGGACCGAACGCGGAGAGCATCGCACTGATGAAGAGCCTTGCAGCAAAAAGTACGAGTAGGCTGGTGACCCTATGGGTCAGAATGGCACTTACCATGAGATTGCAAGGCTGCGGGCGTTGCCGGCTGAGATCCCTGTTGGGGAGGAAGGGTGAAGGAGGGTGTGTACGGCTGTCGCTTAGTGAAGTCCATACGGTTGGCACAGCACATAGAACCCGCACAACACTCTCGCACTTTTCAAATCGTGTGGACGTATGGCCACTAACCTCAGTGCAACCGCGTGGCCTATGGAGGAACCATCGCTTGGCCACGGGCTACAGGGCCGCCAAAGGAGACAGCACTTACCGCTATCCTTGGCGCAGCGAGGATGGCTGTGAGAGCCATGCTAACCGCTGGCTGCAGCTCCTCTGAACGGCTTTGCTGCAGGCCCGACAGCAGCTGCTCTCCCCCCAGGTGCAACACCTGGCGTGCAGCACCGGGTAAGGCTGCCACTTTGGCCAGCAGCATGAGTACGGCAGCATCCGTGGAAACGCCGTTGTCGTCATATTGCAAGCAGCCTGTTTGTCAGCCATACATGCGTGTCAAGTACAGCTATGAAATGCGTGAGGGATGGGGCGGCAATTGGCAGAGGAGAGCAGCAGAACCGCAGTGGCAGCCTGTCCAGTGTGCTCTAACTCACCAAGGAGATTCTTCAAGACCGCCCGTTCCTGCATGTACGGGGAGGAAAAGGGAGTGCCCTGAATAGGCCTTTTTCGCGTCGCGGGTACACGTACGTGGGAGAAATTGCATGGGCCCCATGCGGGCTTCTGGGTACGTGCTCCCTGGCTTGCCCCTCTCACACACCACGTCCGCAAGGATACTGCGAAAGCCCCATTGAGTTTTCGCTTGCCTTTGCGATATCCTCCGGCGCCAGCAGGCGATGCTTCAGCTTAAAGTCCAGGCTCTGTACAGCACGGCGCCGAACCTCCGCGAGCGGGTGCACTGGATGGGAGGCATCGTAAATAACACCATTAATGTGTGCGTAAAGATGAGATACTTCCCAGCGCGCTTACCTAGTTTCTCAGCAGTTGCAACGAGAGAAGCGAGGTTGTCTTGCGAAGCCATGTTGGCAAACTGTTGTTAACCTGAAAAGACGAATGTATGTAGGACTACATATTTAATTTATGAATACAGGCGCTTTGTTGCAGCGTTAGCGCTCCGCAGCTTTCGTTGAGCCTGGTCAACAGCTGTCGTGGGCATTCGTACCACCAAATTTGGGCAGTACATCCCAACTTACAGGGCAAATCCCATCAACCTTATCTATCGAATATACACTACGCTTGATTGCTGGAAAGATGTTATTAGCCATAGGCAGATTTCATACGGCTATGACATTCACAGGCGTGTCTCGCATTGGTCGCTTGCACCAGCGGCGGCATGTCGCTGTCAGGTATACGTGCGCGGCGAAGGTTTCGTGGAAGTAATTTTTACAGGGAAGCCACAGACTACAAGCACCACGGGTTGGATGCGACTCAGTATCACGAAAACATCTCAGCATCTCGTAATGAGTTAAACGACCCTGTTCACACGAGGTGCAAAAACGGCTGTGCGCCACCGAGTATACATCGTTAACTGACATCCACCGAACCAGACGCGCTGTCCTAGTAGCCGCTGCCTATTTGTATGACCCTGGGCTACGACCAGCAGGCGGCCCTTGCCCCTTTCGCAGAGGCGATGATCCTGACACCGGCGTGGAGCCTGTACCCCGTCCAGCAAGGGCCAGCCCCGCTGCCCCCGTGACACCCGTGTTCACACCGCCTGAACCTCGCCCAGCTGCGGCCCTGCTGCCAACCTGCAAAGCCAAGGTGGTAGCAGGCGTTCAATGGTCAATGTTTGCGTACACATCACGTGAAATCACGTTACGGGATCCCAATTGTGGGTAAGAGCGAATAGACCACAACCCATCCGGTGAAAGGTTACAATGCACCCCCAGTCCTGACTCTTCGGTCGACAGCATATCCTTTGTAGGTACGGTAGCCCCGAACAACCCTCCCTTTCCAATGGCCCAAGCCTACCTGTGCAGCCGTTGCCATGCCGGGCCATACGCTTGGTCCCGTCTGCGTCCCCTGTCCGCCCTGCTGACCCGCCCCGGGCGCAATGCCCACGCCCTCCAGCCCGAACGACGCCGGCCCTGTCAGTACCACTGTGTTGGCCTGGATGGACGGCACCGAGCCTGCACTGCTAGGCTGCGTCTGCACTGTGTAGCCCTGGGAGGGCGTCCCGGTCACTCCTGCAGCAGGAAATGAAGGGACATGCGCAGCATGTTGGCGTGCACAGTGAGGAGAGCTGGGCCCACGCTCCAAGGCAACAACACGGAAGTGTTTGTTTGCTGATTAAGCAGCGAAATCCACAACTCAACTCGGACGCCCTTCGTCTTCATGACCCCATGCACTAGGTGTCAGTAGCAATACAGAAACAAGGCCCCCCACCTGCAAAGTCCATGTTGGTCAGCTTAATGGGTTGCTTCGCCTGCGCCGGAGTTGCTGCCACGCCGCCGCTGCCGCCCGCGCCACCTCCCTGCGTCACCATGGCCGCGAGCAGTGCCTCCGCGGTGCCGCCTGGGCTGCCTGTCAACGCGTTGGCGGGCATGAGCGGCATGAAGCTGGGCAGCCCCGGCGGGCCCAGGGCCATGCCCAGACTGGGTGGCTGCTGTGTGGGCGCGAAGAGCTGCTCCGCGTAGTCGCGCTCCTCCGCGGTGACCATCTGGTGGGCGGTAAGTGCGGTGTTGTCGGGTGCTCCTAGGGTCTAAACCCGTAAAACACAAACGGAAGGGCATGCGGTATGCATAGCGGGAGGCACTGCGCACGGGTGCTTGCTCCCAAACATGCCTACCGGTAACAGCATGGACAAGACCCCCCCCATCCGAGCTCCTCCCTCAGCAATGCGCACCAACTATGCGCTGCTCACCTGCTGGTCCAGGACCTGTATGCGCGGGCACTTGGCGATCACCATGGCGCGGTAGGTGTTCTTGCGGCTGATGGGGTTACCCGCCAGCGTCACCTCCACCAGCCCCGTCAGACACGTCAGGCGGTCCAGGTCAGCGGGCTCGCCGATGCGGTTGGAGCCCACATGCAGGGCCTGACAGGTGGAGGGAAGGCGGGCGGGATGTGGGCCACACACCTACAGAGCTACAGTCCTTGCATGAAATATAGTTGACAGAGAGAGCGCACGTGTGTTTCTGACGCTGCAACGCTGGCCATACGGCGATACCGGTACCTCCCCACCCGCAGCGCGCCGCCTGACCCTTTGCGGATGAGGCTCTAAGTTCCTCGGTGCTCACCTGCAGGCTACGTGCCAGGTAGTTGAAGCCCGACAGGCTGCGCAGTCCGTTCTCCTCGAGTCGCAGCTCCCGCAGCTTGGGCAGCCCGGTCAGCGCGTCAGGGTCGATGTAGCGAATGCGGTTGCGGTCCAGAACCAGCTCCTGTCAGCGCCCCCCGAAGCCGGCGATGAAGGGAATAGGGACAAGGGCAAGTTAGCGCGGAGCAACGGCGGCAAGGTGTGGTTTGTGGTTTAGGAGGGGTGGGTCTCACTGACCTGGAGGTTAATGAGGCCGTCCAGCCCCTCTATCCGCGTAATGTCGTTGGCTTGCAGGAACAGGCTCCGGAGCCCTGTTAGAGCCCCCAGCTGCAGCGAGGAGACGGAGGACACCTGGTTACCGCCCAGCTGGAGAACCTGGGTAATGGGGAAAGGGACGCGGAGCGGAAGGACGGAGATCACAGTTGCGCAGAAGTGGGTGGCGGAACATCGCACAGCCATGCCACACGGCACCGGCTGAACATACAAAACAACGAGGTAGCGACAAGACGCGCAACACTGGGCAGAGCCTGAGGCCACAGCAGCACCCCATGGAGTGCTCGCTGTCAGCACACGTCCGCACGCTCGCTGTATCAGACCTCTTACCTGCAGGTTAGGGAAGATCTCCCACTGCATGTGACCGCCGGAGCCGGCCTGCTGCGCCGCCAGCTGGCGTGCCGCAAGTGCGCGGGCCAGCTCCGGATTCCGCTCCATCATGCGTGTGGTGTTGAAGCAGCACTCCTCACCCAACCGGTTGTTGTTCAGCCGCAGTACAACCAGGTTGCGTAACAGAGCCAGAGCTGGGGAGAAGTGGTGTTTGGAGGGTGTGGTAAGGGGCAGGCAAAGGGCAACAAGCCGTTGGGCCAAGTCAGGCGAGGTGTGTCGCATAGAGCTTTGCGCATGTTGCGCGGGCGGGGATGTATTGTCTGAAGTCAGATGAAACAAGAGAGAGATACAATGATGCAGGCCGCGTTCGAGGGTGAGGCGGTCCCTCACTAGGTGCCGTGCCGTCACAGCTGCCCCCACCTGACACCTCCACCAGCATGTTGCTGTCCAAGTTCAGCTCCTGCGGGGCAGCGGGCCAAGCGCATGGGTGCGGCAGGCAAACATGTGTCAAGCAGGCGCAGGTGAGGAGCCTGCAGGGGAACCACCAGCCCGTCCCTGCCCCCGCGTCCCATCCACCTGCAGAGGCTTGCTTCTGCCCTACCTTCCGGTCTCATTCAACCGGTTTTATCTCTCCCACCCCGTGCCCCACCCACCTGCAACCCTTCCATGTCCTCCGACAGAAACACGTTGCCCACATCTCGGATGCGCAGGCCGCTGCAGTCCAGGTCTCGGATGCGGTCGAACAGCCGGTGCCCCAGCCGCTCCTCCAGAAAGTCCGCAGTCAGTCGCCCCGCGTACCGGTTCTTAGCGGCCGCCTGCTCCACCGCGCTAACCGCCACACCGTCTAGCACCTGAGGAGGAGAGGTCGTTGCATGTCGGGAGATGCGATAGAGCGTTTGGGATCATTTGTTAATGGAAGAAAGAGCGTGTCACGCGAGAGGTGGGACCGCTAGGTAAAGGCAAGAGAAGGCGATTTTTTTGTTAGATGTTACAAGGTGTCGCATGAGTACTTGCCTTGAGCTTTCGCACGTTGAAGATCACGTACAGCCGGTAATCATCGGACACCGCCGCTGCCGCCGCAGCTGCCGCCACAGACGACGCGCCCGTGCCCACTTGGCCTGCCGACGGCGCAGCGCCACTGCTGCTGCCGGTCCCCCCCGCACCCGTTGCGTTTGCCGCCGCGGCTGCTGCCGCCGCGGCCGCTGCCGAGGCCAGGCTGCCCGCCAGCGGGTTGCCCGCCAGGTCCAAGATGATGAGTTTGGGCATGTCGCGCAGGCGCTGCACCTCCCTTAGCTCCGTAATGCGGTTGTTGCCTGCGAGCGAGAGCATGTTGTGGTTGCGACGTTAGGAGACAGCAGCAGCGGAGAAGCGCCGCCGACCATCAAGGGAACCCAAATGGAAGGATCCAGGGAAGATACCGTGTGCTGTAAAACCACCCAAGTTTTGTGGCTCCCCGCCTGCCCACTTACCCGCATACAGCTCCATGAGGTTGGTCAACCGCTCCACTCCGCTCAGAGAGGCCAGCTCGTTGTCCTCCACACTCAGCTGCACCAGACCTGTGAGGCCCGTCAGAGCCTCCAGGGAGGCAAGCCTGGGGTTGCCAGGGTGGGGGGAAATATATGAGAAGTGCAGCAACTGGAGCATATCCCGAATCATGAAGTGAGCGCATTGGGTGGCAGGGCTGCTTGCTTCTTCCATGACTTGAACGGTGCTGTGCTCCGCCATGGGTTCGTTTTTCAGCCATTCGCCAGCGTTTTAAACTTCGAAACGGCGTGTCCAGGCTCCCGACTAGACCCCAGACCGAAGCGTCCCGACGCACGCCCCACGCAGCCACACCCAACCCGCTCCCAACTGTCTTGCCTGTTCTGCCCCAGCTGCAGCTTGCGCACGCGCGTGAGGCCGCCCAGCCCCACCAGACTGCTCACGCGGTTGGCTTCAAGGCTGAGCTCCTCCAACGTACGGCAGCCCTCGATGCCTTCCAGGCTGCTGATCTCGTTGTCGGCCAGACTGGGCGAGGGATGTGGTGGAGAGATGTGGAGGTGTGTGGCAGAGCGAGGAAGGGGGGTGAGAAAGGGAGGAGGCTGGATGCGACAGCAGGAGGAGGCTAGACCGTCCTTGCCTTTTGCAGACGTGTTGCAAACCCACATTCAAGTTGCGGCCGCAGGCGGCTGATTACCCAGACGTGAAAACAGGTACGTCAGTAATTTGCCACAATGGGTTTGCAAGGCCTCCTAGGTCCGCAAACCAGACAGATGGCGCCATCACAGGGCATCAGACAGCCCACGCAGCGCCCCACGCACGCACCTGGCCCGCTTGAGCGAGGTGAGTGAGGCCAGTTGCTGCAGGCGGCGGATGTGCATACGCTCCAGGGAGAGGTCGGTGATGGAGGCAGGCTCGGTGGGGCGCGAGGGGTCTGAGCGGAAGAGAGGGTTGGTTGGTTGGTTAGTTGGCTGGGGATACGATGAGGAGGGCAACCGGGACGACAGCGGTGACGTGCGGGCATTACGCGAAGGGCTAGAAGAACTAGGAGTACCGTAGTAAGCAAAAGTAACGGCGCTATAGCAGCCGCCTTCGCGAATACACCTCCCGCATCCACATGCAGGTGCGTGCCCCACCTGCCAGGCTGCCGTTGCCCCGTGACGCCACGGAGCCGTACTCCAGCACCATGGGCAGCGTGACCGCACCCGCGTGCTCTCCGAAGCGCTCCTTCTCCTCAGCACTCACCGGCCGGCCGTCGAACCTGCAAGGGGCGTGAGACAATCACGAACATGTAGTTGCGAGCAAAAGGCGGTTCAACGAGCGTACCGGTAGTACTCTATGGGCGAGAGGCATATTAAGGGGTCTCCGGCTTGTTTAGACCTTGCATGGTCGGTGTTTTGCCTTTATAGGGCCCTGACCAGGGCCCTGACCAGACGATGCAACATTCTATTTGTACATATTAGCACACGGGTGATGCGATGGGACAGCATGGCATGCTCTTTCTGTAGTGAATACTTGGTCCCTTCAGGCCCCAGCCACGCATGACTAATGTCTCACCGCTCCAGCCGCTTCAGCTTCCGCAGCGTGGTCGAGCGGTAGGCCTTGTCGTTGCAGATGGGGTTGTCCCGCAGGTCCAGGATCACCAGTTGCGGACTGTACTTCTTCATGTTGTACAGCTCCTGCCGTACGTCATAAACGAGGTGGCAGTACGGCACGAGGGGTTGTGACCCTTTCGTACATAAGAATGAGAGATACGGGCTCGCACCGTGCCTTGTGCCCAGCGTTTCCCTTTATAACAGCGCCTCTTTCCTATAAATTCAATGCCATCCCCAGGCCTTCTCTCCTGCTCCCCCCATCCCACCGCTCACCTCCAGCTTGAGGACCTGGTTACTGGATAGGTCCAGGTGCGTCAGACTGTAAAGCCCCTTGAGCGAGGCCTCCACCTGGAGGTAGCGGCACGCACAGGATGCATGCCAGCAGACGGATTACTCAAATGGGACCCCCATCATCATCATCCGGCAAGACTGCTCCATGCATGACAAGCAATGGGCTGCTCAGGCGCAGCTGCTGCCTTCGCATCGCAAACCAGCATAGGGCTGAGACGCGAAACACCCTTGCTGGACCTGCCGGGTTACTGTATCGGTAGCATGACATGGCTGAATACCGGTACCGTGTCAGCTAAGGCGCGGGTGGAACAGTAGCACCTCCCTCGCCCCGCCACCCGCACGATTGCATGACTTTCATGGCGGCGCGCTCAGCTGCATGATACCCACCTTGCGGATGCTGTTGTGCCCCAGGTCCAAGACACGCAGCTGCACCAGCCCCTCAAGCCCCTCCAACCGCGTCAGCTCGTTGTAGCAGAGCACCAACACCTGCACAGCAGCGTTGGGGTGAGACGTGAGAAACATCACGGACATGGAACGTGGTTCAGCATGGTTTCAAGAGATTGGCAAGGCTAGGTGCTTGCGCTCACAAGCACCCTTTGCCAGGTACCCTTCTGCGTGGATTCGAGAGGGTGACATGCTTTCGAGAGAGTGGCAAGGCTGTGTGCTTATACTCACAGGTACGCTTTGTCCATGCAATCTGCACGGTCTGCACTCGTAGGAGGAGTGGTAGCAGCCTTCCATCTCACATGCCCCTTCTGTGCCGTCGGATGCTGAAGCATGATACATCATGTCGCCGTGTCACCTCCCGTCAGTGCCCCCCCCAACTATCCACCGTAATGCGGATTCTGTTTCCAAATTAACCCCCACACACCTGCAGGTGCCGCAGCGACGACAGGGCCTCCATCTTCCGGAGACCCGAGTTGTGGAGGTCTAGTCGGACGACGTTGGCCAGTGTCATGCCGTTCACCGCCCTGGGAGGGAACAACATGGAAAAGGTAAGGATAAGCGGAGGGAACCCGTTGATGGCGCTACATGCCCTCATCCTGGGCCGCATTGCGCTGCAGGCCGGCACCCTCGGCCCCAGCCAGGTATGCTTCCTCCCAGGTATGCTCCCAGCCCAGCATGCTCCCTCCCTAGACATTCACTGCTCCACTCCAACCCACCCACCCCTCCCACTGTCTCCCATCTCAACCGTACGAGACTCCCTGCCCCCTCAAAGGAACTTTCACCAAGGGTTGCATTCCCGTTCATTCACAGCATGGCATGTTTTTCCTTTCTCCTGCCCACCCCTTACTTGCTGATGGCCTCCTCGGTAAGGCGATAGATCTTGGGCACTGGTTGCAGCAGCGGCGGTGCCGCCACCAGCCTTTGCGCCTCATCCTCCTCCGCGCACAGCCCCTGGCGCAGCAGCGAGGGGTCAGCCTGCAGCGCCAGCCAGCCCAGCATGGGCCGAGCAAGCGGCCTGCAGCCCACAACAGCAGGCAAGCGTTACGGGGAATTACGGGGCGTGCGTCGTGCAGGCGTTATGAATACATATATAGCCCTTGCAGGAACTAGGCGTCCGAGGGGAATGGGTTGGGACCACCTGAGGGACAACAGCTTTCCGACCATGTGACCTTTTGCCGTTAGTCAGCGTTTCGGTGAGCGTTAAGACCCCTACCGTATGTCAGCGTCCAAGCTGTCTAGGATGGCCTGATGTGTGGCGGAGCTCAGTCCCAGACCCCCGGAGCTGATGGTGAGGTCCAGAGCCATCACGGGAGGCGGAGGGCCGCCGGCAGCAGCAGTGGAGGACGAGGAGGGGGCGGTGGCGGCAGTGGCGGCGATGCCGCTGGCAGAGGTACGGGCGGCGGCAGCGGCGGCGGAGGTTGCGGAGGGGTTGGCGGCGAGCGGTCCGGCGGAGTTGACTTCGTAGGTGAAGTCAACCAGGTACTCTGGGAGGACCAGCACGTTGTTGAATACGTACCTGGCGGGATGAGGCGGGATGAGGCGGGGTGCGGTGGGGAGTGCATTTGGGTTGTGGCCCGATTGCGATGGAGCGTGAGAAAGCTTGCATGTATTGTCAGTCCACCCATGTTCGGCTAACCATGTGTTTGTCATGCGGGCCATGAGTGCCATGCGGGCCGTGTGAGTGCCGGTATGTAGACCCGGTACCAGCACAGCTATCCCCCCCGGCTCACCACAGCTTCTGTTTCATGTCCCCCGGCCGCACTCGGTACACCGCATCCGCCTCGGGCCAGGCGGCTGGCATGATGCGCTGGCCGCCCTCCACCATGGCATTGTACGACAGCTTGCCGTCCTTGCCGTACAGCTTGGTGGGCAGCGCTGACGAGACGTTGACCGACATGTCCTGACGGGTGTTTGGGGGGGGGGGAGGACGGGTTTTGTGTTACGGAATTAGGGGTAGATGATAAGACGGTAGTCCTGGAATAGCACCTTACCGTGACTAGCCACCAGCTCGGCTGGACCAACCCTTTAAAATTTCAGACAAACCGACGCTGTCGTCCTTTACGTTGCTACACACGAGCCGTCACGCGTCTCCAAGAAAGCGTTGCTAGGCCATCACCCCTACCAGTGAACCCCTCCCACCGCACCTGCGCGCTGCGTCCAAGATACGCCTTCACAATCATCAGCCGTCCCCGACTTCGGCTGTTATCCGACAGCCCATTCGAAGCGCCGCTAGAGGAGGCAGACGAAGCAGCAGCAGCGGCAGCACCCGCCGTGGATGACCCATGGGTCCGTGAGGAATGCCCGCCGGCCGCCGCCGTCGCTGCCGGAGCGCAGGGGTCCAGGGCGGCTGCTAGCCTGAGTCTATCCGCTAGGAATACCGAGTTGGACAGCACCACGGCGCCATCCAAGCCCTGCGGCACCGCCGGTTTGTGCGCGGCGGCAAGAATGCAACATGGTCAACCGGGGGCTGCATTCGGTGAAGAAGACCATTGCTGCCGTACGCGCAGGTTGTCATGTCCCTGCCTCCCTCCCTTCTCCCGCCCTCCCTCCTGCCCCACCCATGTCGGCACCCATGCTGCCTTGGTACCAGTACACGGCTAGTCTCACTCTCCGTCCCTCCCTCCCTCCCTCCCTCCTATATTTTTCCTTCCTCCGTCCCTCCCTCCCTCCCTTCCCTTCCCGCCCCACCTGCGCCGCCAGCTGCGCCGCATCCGGCAGCCCCTCCTCCACCGCCATGTCCAGCAGTCCCGGCAGCCCGGGGTGCTCCCCCAGGAACAGGTACTCCAGGGAGCGCTTGTGGCTGGGGTCGGAGGTGTCGATCTGGAGCGCACCCAGCGCGGATTCGAAGCGAGAGCGCAGCCAGCGGTTGTGGATGCTGGGGTGGGGTTGGGTTGGGGTTAGGTGGGAAAGGGAGGAGGAAGCGAGGTTGGATTGGGGAAGTGGTGGCAATTCACCATCACAAGATAGTAAGTACACGGTGAGGAGGAAGCCGATCACCCATGGTCGCTCCCATACGGTACCGGTATTTGCCACACGTAAGTCCCTTTCCCTGGCCTCCTACACACCCTCCCCCTTGGCTCCCACGCACCGTGTGACCCCGGTGATGTGCAGGTCATTCACGCCCAGACTGGTAGGGAAGTCCGCTGGATTGAACCGGCTGGCTACCAGGTCTGCAAGGCGAGAAGGGCCAGCAGCACAGTTCAGCAACCAGTGCCCCAGGTCAGTTCGCCTCAGTAGGACAGCAGCGCTTAGCTGCCACACACCTTCCCTGTCGTGTAAGGACGAGAGACAGACGTGCGTGGGACCGCGCGTACGACACATACCGCATACCTGTGCAGGAGGCGTACCAAAGGTCGGTAGACCTGCCGTCCTCCAGCCGTATGTTGCCCGCCGTGTCCAGCTCAAGCATCATGCGAGCTACCAGCCCGTCCAACAGCGCGTAGGTGCGCTCGCTGGCCGTCTCGAACTGCGCATCGAGCTCCGCCTCTGCAGCGGAGTAACGAGCCAGGTGCGTCGAGATGTCCACCAACTTGGACTCCAACGCCGCGATCATGGCAGCGTCGGAAGCGGCCTCCGAAGCGGCGTCGCTGGCAGCGGTGGCAGCGGTAGCGGCTCCGACGCTGCCACCGCCTTCGGCGGCGGCGGCGGGTTCGCCGCCGCCGCTGCCTTCGGCAGCAGCAGCCGCTACCGGCTCCGCTGCCGTTGCCGCTGTTGCAGCAGCTGTCGCTGAAGTCGAAGCCGCCCCCGCTGCAGCAGTTTTGAAGTCGCTGATTTCTCGTTCGAGGTCCTTGGAGGCAAGCAGCAGCGTGTTCTTGAGGGGCTGCCGCAGCGCTTGGCGTGCCTGTGTGGGTTTCGAAGCCGACCAGACAATAATGACAATGCCTTTATAAAACGTCGCCGCTACCTCGCTAGGCATCAACGCGACATCAAACTGTAGTAAAGAGACCTCCTCCGATCCCAAGCCGCCTAAAGCAACCCTAAGAAGCCCACGCCTGAACAACTGATCAACCCATTCCCGCGCCCGCCCACCTGCCGCCCCTCCGCCGCCAGCTTCACAATCTGCCGGGCGTTGCGCCTCAGCGTCTTGACCCGCATGTTGTAGTACATCTGCTTCTTGAGGAAGGTGGCTTCCGCGAGCGCCTTGGTCTCATCCGCCAGCAGCAGCGTGTCGAGGCTGGTCAGGCTGCGGCAGCGGAACACAGAGAGGGGTGCGGAGGAGGAGCAGCGGAGATGAGGACAGGCAGGGCGCTTTGATGGACGCTCATTGCAACGAAAGTAGAGGAGGTAACCAGCAGGAAACAGAGGTACCCGAGTATAGGCACGGCAAGACGCCGCAAAGGCGCCATGGTATCACCACCACAAGGCCAATCCCTGCATGGCCCCATCCTCGCCCTCCCCATGGGTGCTTTCCCATGCTCCCACACCCGCCCCCCGCCCCACCCCAGGTACCCACTGCGGCATGACGAAGAGCACAAAGGTCTGGTAGTTGCAGAGCTGCGCCAGCGGGCAGTCGCCCCACATGGGGTCGGAGAAGCACAGGTCCACCAGGCGGGGCAGCACGGCTAGGGCGCGGAGCTCCTGGGAGGGAGAGATGAGGCCCATGAGGGAGGCAGGGAAAGGAGTTGGGAGGTAGAGAGGAGGGAGGCTAAAGCAAGGATCAGATGCATGCGTCACGCCTCTTCCGAGGCGCGCAATACGGCATGGGTGTGTTTGCGCACCCAGCAGCGCCCAGGTGCCCTCCCAGCCAAACCGCCCCCGGCCCCCCCACCAACACACACCTTGAAGCTGCCTATCTTGTTATCCGCCAGGTTAAGGTGCGTGAGGGCGGTGCAGCCCGACAGTCCGTCTCCCAGAAAGGCGATGTCGTTGCGGGCCAGGTGCAGCTCCCGAAGCGCTGCCAGCTGCTCCAGGCCGCTGATGCGCGTCAGGTAGTTGTCGGACAGCCATAGCACCTGGCGTGAGCGGGTGGGGGAGGGCATGGGCTTAGAGGGCACAGGCAGAGCGAAGACCGGAGCGTTGGGGTAGAGTGAGAGAGGAAGGGCGGGCGACGCGGGAGCGTCATGGTGCGGTTGGAAGAGGGCGATGCTGGTGCCGGCGGCGTGATGAGAAGGGCTGTGGGAAACGCTGCTGCAGCTGCGGTTGCATGCGGTTGGTTGCTTTGCCTCCACCCCGAGCTAAGAGGGTCCTGGGTTACGTTACCCACAGCTCCCTCCCGCCATGTGCATCCCGGCATCCCGGCTGCTGTAACGCTGCCGCTGTGCTGTTACTGCCACTGCAGGTGGCCATAACGCTCCCTCCATCAGCAGCTAGCAGTAAACGCCTGGGCACCCATGCACTTCAACATGGCATGCGTTCGACATGATAAGTCAAGTGCATGGGCCCTCTGGCTGGCGCTGCAAGCGCTACAGCCGGAATGGCTAGCACCAGGCGGCTCTGCGATTCCACCAGCGCGGTATGCCCGCCCAGAGGACTACGGGTCCTTCTGCTCCCGTGCGCCTCCCAAGCAACCACCACTGCTCCAACAGCTCTACCCCGCGGCCTGCTGCCTTACGCTCCATGGCCGCTTTCCAAGGGCACAGTCTTGCTGCCTCTGCCGGGGCAGCGGCGCCTGGAGACCGCTGCAAGCTGCGGTGCACCCTCCCTCCTTCCCTGTGCGCTCATCCTGCCAGGGCTGCCACATCCCTCGTTTAACCAGCTTGGAGGCAGGGGCCTCTCGGAAAGCGCAACCAAATGCAAGCCCCCAATCCTCTCCCTCAGAACCCCGTTCCGAGCTCCACTCCACAACGGAGGGCATCGTGCAGCCCGCCAAGCCCCACGCAAGCAAGCCAGCGGCCCGGCCTACCTCCAGCTGCGTTAGTTTGTTAAGGCCGCGGATTTCGGTGATGTGGTTGCTGTAGAGGTAGAGCTCCTTCAGCCGATGCAGCGAGTCCAGGCCCTGAATGGTGGAGATTTCGTTCTCCTGCAGCCATAGCTTCTCCAGCAGCGGACATCCCTCCAGGCCCTGGATCTCCTTCAACTCCTGGAAGTCAGCCGGGGTTGCATGGTTTCAGAGCAGAGGGGGGTCGTGGGATGAGTGGGTAAAGAGGAAACAACTAACTGACTGAGGGATGAGTGGGGGTGGTGAAGGAACTTGGTGTCAGGGGGCAGCGCATGCTGGGAGCGCATGGGTACATGGCGGCTGTGCGTCTACTAGGAGAAAGCCCCGACCGGGTTCATGTAAGGATGAGACGTCTACCAACGCTGAGGAGGCGATGCGTGGGCCTCATGTCCATCGCATGTATTGGGTGGGGGACCGCACCTGGTGTATGAGGGCCAGCGTCTTGAGGGCTGGGAAGTGATGAAGTCCCTCCATCTGCAGCCGACATATCGTTGTAAGCACTTAACCAGCAGTGGCTGAGCAGGCTTCCCGTACCCTAGGGTAATGGTGCAGGAACATCTCCAGGTGCGTGACCGTGCTGGCCACGGAAGGAAACTGCTCCGGAAGAATTCCATTTGCCTCCAACAGTTCCTCCAGGGCTGCAGTTTGAGTTGTAATAGCTTTAGTACAGTTCGCTCCTTCGACGGGCGTTGACTTGAAGCTTATCTCACCATGTGATTCAGAAGCCATCACAGCTAGTTATCCGTTAAACTACATCGACCCTTGTGTGGGAAAGTAATTTCTTTTCTTGACAATGCAATACAACTAGAGCGGCTTTCTCAATATCGAGCAAGTCATTACATTAAAAGTTAGTCACAAACTAGTTAGTAAAAAGTGAAATGCGGTGAAGTTGTAAGATTGTGGACTTGGGTGCTGTGAAGCCAACCGTCTTGGCGGGACGCTTTACATCGAAGCACATTTTGGTTTAACCTGTGCTAGCCTACCTGCATACATTACAATGTAGGTATCTTGCACAGTATAATTCATCTAGTTTTGCCATTGCCCAAGTGGACGGTCCCTTGGGACGCCACATACGTGCACGACAGCAAAATTGCCCAAAGCAATGCTTGGCGAAGAGCCGGCAACATTATGGTGTGCAGATAAACTAGAGACACTCCTCTTATGAAGCGCAAAACCGCCATCGTAGGTTCCAGGATTGCGCATGACAGTAAAAAGAGCCTAAAGACAACCAGGACAGAGCACCGCCGAGGTAGGTAGCAACGACTTCAACGCCTGCCGAGCCGACTTAAGGACCTTACCCAAGCCCTGGCCAAAGCACTGCAACCCAAAGCCTTCTACCAAACCACAACCCTACTCAATACCAGCACCACCAGCGCCACAACCACCATCCACCGCAACCACACCCACCAACCCCGCGCCGCCTCCATCGGATGCCGTACCAAGCCCTTGGCCGCCAGATCCTCAATCATGTCGTACAGCGACACCTCCAGCGGCAGCCACGACTTGAAGCCCAGCTCCTCCGCTGCCTTGCGTGTGCTGATGTTGGGTGCGGCGCCCCAGGCGGCATCAAAAAAGTCTGCTCCGACGCCCAGCAGCGGGGCTAGCCGCAGCATAATCCACTTGGGAGCAACCAGGAAGGCTGCCCGCACGCTGCCACCGGGGTAGAGCTCGGCGATGGTGGCTGTCATGCGGCGCATGCGGGTGCTGCCTCCGACAGCCATGTACCTGCATGGGCGCAGGGGACGGAGAGCAGCAGGAGGGGAAGGGACAGGGGGAGGTATAGTTAGTTAGGGGCGCCCATGACAACTGAGTCCCTGAACGCTTGAATCTGGTTGCAGCTTGGGTTTATTAATCCCATCTCCCATGCCTGTATGCTACCTGTAGGGAATGCTGTTCCCGTATCTTCATGCTTTTGTATGTACCGGTATGTAGCAAGCAAGCAAGCAGCACACACACCGGCGCACGCACACACCTGCCGTTTGCTTCCGGCGTCACCATGGCCAGCACATGAACCGCCGCCACGTCTCGGATGTCCACGTACGGCGTGCCGATGTTGGGTACGGCAGGGAACATGAGTCCCTTGCACATGCGGCGCACCAGTGCGATGCTCTCGCTGGCGGTGCGGCTGCTGGCGCCCACGAAGGGTCCAAACACCAGACCCGGGTTGACCGTCACCAGGGTCCACCTGTCGTACGAAAGGGGCGGGGGAAAAATAAATGAGATGACACGAGATGACAGGGGCGGGGGACGGGGTAGTCAGGGCTGCAAGCCGAGGGGACAGAACGAAGAGCAAGCCAAAGCGAGGCAGAGGATGGGTGCTTGAGGAAAGAGGATTGCCATGCAAACTAGGGGCTGCAAGCCCACCTGTCCTGCTGTCGGCTGATCTCCCATGCACGCCTTTCAGCCATCGTCTTGGAATAGCTGTACGGCAGGAACCGTACGGAAGCCGTCGTGTTCCAGCATGTGTCGTCAATAGCGCGGTCGACGCCGTGGTCCTTGCGCCGTGAGTAGGTTGCTGCCACTGATGACGTCAGCACCACTCGCCGTACGGTAGGGGTGCGGTTGACGGCACCTGTTGGCAAGGGCAGGTGCCGGTGGGACTAGCATCCTCGCAATAGATTGGGAATCATTGAGATAGAAGCATAGTTCTATGTGGCGGATTGGGTTTGGGGCAGAGATGGTGTGGAATGGACTGCGGTGCAGGATGCGCGGGAAAGACCTAACGCGCCAGATAGGCATCTCACGAGTTCACGACGAAGAGGCAAATGTTCTGCCAGGCGCGTGCCGTACCTAGGACGTTCTCTACTCCTCGTACCGCCGGTTCCACCAGCTTCTCTTGAGCTTCGCGAGCTTTGACCTGCGTTGGTAATAACGGACCCACGGGTCATGGACCAGCATGGACGTCGTGACACGCATATATGTTGCATGGTAACCAGCCTTAGCGCAGTCGCTGCGTGCGTGCGCTCCCATGGGCACACCGCCCATCACTTCACCTCCCTCATACATACAAGACCTGTATGTCTAGTCCAGCTAGGATAGCGTCCACCCTCACCTACCCCCAGCATGAAGGGCGAGGCGGTGTGGATGACGTAGTCACACCCAGCTGTGCAGGTATGGGGTGGCACAGCAGCAGGGTGGGGGATGGAGGAGGGCAAGAGCTACTACAGACAGCTTACGACGAAACGTGGACGAACAGCGGCACTGAAAGCCTAAAATGCTCGAGACTTTTTTCAGAGGGCCACACGTAAGACGACAACCTAATGAACGCTTCCCCACCTATCGCTTCATCGAAGCTGCCCGGCTTCATCAGGTCGGCCTTGAACAGCTTCAGCCGCTTGTCGGCGCCGGGCAGGGCCAGCAGCGCTGACACCGCCGCCTTGGAGCCGGGGTCCCTACAATCCCATGAAACCACAAGTGGCCAGTGGGATCGTCTACCGTCTGGTGGTGGTCTGCTTCGATGGGCACGGACGTATACCTGGTAGGGCCTCGTTCATCATCTACTACTTCCGGGCAACGAATTACCGGATATGCTTGGAATACACCCCCACCTGCAGGTTCCATGCACCGTATGCCCTGACGCAAGCAGTCGCGCGATGATGGGCCCCGCAACATAGCCGGTGGCGCCTGCAGGCAGGCAGGCGGGCAGCAGGACGGCAGCAAGGCAGCAAGCAAAGCCATCAAACTGGAGACCATCTTTTCAAAGCTCGTTTCCAAAGTGAGTACCGGTTTCGTCTGTACAACAAGCGCGTCTTGTGGTTAAGCATGATGACTGCTTGGGCCTCGGGCCTTGGCGTCCGGTCTACCGGGGGCAAGTGCTTACCGGTTACACAGACCCGAGAGTGCGGTACGGATCGCTCAGCCGGCAGCAACGGCACCCGATCCAGGAAGGGATCCGCTGCGGGTGCGGTGGGCTCGGGGCCAGCAGGGGGCTGGCCTGCTTCCAGAGGGCGCATCCTGCTGAAGCGCGCAGGCCAAAATATTCAATCTCAATAGGTTTGGAAGCACAACGCTAGGAGATAAACAAGACGTTCATGAAAGTGGAACCTGCAGGAATTATTATTCCAACGTAGCTAGAGTCGCGCCATCGAGCAGCTGCAGATACAAGGCTGGCGTGCAAGGCTCCTATCGTGGCAAGGACAATCGCTCCAATGTCCGTACGGGTCATCGAAGTTGAAAGCTGCTGTGACGTCAAGCTTTCACACTGCAGCGTTTAAGAGCCGAGCTAGCTTGGTTTGTTTCTGCCCTATTACCTGGTTTCCTGTTATCTGGTCCAGCTTATGACCCACGGGTCGTTCTTAATCAAGTCCGCTTTATTCGTCGCCCTCCGCCCTTATTGTCCAAAGGAAGCTATCCTTGCTTAGGCCACATCGTTGTGCCTTGAGTCGCATACGTATACGACATCATAAGAAATATAGTCGTCAGGATTCAGAGTTTGCAATTATTACATTGCGACCTGTGCTGGCTGTACGTCGTTTTAAAGCGATTGTAGCCATACAAACCTATAGGCTCGCCGCCACACGTCACCCTTATGTCATGCATACTAACCCTTACGTTCCGATTATTAAAAACTTATCAACACCCAGCGCTACCAAGGGCGGGGTTGCACCCGTACAGACAATCAGCATGAACAACATGTTGGGCGCTATGCACAAGTCATTATTGTCGGGGTCACAGCTCTTAATTGTACCGGTACAACAGGACAAGAACTAAGGACAAGAGGCAGAGACAACGAGTTCAGGTCAACGGGGTATACCTTATGTACCATACCATGCCCTGCCTGCCCCAACGCACATTCCCTAACCATGGCATACCCACACATATCACATACCTCACTACCTTTGGCGGGCCACAAAGCGCTCCATTCCCATACTCCATAACCGCGAAGGGCACCACATCTTCTCACGATAACGACCCTGAACACGCTGACTGCCTGCCTAAGGTTCCTGCTGTCTCACCTTCTACGGCCCATTATGGGCTTGCTACGGGGGTTTCCCCATTTCCTTCATGTGCAGTGTGGGGTTCTTCGTCCATGTGCATGCCCGGAGAAGCATTGGAGTACTCACTCGTCCATCGCACCACGCTCAAACTCCCGATCGGTATTCCCGAAATAAAAACCAAACACACACATCCTCGTACAAACCCAGAAGCTTTGCTCCATCCCAAGCACGCTTCCCCGCTGCATTCACGCCCCACACGCACGCAAGCCCTCAGCTCATGTCGCCAACGACCGCACCGATCGCAACCACTCCCGCCAAACCCGGGCACGTGCCTGCGGATGCCGTACAATGCTCTTACTGGCCAGGTCTTCCACCATATCGTGTAGGGACTTGTCCAGCGGTACCCATGACCTGAGGCCCAGCTCCTCCGCTGCCTTGAACGTGCTGAACTCAGGAGCATCGCCCCAGGTGGCTTCCACCACGTCTCGTCCCACTCCGAACATCGGCGCTAGAAGCCAAACGGCAGGCTTGGGGGCTGCCAGCAGCGGTGCGCGCACGCTGCCCCCGGGGTAGAGCTTGGCGATGGTGGCCGCCATGTGGCGAGTGTCACTGCCGCCCGAGACAGCCATGTACCTGCATGCACGTAGGGAAGAATGGGACGTAGGGAAGATGAGGAGGCACGAGCATGGCTGATGGGCGAGCGGTACAAGTCTCCGTACGGGCCGTGCGGTGCAGGTTAAGCCTATCTGGCTTGTCTAGATGCGTGCTGCAACCCAGAAGGCCAAGGAAGAGCCTCCGAGCTCAGTCTCAGCCTTGTGTATCATTCTCTGCTGTTGCACGCACCTGCCGCTTGCCTCCGCTGTCACCATGGCTAGCACATGTACCGCTGCCACGTCACGAATGTCCACGTACGGGATACCCATCTTGGGCCCAAAGGGGTACATGAGTCCCTTGCACATGCGGCGCACCAGAGCGATGCTCTCGCTGGCGGTGCGGCTGCTGGCGCCCACGAAGGGGCCCAACACCAGACCCGGGTTCACAGATACCAGGGCCCACCTGGTGTATGACAGGGGCGGGGGGGGGGGGTTGCGGAGGATGGGGTAAGCAAAGGGGAAAGCAGGACAAATGGAAGAATGCGGGATGAAGAGCGGATGTGCCAAGACCAAGATACAGTGGCTTTCAACCTGGTGAGACGTGGCATGGCATAGTGGAGGGGAGCAATGCTTGCCTGTCCTGCTGTCGACTGATCTCCCAAGCCCGCTTCTCCGCCTCCGTCTTGGAGTAGCTGTACGGCAGGAACCGTACGGACGCGGTCGTGTTCCAGCATGTGTCGTCAATGACAGTATCGCCGTGGTCGTTGTTGCTCGAGTAGGTTGCTGCCACTGATGATGTCAGCACCACGCGTCGTACGGTAGGGGTGCGGTTGACGGCAGCTGTCGGTTTTGGGAACACGGAAGAAAGGTCAAGCTGGGTTAGCGAGCTGGAATGGATCACTCAATCCGGAAAGTGCTCGGAGGGAGGCAGAGCGTGGGACAGGAAGCGCCACGGGCATGTAAGCATGGCTTGCCAACCCGAAATACACTATTCCATCAAAGCAGCGTTACGTTGTCCTTCGCAAGTCCTTGCAACCCGGCTCGCTCCAAAGGACCCAGACTGACAGGGCATGGCGCCACACCAACTTCCCCCCCACTACCGCAAAGCACTGGTGTCGGTCCAGTACGCATGCGAGGCCGCCTTACCCAGGACGTTCTCGACTCCACGGACTGCCGGCTCCACCAGCTTCGCCTGTGCGTCGCGTGCTTTGACCTGCCAGGTAAGACGGACCCGCGGGTCGGTAGGTGAGATGGACGCCGAAGTGAGGACTTACAAGCAACGATTTGCGCACTGCACATGCAGATACCAAAGACGACGTACATTCTCAAACTTTACATGGACAGCAGGTAAGGCGTGCATTACCACCGGTAGCACCGCATCCGAGGTGCTCCATCCGCCCGAGGGGCATCCTAGCCACTTCACGGACATGCATGGCTGCAAAGCCGCACTGGCTACAAACACACAACGTCGTCTTCGTACGTCCAATCTAGGAACCAAAGCGTGTCGGGGCCCAGCTACCAATAGTGTATGTACCCGCCCACCCTCACCTACCCCCAGCACGAAGGGCGAGGCGGTGTGGATGACGTAGTCACACCCAGCTGTGCAGGTATGGGGTGGCACAGCAGCAGGGTGGGGGATGGAGGAGGGATGTAAGATGAGGTAAGAATTTACTAGCGAAGCAACTGCCACGGCATGCGGCGGCAGGTTAGACGGATGTGCATGTGTAGCCGCATGCAGGCTAGCAAACATAACCTAGCAAACTAACACACCAAGCTGAGGACGGACCAAACAGCGAAAGCGCAACAGGACTTAATGGATACCCGCGCTCTCAAGAGAGGGCGGCTAGCATCTGCTAGTAATCGACCCCCCAACCCCACCTATCGCTTCATCGAAGCTGCCCGGCTTCATCAAGTCGGCCTTGAACAGCTTCAGCCGCTTGTCGGCGCCGGGCAGGGCCAGCAGCGCTGACACCGCCGCCTTGGAGCCGGGGTTCCTGCAATCCCATGAAACCATAGGAATCCACAGCGAACATGTGTTAGATGGGGCACGCAATACACCGTCGGTAGCGTAGTATGCCGGTATACACATGCACAGCAGGATCACCCCGGCCCAGACCATGCTGTGCTGTCCTGATTGCCACTGCTGTTAGCTAGGGATTGCCTACCGGCCAACGAACTTGTGCTTTGAACACGTGCCGTACCTGCAGGTTCCATGCACCGTGTGACCTGCCGCAAGCAGTCGCGCGATGATGGGCCCCGCAACATAGCCGGTGGCGCCTGCAGGCAGGCAGGCAGCAGGTCGGCAGGACGCATATACGTTAGCAGGCTGCAACAACCGTCATAGCAACTTCTCTTCTGCACAGTATGGGGCTGTGACGTTTGACAGAATGGTGCATGTTATTGTTACAGCGCTAGGGGATGTTTGCCCTTTGCTCTCCGAGTGCAGGGTTGCTGTTCACCGTACCTGTGACACATACGACCGACGGCGCCGCGGACCGTTCAGCCGGAAGCAGTGTCATGCGGTTCGTGAAGGACGATGATAGTGGCACTGAGATGGACCGTGAGTTTGCAAGCGGCGGTGATGCGACGTGGAAAGGCTGCATTTTACTGTAGCTAGTAGCAGTAGATGGGCGTGGCGCTCGTAATAACAGGTAAACGGTGTTACTAAGGTTAGCTTGATAGGATTCACTCAAAGCTATAACTTTTATACGGCACAGCAGTACGCGGTGTTTGTGTTGTTGAGCTTTCATGGTATGCTTTTTATAGGGTGTTTAAAAGGACCGGATAGCGATCGTCGCAAGGTAGGATCCCTCCACGTGGGCAATCGAGTGCTTTCGAGCCAGTACGTACGTCCCGGCGGATCGAATGCCTCACCTTGGACAGTCTTAAAAGTCCTATGTTTTCTTAAATTAACTATTATGTAATTAATAATTTCCCATATGCCCGTATAACTAGGTGTCTTTGCATTGAAGATTGAACAGTTGAAGGTGCTGTGGGCTCTCGATGGTCGTTCGACACCGTTCGAGCCTCGAGGCTCCTCACCAAGAACGTATGATGAATTGGCAGTGGAGCGAATCCATGTGCATGACAGACACCCCGCAAAATTCCCTTTTCTAGCCTAGGAGTCTCTCGACCTATTCTCGCAAGCCGATCCTACCTTGACGGCGACGATTCGTCGACATACGAACCCGGCATTTCGTTACCGCAATAGCAACGCCATACATATATTTTTCGGATTGCAACACTTCCAATCCAAACCAATTCAACATGCAGTGCGCAGGCCGTTACACGGTACGCAGGTAAAATACCGTTAAATACCGTTAAGTAGTAGCAGTAGCAAAGTCTAAACGCAACCACTGCAAAAGAAGTTGCCATGCCATGCCAGGCCCCGACCCGATCAGGCTACACTGCAGCCAAACCAATTGACACCGCAACGACAAGCAGCTTTGATCCTACCCTAGGCTAACCCTAGGCTACTGAAAGGTGAAGATGAATGGCAGAAGGATTCCCCAAGGCACCCCCCGACTAGGCACACGAAGTCGAGTGGATTGTACAGTATATGAATAAGATGGTTTTGCGTACGCAGCAACCTCAAGCTGGCATGTTCGCACTCACGTGATGATTCCCTCAATATTAATCCCAAAGGGCCCTGTGAACAACAACAGCAAACACACAAAACAACAACTGCCGTACAAAAACCCTGTGGGAAACAGTGGTACAGTTGTCTGCTATGCACGACAGCATCTATAGCACCAAAAGCCAGTGCAGTACAACACGCCCCCCCCCCGCGCAGGCTGCTGCCACTGCTCTGCGCACATGCATGGCAGAAAACACACACACACATACATACACACATTCACGCCTCGCTCTGGCAGTCGCCTGCTCCACCACACCACAGGTGGCCGATGTTTCTGCAGTGCTGACTGCTGACTGCATGACAAGTGCGATTGGTGTACCAATACTCGCTCCTCTTCCCCGCATAGAGAGAATGCGGGGAACATCTTTCTCTGCTCACAGCTGCCCTCAACGATGTCGGGCGCAAGACCGGAAACATCAACAAACCGGTACATGAAAATGAACATAAAAGGTTATGTGTGCATGGAGAGTCGACCCGGCATACTGCTGCCAGGGGAGGTGGGAAGCGCCCAATGCAAGGATATGAACACGTAATATAGTCCTCAGGCATGTGCAATGCGCTCACATGCATTGCACAACCGAACAGCGCATGCGAAAGGGTGTGGCTCCGTCCCGTCACACAGGATCACGGGAGGCAAGGTGCGGATGAGGCGCCACAATCAAACGACGGACGGCTGATCCGCTGTTGATTGAAGCATGAGACGGGCAGTCCAACGAACATGACACAACAACACCAGCCAACAAACCAACGAACGCGGGCAAAGTACAAACACGGCAACTCAACAAACTCTGCAATAGCACCAAGCCATATGCCGCCCCGCCGCCGCCGCAGTCTCCCTAGCTTTAAACTGTTTATATTCGCGCAAACGTTGCTTGCTCGCTTGCTGAAACGAACATATCTGCTAGCGCCCTCGAGCAACTGGGGACCCTGAGACGCATTCCGCGCACGCACTGATCGAAAGCTGCACAGGATGACCTTATTTCCCTTGACTAAGCCATCGTTCTAACAGTGAACCCAGCACGCATAAACCATACATCGTCCACAGAGCGTGTATGGAGTACACTAGTATTGTAAAGAAGAATCCCTGTGACGGCAACTAGATCTCACCCGTTCAAGCCTGCCGTTCCCCCTGTAGGGCAACATTTTCCACCAAGGCCCGTACACCACCACCGCCACCGCCACCATCCTCGCTTGGGAAATGCAATAACCGAGCTGACGACAGTAACACTGCAGGCACATTCCGTGGGCAGTCCAGGGACGCACGGCCACCAAGTCTGAAGACGCCAACGTTGGCCTCACAGGTCGTCGCTCCGCCCGTAGCCTCCGTCGCCGCTGCTGCTGCACCCGCATTGGCAGGAGCAGACCCCACGTGCATGTCGGCTGTAACGCCGCCGGGCAAAGCCATCACACTGACAGACGCCCGTCGTAGCCGGGCGCGGCAGTGCAAGTCGCTGCTTCGCTCCTCTTGAGAGGATCGCTCCTGCACCTCGCCGCTCTCGGCAACCAACTCCAAAGGTGCAACGGAAGGTGGGGCCAGGGGCGTTCCAGCTGAGCTCCCAACCATTGCACGTGCCAGCTGAGCCACTCGGTCGACACTGTAGCCAGCAGAGGGACGATCGGAAATGTGTCCCGTGGCGCTGACCCATGGGTCGAAACGGGTCATGGATTGAGGCCTGCGTGCCAGAAAGCGCCTCGCGGTGCGTTCCCGAGCAGCCCGACTCGCGTTTCCTGACAGACGGCCATCACAGGATGGCCGTTCGAGTCGCGCTTCGCCATTAATGCTTGCGCCATAGTTAGCATCGCCCTCCCTGAGCCCCTTGCTCCCTTTACTGAACGTAACTCGGCCAAGGCTGGCTTTTGGAACGTAATCGCCTCCTCGAGGCGAGGAGCTGCCAAGTAACATCGACATGGCCGCAGCTGCGGGCGTCGAGTCGTCAGGCACGTCGCCAGTGCCGGTAACCGCGGGGCTCCTGCTCTTGTGTCCACCGCCGCCGGAACGCCGGGAGCTTCGGCCGCTGTGAAGACTGCCGCGGGCTATCCCAGCAGTTCCGCTGGCCATGCGCGCGAGCAGGTCTGTTGCATCCGCAGCCGCCCGGGCAGCATGGCCCGCTGCGAGTGCTGCTGCTGCCTCGGCAGCCTCCATGTCCGCTGCCATGCGTGCTCGCTCGGAGGGGAGCTCGTCCTGAAACTGGCCCAGGTTGGCGCGGGGACCTGCGGGGGCGCGAGGGTGCAAGGGGAGTGGTTGTGGTGCTAAGGCCGAGTATGATTTTGACGGTGTATTGTTGACATGGTGGCGAAGCAACGCGTACGGCATCGCAGCTATGCTAGTATCACCGCACCGCGTTGGGAGGTTGCCGGAACAAAGCAGTGGGGCAACCTCCAAGGTGTTATCTCATCAGCTCACCTATGAACCAGGCGCGTGCACCGTACTTGGGAAAGTAATACCTGCAGGGAAGGGCACGTGACGGCAGCTGACAACACGTGTACATGTCCGCGTGGCTTTCAGGTAACGTCATCACACACACTCCAGGCAACGTCACGTTCCTCACATACCGTCGCACACGACTCACCATCCAAGAGAGAAGGCGAAGGCGACGCCAAGAATGGGCGCGCTCCAGTTTAGGTTGATCACGGTGATCGGGTAATATTGTGGCAGTGTGAACAGAACTGTCACGGTGAGCACCCAGAGCGATGTGATAATGTTGTTAATGTACGACAGCCGAGGACCCAGGAAGAAGGGCCCTGGCAGGAAGAAGCGCCGACCCGTGGAGAGCCTGTGGGCGGTGCCGGCAAAGGGGGCGGTCTGTTGGCAGACGATCACAACACCGCGATGCCAGCATGTTGCGCAGATGAGGATGGCGTCGCTAGCAAAGCGCGGAAGGGAGCCCGGGGGGTTCACCACTGCGCCGGAAGTCGCCCCGCCCGTAACATTAATGGTGGGGCGATTTTTGTGTACGGTTCTCAGCCACAAGAGCCATGGGGATAACAATGCGTTTTAGCCCGGTACTCACTTGCACAGCACGGGCAGCGCGTAGGCGATGTAGCAGCCAACAACCGCAAAGGAGGTGACCGCGGGGAACTGCAGGTCACGGGGAACACGGGTAAGGCGATTAGCCGGTATGGCAATGAAAAAACTCAAAGCCGTGGATGGAGAGGGCCTAGCACAGTCTTGCATGCATTCGCCCTCAAGCCCTCAACCTACCACATATGCGTTGAAGCACATGGGTGTGGACAGCAGACTTGTTAGGACGAGCATGTACAGCACTGCGTACACGGGCGCCTTGGTCCGGGGATGCACCCGCTTGGCATAGCTGGCAAGTGGAACGCCGTCATCGCGCGCAAAGGCGTACAGCATCCTGTCAGGGAGGGAGAGAGAGCAGCATGCAGCGCGGCATTGCGGTCATGCACTCCATTAACTCGTGAGCGACGTTACCATTGGGCAGGGCATGTCAAGGCGCGGCGCGAGGGCCCTGTTGCAGCACGTCTGGGAAGACTGCTCAGAACCGGTGACTACCAACAGCAGCATGCTTGCACCCACCTTGAGTTGTTTGCGATGGACTGCAATCCAGTTAGTTGTGTGATGTCCGTACATGTAGGAGTTGGTTAGACCGCGATCATGGGGCCAAGGGGCATTGGGTACATGTAGCAGTTGGTTAGGACCATAGGAGAGTCGCTTGGATGGCCCCAGGCAGCCCTTACCACACCTGGCGCATGGTTCCGAGCGGCCTAGCGGAGAAAGTTACTTCCTGTCATGCTGGCCCCTTGTATGCTTCACCTCACGACCTGCCCTGCCCCACCCCACCCCACCGCACGTACCTGAGAGGAGCAGAAGAACGCCCCCACGATGAGAACCGTGAAGAGCACCACGCTGCTGCTCACGGGGCTATTTGTTTCCTTGGACAGCTCAATCAGCATCTGCAGCACCACGTTCTCGCCGTGCGTCTCATTGGCCGGGTCCAGCAGCTTCGCCACATCGAATTTGATGGAGGTGAGCGACAGTAGCAACGCGAAACCCGTGGCACCCACGCCCCCGATTGCCAGCAGGATGGCCTTGGGGACGTTGAGCTCCGCATGGACGGTTTCCTCGGCCAGATGTGCTGAGCCATCGTAGCCCGTAAGCGTCCACCTGCGTTATGACAAAAGCAGCATATGCGGTACATGCCGGGGCTTACATGCCGCGTGTTCGGCGTCTATTACGGTAGGTAGGTTGCACGGTAGCATATGGCGTGCAGCCATCCCACCACGCAAAACCGATACCGGTATGTAGCTCGTGACATGCAGCTCTACCCTAGTCAGCGATACGCTCTGCATGGGAGCTCCTGCTGCATAGCTTTCAGGACCCCCTCCAGGAGACCCAGGGGTCAACAGACTAGCCCATCCTGAGCCCGGAAGCCGCAACGCCCACTCACTGCGACATCAGCAGTCCCACGAGGGTGGTGTAGATGGAACTGGAGATGCCGGTGACATCGTGATGAGGCTGCCAGGAGGTGAATATGTACTGCGGGCCGAAAAAACAACATGGAAACCAAGGGAAAAGGGGCCAAGCGGGCGTCATGGATGCAGCCATCACCCATCATGAGGTGGAGTCAAGCGACAGGCGGGTGGTGAGTTGGAAAAGTGGTTGGGTAAGTTGGTCCCTGGCGAGTCTTAGGCAAGGGGGGCACAGCGGGCCACCCCCGCAGCCAGGGACACAACTCTGGCGGGTGGCAGGCGGAGATGCCCGCATGCCACATGCCACATGCACGACCAGGTTCAAGACCGTCATCGGTATTGCGTATATGTTGCGCGGCACCTTGGCGGATCGCGTGGTTGGGGAAGACAGCGGCAGGCAGAGGCAAAATGCAGCTAGCGCAACCAAGTGCCACCTGCACGGGGGGGGGCACACGGTTGGGGGGGGGGCACACGGTGGAAAGAGGTGGGGAGGTTAGCACCACTGCTGCACATGATGGGGCACGCGTAGGCCATCAACCAGGTACACCTGTAACCCGATTTGCAGCTGCAGTACGCGGATTCCCATGACAACTTCGCACAAGCATGCAAACCGCAACTGTATGTGTGTTGCCAGCTGTCACCAGCTAAACGTTCGCCACGCAATTCTTTCGCCTGTGCAGCTGTTTTACGGCCCCCGGAATCCCAACAGCAGAATCCCATGCATTTCCCACGCACTTTCCCAACGCACATTGTCCCCAGCGTGGTCATGTAGGCCGTGAGCCGCGCCGTGCCGCAGTTCAGCAGCCCGATCAGCGCTGTGGCTGCGATAAGGAGCCCGAACACCCCAGCGGACGACAGCCGGATGCCTGCAGTACCGGGTTGCATGCATGCATGATCGCGCATGAGGGGGCGCATGAGGGGTTAAGGGCTCGATGATCGCCACTGCGTTGTGAGGTTCTGAGGCGCTTTTGGTTGTGAGACACTGGGCCAGACGCGTGACAACTGCCGTGCTGCCGGTGGTTATGCATTCCTTTTCTTTTACCCGCATACCGAGTGCACCTCTGCGGATACTTGCTCTGGCAAGAGTACTGTTAGAGGAATCAGTGCCGACGGGAAACGTGCGGAAAAGGGGCGCGCTGTGTGTCCATTGCACGACCTATAGGGGCACGACAACCGCAACCCACCGTATTGGACCTCTATAGCCGACGCAATGAAGTGTACGAACGTGTAAATGAGGGAGGCTGAGAACCCCGCCTGGCCCAGCGTCAGGATCCAGGCAGTCATCCAGCACGCCAGGTTTTTAAGCCGGGTGGGAGCCAGCCGGTACGACCAGTAGTACAGCGCACCGGAGGTCGGGTAGGCGGAGGCCAGCTCCTGGGGAAATGGTTACCATGCAAGGGAGATAGCACCATGCAGGGAGTGGGACGACGTGACACAGTGTAAGGAGCGCCGGCTTTGCAGGCGCAGACTGAAGATGCCTTCGCGTGTACGAGCATGTTTGCAATTGAACGCTGCTGCATACATCACAGCGCCTTGCTGTGGCCTGCAGCCCGAGAAGCCAAGGACCAGGCTTCCTTACGCCCCGCCCTGAATGCCCACCATCCAACCCACCAACGCACTTCGCCCCTTGGCAGCACCCTGTCAGCCACATTGCTCCATCCCACCCACCCAGTCACAAACCCAGCCACCCACTGCCTGTCAAGTGCCGCCTCGCGGCAAGGGTTTCCCTGGTAGCCTCCAACCCAGGTGTCACTCCCCGGGCACCCCAGCCACCACTCACCGCCATGCTCAGGCCCACAGACGTCGTGAACAGCGTCACGACCAGCCAGCCCCACCTGTGTCAGGACACCGGTGTGCACAGCGTCGAGCCTTTAGCTTGTAATCATCATCAGCAGCAGCACAGCGTCAAACGACAGGCAGCGGCAACACTTCTTGGGTACCGTTACCGCAACCAGCTGAGCAAGACACACCAGCTGTGCCGTGACTTAGCACGTACAGGAAGAGGCTGCATGCCTCGTTGCGCCCCTACGTGGTACCGGTATAGGCACCAGCGCCATTCAAGCATGCGAGCTGGGGCCAAAAGGCCCAGTGCTGCTGTCATAAGGCCAGTAACCGCACTCACATCATGACCACCGGGCCCCCGTAGATGATGCCGATGTTGTAGGTGCCTGTTGCGGAGGAGCACCGAGTACGACACACACATGCGCGTGACAACATGTGTGCTTTGCTAGTTGGGCACGGCACACGCACAATTGCGGTGGATAGCATGGCACACGCACAATTGCGGTGGATAGCATGGCACACGCACGCCGCCTACAACGATTGTAACATATGGCAGGTGCGGGAGTCCCTGGCCCCAATTTGCGAGGATTGTGGTCGGGCCGAGAGGCGCAACTAACCCCAACGGGCCGACATCATGATGAAACAGAACATACGGTACAGCAGCCAGGCCAAGCTCAGCCCCTGCAGCGTGCGAGCCCGATGGCCCGAGCCCCAGGGTAGCAACGGGCTCAGCATGGAAGCTTTCCTCACCTCCCAGGGCTGTGAGGCTGCTGAGCGCTGTGACACTGCTGCCAAAGGAGTTGAAGAGAGTGAACCTGGGGGTTGGGTGAGGTGGCGGGGAAAGAAAGGGGTGCTTGCTTGCCCCGTTTGGGTAAGCCAAACTGCCCAGCAGACGGCCTCCTTTTGCTCAAGCCGCCCATGCAAACCATCCCCCGCCTGTACCCACTCGCGCTTTAGCTCCTGCTTGTAGCCCAGCATCAGCAGCTTTACGGTGTCGGTGTTGGGGCGAGTTGTCACCCGAGGAAGCATGAGGGTGGCTGAGGGTTGCCGGCGGTGAGGAGCGGATTCACCCATATCCTGTATTTGCAAGGTTGGGACGCATCGGTGTGATACCGAGGTTATAAGGGCGTCTGCAAATGCAAGCAGACACAATGGCACCGTGGCTTCGGTCACCTATGAGACGCAGCACGGTGTTAGCGACGCTTGGTTTATGTTGGTGTGCGTGTTCGTGGCAGGCGCGTAGGTAGTTGAGAAGCTTATCGGTTTGATGATGCAAAGCGTAGTGGGTAGTGGGCCTGGCATAAATGACAGCTAGAACATCCCTCTGCTAAATGCAATGTATAGCATATGTGGGCACATTATTTCGCATGACGACCCTGGCAAAAGGAGGAACCCTGTGCCGACTGGATGTAAGTGCAAGAAGAGTGTCTCGTCTAGCTAACATCGACGAAATTCCAGGTTTAAAAGGAGCATGCCTTAGCCTATGCAATGTCAGTATCCCTGTCGCCTACCGTGAAAATAACGTCTTTCGAAGTCCGCATTCCTCGACGGGGCGTCTGCAGGCTACGTTGGTCAAAACCCTAGACGCCCTAAGACACTAACAAAAGCAACGAAAGATAGTTGAAGGCATCGGCTATGTTGTCGATAAGAACGGCGTGTGTTTACCAGGGGTTCCCTGCAGGTAGTCCACAGGTTGCATAGTGCAAGTACGCTTTTTAATGGCATTAGCCCTTACAAGCACTCCTTAAAGAACCGGCATTCAACCAGTATCCATAATGCTGTCACCGCTTTGCTGGTTGCCAATCTGGATCCGGCTCCGATGCCACAATGCGTACCGCCCTGCATGCCATGCATTGTCTCCACAAAGGGTATGAATGGTATCCGCCGAAGCTTGACGCATGATGCCTAGTGTCTAATACCTACACGTTAATATTTACAGACCGAACTTTACCGTTCGTACCTTGGTGGTTCTCCTCCGTTAGCCACGCACACACGAGGAACTTACCGCGTCTGCGCTACACGTGCAACCTTCATCACGGACATTTACCCTCCAGCCCTTCCCTCCCCCAGCCTGCTCAAGCTCCTATCCTGTGCACAGCCGCTTCCTAAACGCTTCCCAGCACTGGCTCGCCTACCCAGGCCGCGTAAGCTCGCCTATCACATCCCCACACAAGACCTAAACCTCTCATGAGAATCCTGCACACCACCATGCCTCACGCATCCTGCTAGCACTCCAACAGTGACCACTGCAGCAGACATGCGGACAACCTCCTCGACTGGAGCCCCAACTCCCAACCAACCGCTTCAACCACCCTCTCATAACAGCCTCTACCAAACCCTACTCTCCAAATTGCTGCTGCGACCCATCATCCGCCGCGACCACCGCCGGCGCTGTTTCCGTCAGCAGCTTCACACTGTCTAGCACCGTCATCAGGTTTACATCGTTCAGCAAGTAAAGCGGACACACACTACCCAACAGCCCTTGCCCCTGCTGGCTACCGCCCTTATCACCACCCCCGCCACCAACAGCACCACCTGAGGTGTGGTGGTGGTTGAGGTCCTGGCCCGACAGCTCCACTCGCAGGCGACCCGTGGGTCGGTCCATGGCCGCCCGCATGGACAGGCATGCAGCCACATCCAGGCTGCCGCGCGAGAGGTACTCATGCAGTTGGTTGAAGGCGCGGTTCCAGAAGCGGATGGAGTAGGAGTCGGCGGAGTGGAACTTGAGGACCAAAGCGATCACCACTGCCTGGAGCACCCTATGGGGGAAAGAGGGCGGGGGAAGGAGGCAACCGCGACAGTGGCAGCAGCAACGGCATTTGCAGTGATGTCCTTAGGCCTGCGGTATCCGTTATTTATCCATTGGTCGTGTCCTGCCTCTGACTTTGTCGCACCATTCCGCACATCAGCCACAGCAGGTCCGGCTTTTCCGTCACATCAGCCCATACATACGCAGACTAGAAACGAAGGCATCGGCAGCGCAACAGCGTCACAGCCCGTTACAGGCCTCTACAGCCTCTTCCTTCTTCTCATCCGTACCTGACGGCCAGTCGCGGTGACACACTCGACTGGAACCACAGTCCCTCCACCTCCGCTCGCAGTCGTGTGATGTCGTTGCTCTGCACCGTCAGCATGCAGCAAGGCCGCTGCGCCGCCGCGTCCGAGTCGCCCTCGCGCCTCCATCCGGTGTCCAGAGAGGCTGTGAAGAGGTCGCCGTAGCAGCCCAACAACCGCCCCGCGATGTCCGCTTCCGCTGCGGAGGGAGTAACAGCGGCGGCAGTAGTTGCGGCGGTGATGGGGCTGGCTCGACCGTTGGATGAGGTCAAGGCTGGCATCAACAGAGGCGAGAGAGATGCGGCTGACGCGGCGGCGGCTGTGGTTGTAGAGTCGCTGTTAATGCCCCCGCCGCATGCTCGGCCCGAAAGGAGCTCCACAATACGCTCCTCGTCCAGCCTCAAGCTGAGTGCCAACTTCTTAATGCAAAGCTGCCCAACCACAGGGTTTTGCAGCAGTGGTGCCGTCCCCGCCACCAACACGCCGCCCTCCGGCATCCCCTCCGTCAGCGCCGCAGCAAGATCCTCGCCTATGTCGGACAACATTGCTGAGGCACCCGCCGACGCAAGCGGCACGCCGCCGCCAGCAGATTTGGACGGGGATCCCCCGCCGCCGCCGGCGCCGCCGGCACTGCCCCTAGCGCTGCCATGGCTGCTGCCGCCGCCGCTTACGCCACCGCCGCCAGCGCCGCCGGAGGAAGCAGCGGCAACGGTCGCAACCGTAACCGCCGCCTGAGCCGCAGCTGCAGCCGACGGCGGCGAGGGAGGCATGGCGGCAGCCAACCCCTGCCCCGCATGCAACAGCCGCTGCTGCAGCTGCTGCTGCACGCTGGCAAACGCACTGCTACCCGTGCTAGTAGCCGCGGCGGCGGCAGCCGCCGCCGCTGCCGCCGCCGCAGCGGCGGTAGCGCTGCCCGGGGCACCATTACCGTTCCCCGCCTCCGCTGCCGCCGCGGCTGCTGCCGCGTTATAGTGTGTGTTGGAGAGGGAATACATGACTTCCGTTAGGAGGCTTGTGAGGGAGTTGGTGGCCTGCTCGCGGTCCGGCAGGCGCACGTCCAACAGGAAGGAGCCGTCCGGATCCATGGCTAGGTCCAGGGGCACCTGCGTGGGGAGGGAGAGGAGCGTCAGGAGGGGGTGCGTGAAGGACAAGGGAGGAGGACGTGACGTGGAGGAGGAGACATGGGAGGTACTAATTGGGACAAGCGACAAGGAGCAGGTAACGGAGCAACGGTGTGAGGGCAAGGGTACGCAGAGGGTTAAAGGAAGACGTACTCCGACGGGCGTGCCTCACACCCACCCCCGTCAATTCCCTGGCTCCCCACACCCATCTCAGTGCCCAGTGTTCGCAGCCAACCTGAAGCTTCAGCGGCCCGTCGTACGACACACTCTCCGCACCAAACTGGAACACCCGCCGATCCGCCGACGCCAACAACGTAGCGCCCGCCGATCGGAAGCGCTGCTTGAACGTGCGCAACACCTTGGCCAGCGATGCATGCCACAGATCCAACAACTGCAACTGAACCTCTAACGGCTCCCGAGGCGGGCCGGAGCTGCTGCCTCCGCCGCTGCTGTTCCCACCGCCGCCGCCGCTACTATTCCCGCCGCCGGTGTTGCTGCCTGATTTGGCGTCGAAATCTCGGGCTAGGCGTTCGAAGTAGTCTCGGAGGGTGGCCAGCGCGGCGTCGCAGTCCAGCGCGAGGCTGAGTCGTTCCAGTGTGAAAGCGATGCGCAGGGGTTTGCGCACCAGTCGGGCCACGGCGCCGTCAAGGAAGCTAGGCAGGGAGAAACGCTCCGCTGGTGGGTGGTGAGTTGGTGGGTGCGTGGGAGGGGAGAGTTGGGAGGGAAGAGCATAAAAAGGATGAGGTTGAAGCGGTTGTGTAAGCACCGGGCACGAGGGACGCGAGGTCGTGAGGGCCGCAAGTTTCAGTGCAAGTGACGGCAGCAGCATACGTAAGCAACACGCCCGGTTATGGTAATAGCTCGGGATCACTGTGAACGGCCACAATCGAACTGCTGCTGCGGCAAAATACCAATATGTGCTCCTGCCCGGCCTGGTTCTGGCTCCCGGCACGCACGCACGCAGCGGGCTGCGCACCTGGGGCCACTCCGTGGAACTCGAAGGCATCCTGCGTTGCAGCACAACAACAACAACAACACACCAGCAGCAGCCGCAGCACACAAAAGCGTCACAACACTTTGCATCTTCATGAGCAACGGGTGGGCCTGCATACGTTTATCTGCATACGTGTTTTCCTCTCCTCCCTCCCGCACCTGTAGTGCCCGGTCTAGCAACCCCAGTAGCGGCTGCCACAGTCCGCTGCCGCTGTAGCTCACATAGAACCTGCACAGCTCGCGAGGATATGAAGTCGGGGGGCTTAGGTTTGGGTGTAGGCCTGGGTCTGGGTTTGGGTTGGGACAGGAGGCATGGGCATGACAGGGCTCCACCAAACGGCTGAGGTCAAGGGAAAAAGGGTAGCCAAAGGCTTTCCTGGCATACACCCAGCTACTCTTCGTGCCTTCAGGAGGGCAGTTGTTGTAGCGAACACCCATGCGCCCAACGTCTTGTGTCCCCCAGCCGCATGCTCCCCCCCACCTGCACAGCCCACTGATGCTGGGTCCCACTCCGGCACTGTCCGGCAGCACCGCCGACCGCCCGCAGCCGCCAAACAGCTCCGAAACCGCGGCCGCCTGCGCCTCCGTAAGGCCCAGCATGGCTCGCGCGCGCGCTGCAGTCGCCTGGGCGGCGTTCCACTGGGCTCGACGAGCCGGGTCATTGCCTGGGGGCGGCTGCGGAAGAAAGACACGAGTGCAAGAAGCAAGCCCGGTAACGCGGTGAGTAAAAGTAAATAATACAAGTACGGCCAGGTACGGCTTACATTAAAAACGAAAGCAGCACGGGCCAGAGTGCAATCCTAGCCCTGCCTGTGTTCGATTTCACAAGCACACGCTCACCTTGTTCGCGGGCGCAAAGGGTGCAATGGTGGTTGTGAGTGAGGGCCCCGCCACCTTGAACTCCCCGCTCAGCGCCTGTGTCTCCCCGCTTGCGGCCGTGTAGGCGCCCAGCTCCGCGGGTAGCAGGCCGGACAGCAGCCGCGTCAGCAGGCCCGGCATGTAGGCGTTCAGCAGGCCCCTGCGCGGTTGGGGGAGGGAGTGGAAGTAGGTCAGGGGTGGTGGTGATGATGGCGCGGAGCGGCGGGTGTAGGGTATGTTGGACCGCAGCGGGATGCAGCATACGGTGCTGCAGAGACAACATCGCCTTCCTTCTCATGTGTGCCCCCCTCGTATGATACCCTAGACCGCAGAAGCTTCAAGTAAGGACACAGCGACTTGAAGTCCAGGCTGAAGCGCAAGCTGAAGGCACAGGGCTTACTTGAGCAGCGTCTTGGGCAGCGGAATGGTGTTGCCCCGCATGCGGTGGTCCAGCTGCAGGATGTTGAAGGACACCGGCTCGGGGGCTAACCATGCACCGCCGCCAAAGCTCCCAAGTCCAATACCCGCATCGGCGCCACCGGCGCCTGCGGCAGCGGCAGCAGCAGCGGTGCTGCTGCTGCCGGCGGGAAGAGCTGTGTGGTACTCGAACACCGCCGTGACGGCCACCTCCACCTCCAGCATGATCTCACGGATACTCGTATCGGGGACCTGTAGCAGCGGTAGTAGCGGTAGTGACACAGGTTTAAGATTTAGCATAAAAGAGTCCCAACTCCAACTGTTGGTGAGGCCTGTGTGGTGAGGCCAGTAGTAGCGGCCCACGTGGCACATCCTCTGTTCCCGCATGGGGCAAGGGCGGCCACCTTGCAGCGGTATCATAGCCCGCCCGCCCTCTCGCACCCCACCCTCCCCCACCTTGGTTCCTCTCTCCCCCAGCAGCTGCACCTGCTCCCCCAGCAGCTGCACGTACACGCCCTTGCGCGAGGGGCGGCACTCAAAATCCTCCTCGAAGCCGCCCAGCCGCCCGGTGTCGGCGCCGTCACCGCCTGCGGGGGGAGAGGGCAGTGTTCGGAGAGGGCGGTGCGGAAACAGGAAACGGAGGGTCGTAGGTACCGATCTGATGCGCGCATGGCATATGTGGGCAGGGGGACGGTAGGCAAGGTAGCGAGCATGGACTGGGATAACAGGGATAGATGACAGCAATGGAAAGGACGCCCCCAAGGACGGCAATGCACCAGCAATAAAGTACGAGGCCACCTCTGCTGCAGGAGGGCCTACATGCACACCGTCGCTCATCTCACCGTCTGCCGCCATTGCCACGTCCGCATCCACCGCGGCTTGTGCCCGGGGCATAGAGGCAGCTGCCGTACCGCCCGCGGTCGCCTGCGATCCCGCGGCCGAAGCACCCCCACCGCTTGTATTGGCGGCGGAATTGCGACCAAAGTAGTCGGGATTGAGGGGTAAGGCGGAGTCCAGGGCGGGTCCTCCGCTGCTGCTGGGGGTGGGAAAGAAGGTAATGTAAGACTAGAGAATGTAGCGGTGGTGGCAAGCTGGCAACACGTGGTGGAAGCCCCTGGCGATTACGGGAGTAGATGCAAAGCACAGGTGGGTAAGGCATGCTGGGGGGAGGTGGGGGTAACAGTGTGGTACACATCCGCACGCGCCAGCAAACACCTTGGGCCACGCGGCAGCAGGCAACCCCATGCACCCGTACACCATTTGCACACCGTACCATTCACCTCCCGTCCTAACCTGCCACGCTCCAGCATGCCGCCGCCGCCGCAGCAGCCCCATTCACCCTCCACACCGCCGCCGGCGCCGCCGCCAGGTCCACCGCCCCCTCCCGGCTGCCCCGGCCGCTGGATCTTGGTTTTGATGTCCCGAAGTGCCTCCGGGGCTTTGGTTGCAATGGCCTTGCCGATGCGGCTCAGCTTGTCACGGCTCTCCGAGAAGCCGTCCTGCGCCGTCGTGCGGTACAATGTAACCCAGGTAAGCCAGAGGCAAAGCTTGCGGTGGTTTGGTTTGTGCACCGTGTAAAGTATGCTCCCACGCACAGACGCCAATCAATCAGCCAGCGCGACATTCGTTTGGCCCAGACATTCGCGCACCTCCCTGTCTGCCGTACGGCCCATACCCACCTGCAGCTTCCCCATCATCTGCGCCTTCAGCCGCCCGGCACCGCCAGGCCCACCGCCCTCCGTAGCGTCGTACATTGGTGTTACTCCTGCTGCTGCTGACGTCATCACCATCCCAGCACCCGGCGGCGGCGGCGGCGGCCCCGAAACCAAACCTGGCCCTTGATCTCGTCCCGGAGCTAGCCCCGGGCCCGGGACATAGGGCCCTGATAGCCCCTGGTTCAGGCCCGCACCGCCGCCACCGCCGCCACTGCTGCTCATGCTGGCGAGGTTGCCGGTTCGATCCCGGTCCTTGTCCCCCACCAAGCCGCCCACAATGTTCTTCAGCCGCTCCTTTTTGTTCTTCAGCCCCGACAGGAAGTTTGCGACGCCCTCACCCTTGGTACGCGGCGACGGCGCCGGTGGTGGCATGCCGTACGATGTCGGTGGTTGCGGCGGCGGCGGCGGTTGCATGCCGCGCAGCGGCGGCGGCGCCGCCATCCCAGCTGCTGGCCCCATGGCGGCGGCCATGGGCCCGTCGCTTGCGGCAGCTCCCATGGAGGGGTCATGGCTGGGGGCTCGTCGGTGGGTGGGGGCAGGCGCACCGCCGAGCGGTAATCCTGAGGTTGGAGGTGGGGGCCCGGAGCTGAAGCCTTGCAGGGGTGGGCGTGGTTGCGGGGGCTGCAGCGGGTGCGGGGGCTGCAGCGGGTGCGGGGGCTGCAGCGGCTGGGGATACTGAGGGGGCTGCTGCGATGGGCGCATGGGGGGCTGCTGGGCTTGGGGAGGATACGGGTGCTGCTGCTGCGGATACGGATGCAGGTGCTGCTGCGGGTGCGGCAACTGTTGCGGATGGTGTATTGGTTGCATGGGTTGCAGCGGGTGTGGGTGCGGTTGTGGTTGTGAGGCAGTGAGCTGCTGCTGGTGCTGCGGGTACTGCGGGTGCTGCAATGGGTGCTGCTGTGAAGCCTGTTGCTGCTGCAGCTGAGGCTGTAGCAGCTGCTGCTGGGGCTGCTGCTGAGGGTGTTGCTGCTGAGGATGCTGCTGCCACTGGCCGCCATGCATCAGGAACTGCTGCTGCTGCTGCTGGTGCAACAGCTGCTGTGATGGTTGCAGGGGCTGCTGTAATTGCGCCGGCTGTTGCTTTAACGCCTCATGAGGGGAAGCCTGGAGCAGCTGTAGCGCCTGCTGCTGCTGCTGGAGCTGGTGCTGCTGCTGTGGTGCTTGCCGGGGCTCCACAACAGGAGCCGCAACCGCAACAGCAGCAGCAGCTGAAGGAGAGTTGCGCCCTGCCTGGCCCATAGCGACCGGCGAGCCCCTAGGAGCCACAACGTGGGAAGCCGCCACCTCTGGCGCCACCGCAACAGCGGTGGGTGCCAAGGAGGAAGTCGGGGAGGCGGCGGAGGGGCTCCCCAGGGGCACCATCCGTGCGGGCGAAGACGTGGGTGTAAGGCTGCTGCCTCCACCACCGCCTCCGCCGGCGGAGACCCCCGGTGCGGAGCGGCCAGCGGGGGGAGTAGTCGGTGATGCGCCCCCAGCGGAGGCAGCCGCACCGGCGAGGGGTTCGGGTCCCGCTAGCGGTGGCGCCGTTTGATTCGCGAGAGCCGCTGGGTCCTGACATGGCCACACCAGCAGGAGTAAGCATGGCAGTCAAAGGGAGAAAGAAGGGGCAGAGCGAAAAATGTAACAGGACAGAGGAAACGGCAACGCAGGCAGGGAAGCGTGCCAAGGGTAAACTTCACGTCGCATGGGTGCAGCAGGCCTTAGGAAGCTCCGTAGCTTCCCATCCATCATCTACCAACTGTATCCCCAAGCAGATTGTCGTGCTGGCTCACATGTTGCAAACCATGATGATGCCTTATCACACGGTCAGTTAGTTGTTTCCCCTTTACCACCCCAGCCCCCACACCTGCTCCCCGCTGTATCCCGTCACATAACCCTCCGCCACCGCTCCAGGACCCCCAGCGGAGGCGCCCCCGCCGGAGCTACGGACGGAGAGGTTGGTAGAGCCGCTGGGCTGCAGCGTACTGGAGTTGGTGGTGGTGCCACTGTTGTTGGCGTTGCTGCCGCTGCTGCTGCCAGACGAGGCGGGCCGACCCGCCGTGTCGGTGGCGCCAGCGGTGGCGGCATGCGTGGAGGAGGCAAAGCCGCTGCGCCGGGAACTGTTTAGGAGAGATTTGGCAGGCATGCAAGGGTATTGAACAAGTCACATCCAAGTCACATCCAAGTGTTGGTAATTTGGCCGTTCCCATCTAGCTCCCTCATTACGCTTCTTCTGCTACCCCCCGCCATTCCACCTTCTGGCCTGTGGCCTCCCTCTCCCTACTCTCCCCCCCAAAGCCAGCTAGGCCTCACTCGCTGCGTTCCGCCAGTGCAGTAGAGGCCGACACGCCCCCCAGTGCTACCGTCAGCCTCGCCACACGCGTGGAATCACGTCCCATCCCACTCGCCGCTCCTCCTCCTCCTGTTGCACCCCCCGCGCTGCCACCGCCTCCTCCAGCGCCAGCGCTGCTGCTGCATGGGCCGGTGCCGGTAGCGCGAGCCAGTGCAGGCCCTATGGGTTCGCATGTGAACTCGAACCTGCCGCTGACCTCACTGAGGTGCAGGTCGCGAGCTCCCACGTACACACCGCCGCTGCCGCTGCTAAACCTGCGACGCGTGTCAGCGTGTTCGTGTTTGTGTGCCGACAGGCTGACAGCCAGGTACCCCAGATACCCCAGATAGCCCACTTCTCTTTCTCCGCCCACCTGTAGCCCTTTGCTTCCGGGAAGTACAGCAGCTGCTTGACTCGGTCCAGGCGGCTGGTGGCGCGCTCCAGCTGCTCCTCAAGCGCCGCAACCGCCGCCCAGCCGCCGCCTGCGCCCCCCTCGGCAGCGGCGCGGCGCTCAGCTTCTGCGCGGCTGCGAATGGCGTCCAGGCGGGCGAGGGAGGCGCGCAGGGACTGCAGCTCCTCGGAGAGGATGCGGCGGGTGTCCTGAGGGCGGGAGGAGGAGGAGGAGAAGGAGGAGGAGGGGGACGGAGGGAGGGAGGGGAGGCATGTAGGGAGGGCATGGGCGGTTGGGGATCGGAGTTGAGGGGGATGGAACTGAGATGGGTGGAGGGAGGAGGAGGAGGAGGGACGGGCGGGCGTTTGCGTTACCTGCAGGACGACGCATTTGGTGGAGAGGTACTCTCGTTCATCTGCGCGCTCGCAGCTTGAGAGCTCCTGGTTGCTTTTCACAATCTCGAGTTCCGTTGCCTGCAGACGTGCGGTGAGCTCCTCCAGCTCGCGTTGCAGCGAGGCCGGGTCCTTAGCGCTATGAAGCGAGATCGATTCGGAAGACGCATTTCGTTGGCTCTGTTTTGCCGGAAAGCTGTTGGCAGCAGCTGCGGCCTGTTGCTTCGCTGTAAGTTCTGCCGCGAGACGCTTCTTATCCTTCTTAAGAATATCGCACGTCTGTTAAGAAGAGGTATAGGTTTACAGATCTTAAGAACTTGTGAGGGGAAGGGCGTGAAAGGCGTCATCATGGCTATAAGAGTCATGTAACTCAAGTTACCTGGTTCAGGGAAGATATTAGAAGTTCTAGATTTGGTCGCTCTTCCTCCCACCTCCTAACTTTGCCCTTTTCTTCATCCCTGATTAGGCCAAAGAGCTCTGCACAAGACTTCTGATATTGTGACAAGGTTTTCGCAAAGGCCTTGTCCCGATCCATCCTCTTGAAGCTAAGCAAAGTCCTCCAAACCCGACAACCAAAATAACCTGTGCCTTTCGACACTTAGATCAGGCAAGGTACCGTAGTTGCCGTGTGCTCCGGTGCCAACTGTCAAAGCGACGCTGTCACGTGCGAACTTGCAGCCCTGGCTGGTAGCATATCCTGCTAAACTGTAATCTGTTACTATTAAATTGACGTGGATAGCTTCCAGGAATGCCAAATGTTGCAACACATGTCTGCCGTCCGGCCGTTTCTTGGAATTTGGGATTGACAAGTGCTAACCGTAGATGCCCAACTTTTCTTAAGGAACCCGGAAGCTGGACAGGGCACTGCTCGCGCGTCGCCCGGCGAGGCGTGCCCGTCCTAGCCGCATTTACGCTCGTTAACGGTCAGGGACAAGCGACAACCTACAGCAAGGCGCGTATCATGCTTCAGAATTTATCGAAGAAGAATTGGGCCAATGACGTCCAGGCGCTCACGTCGTTACGTCCCCTTTCATGACGCCACAGCCCGAATGCACCCTAGGCACGGCACCCTCCTGCGACGTGAGGCTCAGCGGCTCCCGGGGTAAGCCACGGTTAACGGTCATGCCCTCTTAACTCATCCGTTGTCCTCGTGTCCTCCGTGCCCCTCCGCCCTCATGGACTCTCAAGTGACCCTGAAGTGTACCACATGTACCCAGATCCTCAGACCTGTAGTTCCCTGCTGCATGCCGTGTTAGTCTTCCCAAAAGTGCGCCATCTGACTTAGCCCCAACCGGCTCCGAAGTCACTCTGGCACATTCGAATCGACTCTTTGCTGGCCCTCCTTCCTCCCACCGGATCATTGACTTCCGCCTGGTGTTGATCTGATGAATTCCCTGTGTGCTCTTGGCGCCGCCGGCTCCCCATGACAGTCGCCGAGCAGCATGCAGTGATCGTACAGAAAGGTGAGCAGGCCCTTTGCTACCCGGCAAAAGTCCCCTTTGAGCGGCTGCAATAGGTGCTTACGCATATGAGCTCGGCTGTGCCGTAACCCTTCCACCTAACTAACCTTCCTCTACGGCGGTCGCCACGGATGGCTGGCTGGTTGGCAGGCAAGCAGGCGACCATTAAGGCTCTGGTGGGAGGTGACGTCATGAGCGGCGCGATGAACGGTGTCGATGACGACTCGCGTAGCTGGGTGAATGGCCAACTGCTGCGGCCCGGTGTCAGATACGCGCTGGCTTCAGGAGACCGACTGGCCTTCGGTGGGTGACTCTGGGCTGGGCTAGGCTGGGATGGGCTGGTAGGAGCTGTGATCCAGCACGTTAGACAGGACTGTAAATGGACGGGCGGAGGGGCGGAGGGGCACGTAGGGCACGAGTATGACCGTAACCGGCACTGGTGTTGGAGCAGCCTGGTATTTAGTTCCAGCCATGGCAGCCTATTCCATCGTGCGTTGAGGAAAACGTGTTCAGCCAATGTTTCCTGATGCTGTATGAGCTGCGTTCCCCGTGGTATGACTTCGCCGCTGGCCTGGGCCCCTGTGTACGGTACGGTACGGCAGGCACCGAGGATCAGGCGTTCAGCATTGAGTTCGAGCAGGGCGGCGGCATGAACCCGCTGCTAGAGATGGCAATCAAGGTGAGCTTGGAAGGAAGGGAGCGGCAAGGCGGGTGAAAGGCTGTGCAAGTGAAGCATGAACTGGCAAGGGCTGCCGGCAAAAGAGCGCATAAGGGCTTGCCCGGTGTTCCGGAAAAGGCCTTTCTACAGGCTTATACGGCGGGAAGGGCGTGCGTGTACGTCGGCTACGACAGACGCAGGATGGGAGCATGAACCATGGGCCGCTGTTGTTAGTTGACCGGTTCTGTGAAACATTGTCGCTGCGAATGCGGTTGCCGCGAAGCGTACTGCACTTCACAGGCGCAGTTACTATGTTACTGGAACGACCATCCCTTCACTTCCTCCTCGCGCCCGCTGCTTGCCGATGTAGGGAATGCTGGCTGGGAGCAGTCCGGAGGTGAAGAAGGCACTGCAGGACACCAACGGCAGCGGCTTGTAAGGACTGGGTTGGGCCACAGGTTGTCACTTCTGCCCCCAACAGGCCCCACCGGCCAGGCTTTGCCGTGTCTACACGGTTGCCTGGCCATCTGATGCCTCTGGAATACGTCAGCCTTGTGTGAGTTTGCAGCGCATGACACGCAGTTCAGGCGGCGAGAACAAGAAACCATACCCGGAATGGCCGGCACCAACACCAAGTTGTTTACACGATGCAAAACTTTCATCATGGTCCCCTGGCGATAATAAGGTTAACAATCCATGCATGAGGTCCCCGTAGCTCGAAACGAAGAAAACGATCCCCGTAACGAAGAAAACGTATACGTAGTATACGGTTTCGGAGGAGCGTAGCGAAGGGAAGCATACCCGGTTCCGCTGACGCTCAACGGGATCCTTTCAGCTGGCTTCTTCAGGGCTCGGCGTTCATGTTGCACCGCTCAGCGTAGCCCGCAATTGCTGTCACGCTCAGTTAACGAACTTTTAACGGCATCGTCGCTCTTTTTAGATCACAATGTTTAAAGTGTCCTCTCATTTAAGACATTCAAGGCTATTGTTTTAGCGGTGATTTATGGAGGGCAGCTATACGCGCTCGTCCCGCCCATAGACCCACGGGTCGATCCAGGCTAGAAAGCGGAATGAGGGAATGACGCGGAAGAGGGGCGGAGGAGGGAGGAGTGCCTAAAGAACGTGAGCGGGGAGAGGACGTTGGACTCACGTGGGCTTCGTCGTCCACACCAGCGCGGATCAGGTGGGGGTGCAGGCGGGTCCATTCCGCAGCGGCGAGGGCGCCGGCAGGGTCGCGCCACTCTGTCGAGGTCATGCTGGTCGCCAGGTTGACGAGGGAGCGGAGCTGGGCGCCGGTGCAGCGCATGAAGGCTGCGAAGGTGTCGTAGGAGACGACGAAGAGGTTGCCTCCAACGGACGTAGGCTGAGCGGGCAGCAGCTAGATGCGGTCACCGGTGAGGTAGACTAGCGGGTGGCATCGGGTGACCCAGATGGGGATGCCGCGTGCATGGTACTTGTTCGCTCGTTGAAGCGAGAACTGGATCGGGAGGGATACAGCGGCGCCGATGACGAGGGAGTGGAGCCAGATGACGTGGCAGTAGGTGGCAAGGTGCGGGGTGCCGGGGTTGTCAGTAGGACGACCGGCATGACGATGGAGAGGTCGTATGCCACTACAATGGCATCTGTGGATGGAGTGAGGGTGGAGGGAGGGGGTTTTCCACCCTCACTCCATCCACAGATGCCATTGTAGTGGCATACGACCTCTCCATCGTCATGCCGGTCGTCCTACTGACAACCCCGGCACCCCGCACCTTGCCACCTACTGCCACGTCATCTGGCTCCACTCCCTCGTCATCGGCGCCGCTGTATCCCTCCCGATCCAGTTCTCGCTTCAACGAGCGAACAAGTACCATGCACGCGGCATCCCCATCTGGGTCACCCGATGCCACCCGCTAGTCTACCTCACCGGTGACCGCATCTAGCTGCTGCCCGCTCAGCCTACGTCCGTTGGAGGCAACCTCTTCGTCGTCTCCTACGACACCTTCGCAGCCTTCATGCGCTGCACCGGCGCCCAGCTCCGCTCCCTCGTCAACCTGGCGACCAGCATGACCTCGACAGAGTGGCGCGACCCTGCCGGTGCCCTCGCCGCTGCAGAATGGACCCGCCTGCGCCCCCACCTGATCCGCGCTGATGTGGACGACGAAGCCCACGTGAGTCCAACGTCCTCTCCCCGCCCACGTTCTTTAGGCACTCCTCCCTCCTCCGCCCCTCTTCCGCGTCATTCCCTCGTTCCCTGAAACATGGCAACAACACCCCTCTATCCTCCTTCCCCTTCCATACATCTCTTCTCTCCCCTCTCCTTCGTCCCCTCCCTTCTCTTTCCACCCACAGGTGCTGCGCACCAGATGGGACCTCCACACCGTCCCGTGGATGGGACGACGCCGCAACGCCCGTTGAGCACATTTCATAACGCGGAGGCAGCGATGCAGTACTCTGAGAAAATGGGTAGGAGGGAAGGCACTGAAAATGCGATGTAGTTAAATGCGAAGTTGCCTGGGAGGGACGTTGCCGGCTGGGTGGATGCCACACCCGGATAGGGGGGGAGAGGCGAAAGCAGTTAAGCGCAGTTGCACGGGGAAGGGGCATGGTTGGCGCTTGTCACCGGTCACCTACATGGGCTGCTCTCGGTGTTGAGGACATGAGGAGATTGAGTAAACACACCATTGCCTACCCTCCTCTGTTGTACGTTATGCCGTAGACGAGAAGGTTCATGGCGCAGACGAAGACGATGCAATAACCCGGCTGTACTGCTCTTTCTTTGTTTGTGCATTACCACTTTTTAGAGCCTCTACGTTCCTGCACTGCAACTGCGATGTTCTTACATGCGAAGTTGCCTGGGAGGGATGTTGCCGGCTGGCTGGATGCTGCACCCGTATTGAGAGTCAGGAAGGGAGGAACGACCAAAGAAGAAGTCAAGGCAGTTCCGCGCAGCTGCACGGGAATGGGGGTGAGGGGGAATCATGCGCGGTCGATACAGGGCTTGATGTTGGTGACGCATACGCTCACGTGGTTGCTACCGGCGCAGTCACTTGCATGGGCTTGTGTTTGTGAGGGCATTTTCAACACACAGATCGTGCTTGCGTACGCTACTGCCATCGAAAGAACCTTTTGTAAGCAACGAAACGTCAAGAAGCCGTGCGTAAATGTTGACAGACAGCACGGCACGGTCACTTGCATGGCCTGCTGCCAATGTTCAAACGGCATAGAACGCACACACTATATAGTATTTTAGTTTTCTGACACCATCAGCATCACCGACATGCGTCGTCACTCGTCACCCGCCACTCTTCTTACATCCAGCAACAGCTATTTCAGCAGTTTTTTGAATTACGGTTCAGGTTTGGTCACCTCTTGTTTTGCCTGTACTCGCGGTTCACATGCGAACCTCTCCCAATTGCTTGCTCTTGTCCTACTCAACTACACACTATATGCTGCACAGTTGTATGTTAAAATTCGGCAAAACAAGCCATTGCAGCTTACCGACATCATCTGCCGTTCCTACTCGTACTCCAGCTCCCTCCCGCGAGCTACGGGCAGCTCACGCCGAAGGCGGGCCTTACTAGTGCATAGTTGGCTTCTGTAAGGAGCTACCCGGAGCGACCCGCGGGACAGACTGCCGCGGCTGGAAGGAAAGGGACCAAACCCGCCCGCTAGACGTCTTTGCGCCGGCTTCCTCCCCGTCCAGCTGTGCTTGTACTATAGCGCGCGATAAGGTGGCACAAGGCACCCAGCCAAGCAAGCTTCAGCCACACGGCCTCACCGCAAGCTGTTGCACGGCCTCAAGCAGGTTCGAGGCAAGTGTGCTATGCACTTTAACACGCACACTCTCATTAGCAGTATGAACAGCAAAACGACTCAAAACACGTAAGGCTGTGAGCTTTGCGGCTGAGGATGCGCGTTTCTTACGGGCTTTCAACAGGGGTTCCAGGCGCTGACACCGAGCATGCTCATGAATGAGGAGCATATCAGTGAGCCGAAGTGTATGCGCAAGACATGCCTCTGTTCTACTCGCCGCCCACTGGCGCATGCGTGCGTCAGAACGTAGAGAAGCAACAAGGTAACAAGCAAGCCAACAGGAGAGGCAAAATCATTTTAGCATGATTTCAGTGGGTTGTGCATGCTGTTGCGCTAAAGCACCCGGTTGACTCCGGCGCCCGCACAGGCCCCACGCCCGCGGGATCGGATGACTTTTGCGGGCAAGACAACTGGCGGGGCCAGGCTCCGCTTCACTTTCCACCCTGGAGTCTTCCAACCTGCCCTGCCAACCAGCACCGCTCCTAGACTTGTAAAATGATATTACCTTTAAGAAACCTAATAGGAATCCGTTTTTGCCATTACGTCCAACACATTAAGGCCGACCGTTAGAGCCTTTATGCAATGCCACTGAAAACCTACCTTCCTTGCTAAATTAAAGCTGTATTCCTTTAGACACATTGTTTCCCATATCGGTGGTACCTTTAATTGGTTGATTCTTGCTTCTGAACCCCGCCTCGGCAATGACAGAGTCGGATGAGGAGCTCAGCCCTCTTAGTAGCGAAGGTGACCTGTTGTCATGGTCATCTGACGACGAGGATATAGATAAAGCCAATGGGCTGGATGGCGTTGATGAAGAAGCGGACCAGACCGAAGGCGATGACGCGGACGGAGAAGGCAACACTGGCGCCGGGTTACCAATTGGCAGTGGCGCAGCGCTTGGTCTCCTTAACATGCAGCCACCTGGAGCGTACCTAGAGGCAAGCTGCAGTTGGGAATGGAATAGGCAGCGTATGAAAGGGGCCCATTATCATGTTTCCTTGTTCCTTTCTCACCGCTGCTTTCCTTGACGGGCCCTAACAAACCCAAACCGCTCTGCTGTGTGTTCGTGCGTGACCCCTAGCAGGACGTGTCACCGAAGCAGCGTCATCAGCTATGGGCTCCGCAAGACGTCGGCCGTTGCGCGGAAGCCAACAGAAGGCTGTCGTCACGGCTGATGACGGCGTGTCATGCTCTTGCCCGTTGTTCTCGGCCAACGGCATGTGCTGCCATGCAGCGTTGGCCTCGATAGCACGGTCGCAGGACGAGGAGCAGGAGGTTGATGAGGAGATCGTACGAGAGGCGGTACTAGCCGGGAGCGTAAGCACCTTTGACTCACCTCTCGAGCGCCCTAGCACATGCAGTGACCCACCGCCCGAGCTGGAACGTGTGATTGCTATTGGGAGGCAGGAGGCAGCTGGTCTGCGGTCATTGTGGAGTGCTCCAAACCGCTATCGTGGGAGGACGCTTATGCGGACTGGTGGTGCTGTTCTGGGAAAGCCGCCGTACCTTCGCCTGCTCAACACGTGCAATGAGCTCGGCGAAAAGAAGGGGGCCGCACTCCCTCTTGCGACACAGCGGCTAATTGAGCAGCAGCTAAGGGGCATTAGGGACCTGTTGCAGCAAGGGGAGCCCGCTGCGGACGCTGTGGAGGAGGAGGACGGTTGCTCTAGCGACGTATCAGTGGACAAGCGTTCCAGGCGGGTCCTTGTTACCCCCGAGCCACGCTCGATTGGAAGTGCTTACCGGCGCACCCCTACAGACCGCACTACAAAGCAGCTGTACGACCCCAACCGTCGGCGATCCAAGCGACGCAGTGACAGCGAGGGCCATCTTCCTCCATTTGATGTGTTCTCTTCCTGACCCTCCCAATTCCCTTCCTTCCGTTCTGTACCTCCCTATCTTGTCCCCCTTACAGTGCCCAAACCCCGAGTGCGCCAACGCGCACCCCGGCCCTGGTGGGCTTATCATCCAAGAGAAGGATTGGACACTCGAGAGGGGGAATGTCAAGGGGCACTACGTCACCTGCAAGCACTGCGAGGACCGCCCCATCCCGGACGTCACCGGACAGGACAGGAGGAGCTGCTTCTTCCGCACTACGACTGGGACCTTTGCCACCACCGTGCACGATGCGGCGGAGCACTTCGCGAGCTGTGTCGACCCGCAGGACCCCGCCCTGGCGTGGATCCGTGGGGCTGCCCCTCCCAGCCGCCCGAGCAGCCGCGGTCGCTCAGCCAGTAGGGACCGCTCAACCAGCCGCGGCCGTGCGACCAGTCGTGCACGGGGCACCAGCGCCGGTGGCTCATCGCGCTCTGGAAGCGCCAAGCGCCAGCGGGAGGGGGAGCCGTCCGAGGAGGAGTCGCTAATTCGCCTCCAGGAGGCACAGCAGAAGTTCCGCGACATGGAGCTACAGGTCAAGACGGCGTCAGAGGAGGAGGCTACCAAGCGCGTGGCGAAGACCAAGGCCACCCTGGACCTCAAGGCGGCCACTCAGAAGACGGCCGCCCTCACGCGACAGGCGAGCAAGGCGGAGAAGGAGCTGGAGGCGGCCAAGAAGGCGCGTGAGAAGTACGACAAGATTGAGAGCATCGACATGACTGCAGCGAGTGAGGGGGAGGGCGAGGGAGAGGACGAGGGCGAGGGTGTGGGCGAGGGGGAGTGCGAGGAGGGAGAGGGACGCTTGGAGCTGTGAGCGAATATTCGGGGGTGTGGGAGATGCGTGGATATGCAATGTGTGGTTAAATGTGTGGATACGCAATCGTGGTGTGTCAATGTCGTATAGTGGACCAGTTTAACAGTTCAAGGTGTTTGTTTCGTCTTCGTCTTGTTGTGTTGTGCTATGGTTGAAACCTGTGGCATGTGAAGCGAGCGCGCGCTTGGATGGACAAGACAACGGTGACAGGATGTAAGGTTCATGGGTTTGCTGTGTCGGCTGGCTCCGGCATTTGCTGTTGCTATTCCGTGTGCTCGCATATGCCGAACGCAGCTCGTTCGCTCCTACGATACTCGGTATGGCATGCAAGCATCGCGACGAGTGTAACGATTTCGACGTTTGAGGAAGACAATGGCTTGGTTTCAAACTACATACAGGACGCATAAGGATTGTACCTATGAGTTTGGTAAGTAAGCAGGTTTCAGCGAGTCATGCATAAAGGCTCTAACGGTCGGCCTTAATGTGTTGGACGTAATGGCAAAAACGGATTCCTATTAGGTTTCTTAAAGGTAATATCATTTTACAAGTCTAGGAGCGGTGCTGGTTGGCAGGGCAGGTTGGAAGACTCCAGGGTGGGAAGTGAAGCGGAGCCTGGCCCCGCCAGTTGTCTTGCCTTTTGCGGAAAAGTCAGCCGTAAAAGTCATCTACAAACGCGGTGACTTTTACCCTTAGCAGCTTAACAGTAAATTGTTTAGATATAGGCTAACTTGACTTCTTGCTTTGCAGCTCGTGAGCTAAGACGTTAACTTATTTTCATATATGCGTAGCCACCCACCACCACAGCAACCTGCAAACATCCAGCCTTACTCACCTTTAAGCTTTTATACGCTCATCGACCACTACATATCTTAGGTTCCGATAGGAAAGCGCAGGCCTAGCCCCGGGGTCCTTCAGCGACTAGATGCCCACGTCCAAAGGATTGGTCATGTAACCTAACAACTGTCCATCATACCGCGGGGCCGTGCTTGTTGGGGAGGCGGGAACGGGTGCTACTCTATCTGTCCCCGTGCAGCGCCTGCCTTCCCCTGCCCCTCGCGTGCATCCCCTGCCTCCCTTGCCGCCTCCCAGCCAGTTCTGTGCCTACCACCCTCATGCCTTCCATGCGCGTTTGCCTTCCCATGCGCTTCGCGGGCCCCGGTAGGGTTCCTAACTCCCTATGCCCTTCCCCGTACCGTGCCTGCCTCTCCATGGCCTTGCCAGCCCGAGGCCTGCCTCCCGACGCCCGTTTATGTGCAGCACCTGCCCCTCCCTTGCATCCTTAGACCCGTCTCTGCACGGCCCCAGCCTACCTTTGTGCCTGCCCCTGCGCAATACCGCTTGTCCTCCCGTGGGATTCCCATGCCCTTCCCCGTGGGCCCCGTGGGCGCCAGTGTCCATGCCCTCCTCCGTATGGTGCCGCTGCGGCCCTCTGAGGGGCTTCTATACCCTTCCCCGTGTGGCGCCTGCCTCCCCACGCCTTTTCCGATGCTTCACCTGCTCGACCTGCCCTGTGCTTTACCCCTCCTTTCTTCTCTGCCACACCAGAGGTAGGGGCGCTCTTTTGTCATACTGCCTCCACTGCGTTGCTGCTGCTGCCACGCGTGCTGTCTGGGACGTCCAGGCTTATAACCCTTATAACGTCAGAGGGCCCAAAGACCCACATGTCGACCACAATGCACCCTGCTGCATGCTGCTGACTAACTGACACCACGTACGCTGATGACCGCCAGACATGCGCTGAAGGGACCGCACATCCCTCGCTCCTCTCGATCACGCGGTAGGTATGCACATGCACCATGGTTTGGCGGGGTGAGGAGTTTGTCCACATGCATGTCCGCCCGTGGGCATGCGTTGCCCCATTGAAGCGTCCGCCTCTCGGAACATCCGACTGTTGATGACGCGTCCGGCTGTCACAGTACGTATGGCACTGTTCGCATAGCAATGTACATGCGGCCTTGACCTCTGTCCTTTCCTGCGTTGCACCTGGCCCCCCTCCCGTGCCTCATCATCCAGTTCGTCAGTTTTTCTAATTTCACCCTCCCTCCCGTGCAGCGCCCATCCTCCTCCTGGCCCTCCCCACACGCGACTTCTGCTTCCCATGCCTTTCTCCGTGCAGCGCGACGTGAAGGGCCCTGTGCCCCAGCATTTTTATAATGAGCCTTATGCGAACATAGCCCACACAGCTTTCATGGACATCCACGCCGCGAGCAGCAGCACTAGTTATTGGCACTCGCATGTGCATGCATCCCGCCCTTTCCAGCTGTCTGTGCTCAAGCGTGCAGGCATCCTCTCGTACTGCCAGGAACCGGCACCCACGAGCGCAAACATGACCACCCCTCCCAACCACCTGCGCCCAGGCATTTCCCGCGCACCCAGCCATGCATCAATGCCGATGTGTGTATACATGCCCACCTGGCCCATGCATGCATACCCGCCATGCCCAAGTACCGGCGCCCATGGTCGTACGCACACTAATTGCGCCCAACTATCAAACTGTTGGACGCATGCGCATACAGACACCCCCTGTCCTAGTGAATTACCCGAAGCCATGAGGCCAGCGCCCTGCCGTGCTCCTAAACTGGCGCATATGCGTGCAGGAATGAGGGGACTTGGGGGCAGAAGATTCACGAGGAGGAGCCATGAAACGAACATTGTAGCGACCGTTCATCCGTTCAGTGAATTCGAGGAACGGGCAATGACAGGGGGAGACAGGGCCGCATGGGGAAGGGCAGACGCACGGGAAAGGGCATTGGAAGGCAAGCACAGCACGGGAAAGGCAGAGTAGCCGCAGGGGCACCGCACGAGAAGAGGCATGAAGAGTCAGGTGCCGCGACGGGGAAAGCCAGGGGTTGGCAGGCGTCGCGTGTGGAAGGGCGGCCGCACGGGCAAGGGAATGGGGAGGTAGGAGGCGCGCCCATGCATCGGAAATCTAGTCACTGAAGGATAGGACCCCGGGGCTAGGCCTGCGCTTTCCTATCGACACCTGAGATATGAGTGGGCGCTGAGCGCATAAAAAGCTTAAAGGAGGCAACAGGAATAAGGCTGGAGGTTTGTAGGTTGTTGTTGTGGTGGATGGCAACGCAAGCACAAGGATAGTTAACGTGTTAGCTCTAAACAAGCAGCCTAAAAGTCAACTACTAGCCCAAATCTAACAATCTACTGTTAAGCTACTAAGGGTAAAAGTCACCGCGTTTGTAGATGACTTTTACGGCTGACTTTTCCGCAAAAGTCACCCGATCCCGCGGGCATGAGGGGTCTCGCGCCCGGATAGTTGGCGCCTGTACGGCATGAACGGCGAAAACTGGAAAGACAATACCTGTTTCTGCCCAAGAATATTTCTTTTTCAAAAGCTTGCCATCTCTGATAAGGGAGTGGTACAGCTATTAAGCAACTTTGTTAAGGCAGCGGTATAGCGCGCTTGCCTAGAAGTCCTTAGCTCTGGACTTGGACTTTGTAGAGTGTCCTTAAAGAGTTACACGTTACAGGCTTACCATAGCATCACCCTCGTCAACTATCTCAGCATCAACTGTCATAGTTCTCCCGCGCATTGAGCGGCGCCGCCCTTAGTCCACCCTTGCCTCAGCCTCTGCTTCGCCCAGCGCCAACATGCCTAGCGATCGCAAGAAGAAGGCGGCGGCCACGAAGGGAAAGCCCAAGGCGGCAGCTTCAAAGGCCAAGCCCGAGGATGAGGCCGCCGCGCAGGCAGAAGGGGCCGAGGAGGACGGCACGGACACCGACGGAACCCCCATGATGTCAGCAAACGTTTCAACTGTTAACCTTCAAGCTTTGGCGGCCAGCAAAAGCATGAAGGACCTTACCGTGGTAGACACCGGCCGGTCGTGCACAGGCGTCCTGGCTAGCCACCCGCAAGCCCGCGACGTCCACATTTCCAGCTTCACTCTGCTGTACCACGGCCACGACCTGCTGGTGGATGCAGACCTTGAGCTGAACTATGGCAGGTGCGCTCAACCCATCGAGCGATGATCTTGCGTTTATTTGGAGAAGCTTTCCTTAATAATCGCTTTTGCGACGCGGGGAGGTCGGGGGTGCACAGAGGGGGCGAAGAATTATGCAACGTCATTCACATAACGTCTTGACGTTCGTAACGCCATTCGCCACCATGTAACGCCCTTTCTCTAGTCGCCAGCAACAGTACTTCCTTTGCTGTCATCACCTCCGGCCTCCTTCGCCCTCCTTCCTCGCACTTTTCACGTTGCCATCACTTCCTTCCAATCCTGCCCACTGTACCACTCATCATACCGTCCCTCCCTCTACATCACTCCCCACCCAGGCGCTACGGTCTGCTTGGCCCCAACGGCTGCGGCAAGTCCTGCATGCTGAAGGCGCTGGCTGCCCGCGAAGTGCCCATCCCCAAGCACATTGACATCTACCTGCTGGACCGCGAGATTGAGGCGTCGGATATGACGGCGCTGGAGGCGGTTATGGCAGTGGATGAGGAGAAGGTGAGAGAAGAGCCTCTCGAGGAGAGGACGGGTTGGAGTGAACATTTTTTGGAAGTTGGGTGCTCTAATTATCGTTGTCGTGTCTTGCACCCTACTGCCTCCCTCTTGGTCGTTGTTTTTCACACCACTTACGTTTGTTGCTGTTGCGCTCTCCCCTTTGCTCTCAGACTCGGCTGGAGCAGGAGGCTGAGTACCTGGCGCAGCTAGAGATGACGGATGAGGTGGAGCAACGGCTGTCGGACGTGTACGATAGGTGAGGAGGAGCAGAGGGCCGCATTCAGGGGGTTACTCGGAGCGGGATTTGGATTGCATGGGGTTGCTCGGAACGGGATGTAGTTGTTGTAAACAACTGTAACCCCATGACTGTAACTCCATTGGGAGCAGGAGTTAGCACATGGGTGGGTCCAGGTGAGGAATGTACACGATGCCAAGGACAACAGACAAGGCATGTTAGGGGGCCATGTGTGATGTACCGATACTCGGCATCCCCCTGATCCATTCTGCCTTGATCCCCCTTCATCCTTCCCCCTCGAGAGATATGGGATTGTGACCCCAGTTGCTGCACATACATATTTATTATCCACCCCCTTTCCCCCCCTCAGGCTGGATGCCCTGGACAGCGACCTGGTGGAGGTGCGCGCCGCCTCTATCCTGCACGGCCTGGGCTTCAGCAAGGAGATGCAGCGCAAGCGGACGCGCGAGTTCAGCGGAGGTAGGAGCGGGCGGCAGAACCTTATGGGAGGCTAGGGGGGAGGAAAAATTAAACGTGCGACGGGCGACAAGGCTAGACCACGAGGAAAAACCCAGGAGGAGGGAGGAAGGGGTAGATGACAGGCAATGCGTCGGGGTCAGAAGGTGTCAATTACGTCAGGACGACTAACCTTGTACATTATCATCTTACCTGCGCTGCTTGTGCTTGCCTTTACCTAATCATTCTGCCTGCCATTTTTCGTCCGCTTTGCTCTGACACTGCTTCTCCTCGCGTTTGTGTGCCGGAACACAGGCTGGCGCATGCGCATTGCGCTGGCTCGCGCGCTGTTCATCGACCCCACCATGCTGCTGCTGGACGAGCCCACCAACCACCTGGACCTGGAGGCTTGCGTGTGGCTGGAGGAGCACCTTGCTAAGGTAGAGGAGGACGGGAGGGGGGAGGGAAATGTAGTAACATTTGTTATAATCAATAATAACGATGCATAAATAATAGAGGGGATGGTAACTTAGTAAGGGTAAGCACTACAATGCAACTGCTATCTACAGCAGATGAGCTAGCCGGGGAGGGTTTCCAAGCACACACCACATGACCAGCATGAGTCCAAAGGAGGACCAGGTCCGCAGGCCAGGTCCACGTGCGGCAGGCGCCAGATGATTCTCTAACGATTAGTCTTTCCGAATGCGCGGGTCAGGAGTGCCAGATTACCCATTTGGCGCTAGCTCCTGCTCGGCTTGCGGACAACAACTCGCTGATGGCCCCGCCTGCAATACTTTCACACCTTCATACTGCACATACAAGAACCTCGTCCACATTAATGCACAACGCGATTGTCACCCTCGAGCACATTTCCGGTCCTCGGTCCTTGGGAGACCTGCATCCCTCGCATTCAGCTGAGGCCCGCCTACACCCTCCTTTGCTGCTCCTTACTGAGCCCTCCGCCTGCTGCTCCCCTTCCTCCTCCTCCTCCTCCACCCCCTGCCTGCCTGCATCCTGCAGTTCAAGCGCATCCTGCTGATGGTCAGCCACAGCCAGGACTTCCTGAACGGCGTCTGCACCAACATCATCCACATGCAGAAGAAGTCGCTCGCCTACTACTCGGGTGAGTGTGAAGTGGGTGGCCAGCTGAGGTCCAGTTAACACGGATCGCTTCTGAGGCGTGTAGCTAGCCCTGTGCTTGAGAATGTGGCTCCAGGGGGGGAATGGGGTTGTGCTGCTACGCTGTGCCTTGATCGTTTTTTCCTGTCGCCTTTCGTCCCGCAGGCAACTACGACCAGTACATGCAGACTCGCGAGGAGCTGGAGGAGAACCAGATGAAGCGCTACAAGTGGGAGCAGGAGCAGATCTCCAACATGAAGGAGTACATTGCGCGCTTCGGCCACGGCTCGGCCAAGCTGGCCCGCCAGGCGCAGAGCAAGGAGAAGACGCTGGCCAAGATGGTCCGCGGAGGCCTCACGGAGAGGGTAAGCAAGCTGCTGCTGGCAGTGGGATTGGGGGAGGGGGGGAAGCTGGTATCGTCCGCATGGCAGAGGCGTGAGCGAGCATATGTGGGACGGAGGATAGCCGCCCACACAAGATGTAATTCCCTGTTGCAAAGCTGCTGTCCCTCTCCTCTCCCTTGCGGCGTTTCCTGGAGGCCTCCCCTGTCGTATTCTTGAGGACGCTGCCGCCCTCCTGCGTTTCCCCGTCACGTCCCCAGGTCGAGACCGACAAGGTGATTCGCATCCGCTTTGAGAACGTGGGCAAGCTGCCTCCGCCGGTGCTGCAGTTCGCTGATGTGGCGTTTGGCTACTCGAAGGACAAGGTGCTCTACTCGCATGTGGACCTGGGTGTGGATCTGGACAGCAGGTGGGGGGGCTGAGGGGTGGAGGTTTGAATGGGTTTTGAGACGGCAAAGTGGAGGGAACTGACCAGGACGGGGCGTAGGGCGCGAGAGAGGGCAAGGATGGCGACAGGCTAGAGGGGTGGGGTACTTGCGTGTTGATTGCATACATTGTGGCATGTCACGTGCGGCAGGCGCCAGATGATTCACTAACGATTAGTCTTTCCGAATGCGCGGGTCAGGAGTGCCAGATTACCCATTTGGCGCTAGCTCCTACTCGGCTTGCGGACAACAACTCGCTGATGGCCGCCTTTCTTCCGAGCAAAATCACATAACACGCACGTTCCGCAAAACACACCATACCATACGCAACTTACACTCCCCTTTCGCATTCCCCATTTCGTCCTCTTCCACCGCACGTCCTCTGTTCCTCTCCTTGTCCTCCCTCCTCGCCTCCACCTCTCTCCCTCCTCCCGCTCCCCCTCACCCCGCCTTGCACCTCCTTGCAACCCAGGGTTGCCATCGTGGGTCCCAACGGTGCGGGCAAGTCCACGCTGCTGAAGCTGATGGTGGGCACGCTGGAGCCGCTTGACGGCATGGTGAAGCGCCACAACCACCTGCGCATCGGGCAGTACCACCAGCACCTCACGGAGCTGCTGGACCCCGAACTGACGCCGCTGGAGTACATGGTGGGGGCGGGGCTGGAGGGGCGGGGGCTGGATGGAAAAATAATTGATACGTGCAGCAACTGGAGTCCGAATCCATATCCCGACTGGAGGGGCGGAATGTGGGGCGGGATTGCTGTTGCTGGGAGGAAGGTCCGGTTGTAGGGCGAGGGGCGGGAGGGGCGGGATAAGATGAGATGGGCCGCGAGGAAACACCGACTGGGACCGGGGCGCGGGATGGAGTGTGCGGCCTCAGTTTTTGGGGGTTGCCCTAGTTGAGAGGAAGGACGGTAGCATGGAAGGTGTTGTTGTGGGCAACCCTACCTACACCGCGCGCAACACTTCTGAATGATTCTCATCGCTTGCCCCACCCCTACCCGCACTCTTCCGGCCCACAGCTCAAGGAGTACGGGCGTGACATTGGCGAGGAGAAGATGCGCTCCGTGATTGGCCGCTTTGGCATCACGGGCCAGACGCAGACGCTGCCCATCAAGAACCTTTCGGACGGCCTCAAGTCGCGTGTGGTGTTTGCATGGCTGGCGCACCGCACGCCGCATATGCTGCTGCTGGATGAGCCCACCAACCATCTCGACATTGAGACCATTGACTCCCTGGCGCGCGCCATCAACGGTGGGTTGCATAAGTGCGGAACGAATGGGATGGGACATACAATACGCACATAACAAGGGATGTAGCCAGTAATAATTAGTGCCCTAACCCGCTTCCTCCTCCTCGCTACCTCCTGTAAACCAATCCCTTCGCTTTCCACCTTTGTCCCTTTCCTTTCCCCATTCCTTCCCCCTTTCAGAGTGGGACGGCGGCCTGGTGCTGGTGTCGCACGACTTCCGCCTGATCGGCCAGGTCTGCAACGAGATCTGGGAGGTGGGTGGCGGCAAGGTGAACAAGTGGCAGGGCGACATTCAGTCCTACAAGGCGCACCTCAAGGCCACGCATGAGGCCCTGGACAGCCGGAAGGACCTCAAGTAGAGGGGAGGAGGGGCGGAGGAGGGAAGCGAGGAAGAGGGGTGCGGCACTGGGGTCGATGGGGCGGAGGAGAAGGACGGGGATGGGGAGCTGCACGGTTGTGGTACATGATGGGGTTCTGGTGGGTCATGGGTCATTGTTGCTGTTGGAATTTTGGGCATGGAGGAGAAACTGGGAAACATTGAGGAGAAACAGCCTATAAGGGAGCGCCTTGCTGCTTCGGGCATGTGCCAGCTTCTCGTGTGGCTTTGATGTGGCTTTGAGTGAAAGAGTTGGAGAGCAAGACTAGTAGGACTGCAGGGATTCGGATTTGGGAACCGTCTAGCAGTGCGGTGCATAGCACGATCTTGATGGCCAGGGTTTTCACGGCATGTGGTTTAGCGGGTTTCGCTGGCGCCCCCATGCATGGCCTTACGTGAAAGAGGATGGTTTCCTGGGACATGATAAGGAGACGTCCGCAATCGAGGTGTGTCGTCTAGTACTGAGCACGCGTGTGTCTCTGACTTTGCTGTTGTTACAGCTTTAGGAACGGCTGGGAAACCTTCCAAGGCTATAGAACCCCTTTTTGTACGGTCCGCGGAATTATCGACGGGCCTACGGGTATATGATTAGGTGGTTCTCACATCGAGCTATGAGGACTTTCGACTTGTTGACGGTCACATGACCAACGTGAGAGGGATGATGCACGTTTTCCTCTGTAGCTGTCGTACATTGCGGCAGCTGCCGAAGAGTTGTTGGTGGTTTCGGGGGCCACTAGCGACGTCGGGCTTTGCATGTTGGCTAGAGGTGGTAGGATGGGGTGTCTTGGGGAACTGTTCCAGCCCTGGGATCTGCGTCTGTCGAGCGCTATCTGGGAAGGGCTTTTCGGGGCGGGGGCTAAGAGTACACAACTGGGAAGATCAAGATTATTGGGACGTATGTCGGAGTTTGTCTGGCGCTAGTGCTTGTTCAAGTGCTGAAGGGCACGAGCGTGGACAGTGGTGCTTGTTGCTAGTGTTGGCAGATAACCATCAGGCAGTTGCTGAAGAGTTGATTGGATGTGGATCGCGGCATGGCTGCGACGACCCTGGTAAAGCGCTCCAGGGCGCTGTAAACGTTTTGGCGTCCTTTTTAAGGAAAACACTCTGGACGTTCTACTTTCATCAACCTACATCACAAGAAAGGCGTTACTGCCATCAATAACATCGGTTGCACCCATATTGCAGCACTGCCTAGGCTATCTAACTTGCGCTCACGAGTCAGTCACGGCGGCTTTTGTCTGTCATCGGATATCGAATATCTAGCTTGCGCAGCATCGTTTCGGCTTCATACGCCTTTCATCGAGAGACAAAGATGCAGATACATCTGCATACATATTGCGGGAATTGCGACGGATTGCGAAGCACCGTACTCTGACGGCTAGCTTTTCAGCTGTCATACATTATGTTTTACTTTCCACCGCATCCTTATTGTCAACCAGTTGTCCGGTTACCACTGAGCATCGCATGCCGAACAGATCCTGTCTGGAGGGCAAGCGTTGCGTCCGAGCAAGGCCTTGAGGCCCTGGTTTGCGACTTAATAACAATGTACGCCGGGGATTGTTAAAAACATCCATGGACAATAACGTCTGCACTTATTCATTCTTAATGCATCCGTGAAATGGCCACGAGCACGTGCCCGGGATCCAAATGACCAACTCCACAACGAACGTACTAATAATACATACATGTTACCTAGCAAGGCCGCAAGGCGACTGTAGTCCTAAACAAACGGATGCGTGTAAAATGGTGCAATGCATTATAGGCGTCTGTGGATGGCACCTCTTAGGCGTTCACCAAGGTCGTCCAAGCTTACATGCAGAGCCGCGTCAAGGACGTTTGTCCGCCACTTAGCTTAGCTTTTCATATAACCGTGTTGATCGGTACCCTTGGATACGTCGTCAACGCTGCTGAGGTGCCGACTGCGCCCACCGTGGAGCAATAAATTCCTCCTGTTACCCTCAGTTGGTGGAAACAATGGTGAGCCGCTTGCTGGCAAGTGCAGTCTCCCTTGCCCTACTCTCAAGTATTGTAGTCGACTTATACTGGCTTACTTTGCCATGCTTGCACTGAATAAGTATAAGGCAGAGAATGTCCAACTGGTTGAGATTTGCCTAAAAGCCTAAATTGGGCCGGTGCCCGCTGTGAACTAACGGGCACTCCTGTGCCAGTTTGCTGTGTCGCATCATGCAACCGTCGGGAAAGGTCGCAGCGGTCCTTAAGACGACAGCCGTATTCGTCTGTTGGTGGTATCTTGTTTCCCTCTGATGCATGCTCCCTATCCTAGATGGTCAGGATTCTTTCATCGGTTGTGACCTTCGCCACGATGCCACCATTCCGGCTTGTTCCGCTTGGATTGTACTTGCATGCCCCAGGATCAGGGAAGAGTACACGGTACCCACCAATTAGATGCGGCTTTGTCCATGCGCCCACGGGCGGCGCCTCGGCGTCACGGTCGGCCCAACACGGATACGGTGAAGCTGCTGATGCTGGGCTATAAGCAGGAGCTAGCCCGCGAGTGAGTTGGGCGGGATGTTGAAAGTTCATGTGCTGGTTGGTTAAATTAGGTTAGGTTAGCCGAAGGTGCCGTGGCCGACGATTTGGGTCAGGAACCTCGGACAAGGCGGGTCATAGCTCGTGCCGCCGTCCCAGCATGAACGGTCGTAGACTCAAGGAAAACTAAAAGGCATAGCAGTGGGTGGCCCAAAGGGTGCCTAATCAACTTCCTGGAGCCTGCCCAATGGATGCAAGCCCGAGCGAAGGAGAACTCTAACCCTTGCTCTATTCCACACGAGGCCATTTCCTGGCTGTAAAACCGGCTTGGTGCATGCCACTGGCTAATGCTGTTAACCATTTATGTCCATGTCGCCTCCTGTCCCCAGGTTTACGCTCTTCAACACCTTTGGAGGCTGTTTCAACATGCTCAGCACGTTCACCAGCATTGGAGGTGGGCTTGTTATGCCATGTGTGGGGCGGGAGGCATCAGGCATGGCATGCCACCTGTGCCCGCCTTGTGGCTTGGGAGGTTCTAAGAAGCCTTCCTGAGACGACACTGCAAAAGGACTGTGCGCTTGGCCTCCTAACGCCCTCAATCTAATGGCCGCATGTTGAAGTTAACGGGCAGGGGAACGTTTACGAACCGTTGGGACCGTTCTTCAGCCCCATGAGGTTGGCGCCACGCTTTACCGGTCCTTTATGCGTGCCCCCTGCTGTCGTGCTCAGGTGCATACGGTATTGGCGTCATCTTTGGAGGGCCCGTCGTCATGATGTGAGTCGGGTTGCATGTCATATGCATCTCAGTAGCGGTCTGTCTGGAAAGCAGGCGCAGATCAGGGAAGCAGGCCTTAGTTGCAGCGACATGCAGTGGGCATGATTGCATGATGCCCCTCACTGTCGGGCTTGCTTCTTGTACATCAACTGGACACATCGCCTGAGGAGGCAACACGAGAAATTTCGATTTAAGCTTTAGCCTTAGCTAAAAGCTCTTCTACTTGCGATGCTGTGTCGCTTACACCTCTCCGCGCGCTCGGCACATCTTGCATGCCAGGTGGGGCTGGCTGGTGGTTACGCTCTTCACCGCCTCGGTAGCGCTGAGCATGGCTGTAAGTTGGCAGCAGCAGCCTCTGGCGGGTTGATGAGGTGGCGGGGCGCCTTCCGATAGTCAGGGCAACGCATGAGTTGCATGACACAGCCGTGGTTGGTCTTTGCATGCAGTGGTCCCTGCATGCCTACTAGATAACGTCGGACCCTAGACGTGCAGTTACAGTTAGTTATTACCCGCTCTTTGTGGTTGTCTGCTGCCGCTGCCTCCCAGGAGCTGGCCTCCGCCTACCCGACCTCCGGTGCGCTGTACTACTGGTCGTACAAACTAGCGCCGCCGCGGCTCCGAAACCTGGCGTGCTGGACAACTGCTTGGACCCTCATCTTGGGCCAGGCCGGCGCCTCGGCCAGCGTGTTCTACACCTTTGTACACTTGTTGGCGACAGCAGTGGAGATCGAATATGGTGCGATGGGTGCTGAGTGGGGCCAAGAAAGGTGTAGAGGTGAAGCCACTGGGAACCCAAATCCCATACATGCAGTGAGTGAAGAACAACGTACAGGTTAGGGACGTGCAATCCTGTGGGTACGCCTACATTGCACGCGCAAGTGCGATGCTCTACCTGGCACAAGTGCCGTGGCTACACAGCATGGGAACTAGTGCGGCAGGAGCTGTCGTGCATTCTGTCGTATCTGCGGGCCTATCTGCAGGCTATCGCGCAGTACATAACAGCTCGCTCCTCTCTCCCGCTGTCCAGGCTTTGAACTCACCCCGGTGAAACAGTTTGTCATCCTGCTGGGCCTATCCGTGCTGATAGCTGTTCTAAACTGCGGAACGGCGCGGCTCACGGCCTACATGACCACTCTAGGCGCCATGTAAGGAGGGCGCAGCGGTTTGTTTAGGGCGGAGGGTCCTGTACGACAGGGGAAGTGAACAGTTGTCTGCATGCACGGATGGGCGGAGGAGGGACTGCTGGCATGGTTTGAGCGTTAGCTGAAAAGAGGCTTACAAGGTGAAGCTCTAAGTAAGGCTATGAACGAAGTATGTCGCTGGTCATGCTGCATAATAATAAGTCCTTATTAACCACCAGGTTTCTCTCCTCCTTCTTCAATGTTTCCTCCCGTCATCCCGTCCGCCCAGGTGGCACCTCATCGCACTGGCGGCCCTGTGCCTGTGCGTTCCGCTCCTTGCCCCTGCCAAGCAATCCGCATCGGTAAGGAGAGAGCGGTGTTGCACAGCTCTCATCTTGCTAGCCGTCCCTGCTGATTCGCTTGGCCAGTGGTCATGCTTACTTGCCCGCCTGAGCGCTTGGGACACGTTGGGAGGTGCCTGCTGGGTGGTGCGATTGAGCTGCTTCCTAACATTTGACTGTCCGATGAGACAAGCCCCGGCCGCCCTCCTCCTCCTTCCCTCTGGCGCCCGTTGTTCCGCAGTACATTTTCACATCCTGGCAGCCCAACACTGAAATCACCGGCATCACAAGTCCGGTCTACACCGCCCTCGTGGGGCTGCTGATGTCGCAGTGAGTTGTTCAGCATGTGCTGAGATCAGTTGGCCCTGTTCGTCGCCCGTCAGCAACAGCGGCGGCCGGCTGCCTAATTCATTTCACTAGCCCGCCCCTTCTGCAGTCATCACAGGCCCACCCCGCGCATGCGCATGCGCCAGTCCTGAAGCCCAGCTGTCTCTCTTTTCCCTCATGGCCATCGCCCGGCCTGCCTTCCACCTGTGTCCCTTGTGTTACTCGCCGGGTTGTTGCATCCGTCGCGTTGCTGCACCCACCTCACTGCTGCCCCCGCCTCACCTGGGCACTGCTCCCGCCTGACATCCGCACAGATGGTGCCTCACGGGCTTTGACGGCGTCACACACCTGGCCGAGGAAACCTTCCATGCCGAGTGGAACATCCCACGCGCCATCGTGCTAACCCTGATTGGTGTGGCGGTGACGGGATGTGCCCTTTTGGTGGCCCTCCTTTCGGTCAAACTGGACGTTGAGATGCTCCTTGACGTTGAGAATGAGACCCATGGGACCAATGTGCTGCTCCAGATCCTCATAGAGATTGGCAAAGAGTACGGCAGCATACGAAGCGGAGTGGTGCTGTCCACAATTCCCATCGTTGGAACCTTTTTCTGCGCCAACCAGGTGCGGCGGTTGCTGTTTTCCTTAGGCTGCGGGGGACTCGCATGCAAGCAAGGCCACTGTGCCATACATGCATACCTGCTTATAAGGCTGTTTGATCGTTCTGGACACACATGTTTCTGGCGACTCAATACGCTACCTGTATTGGCGGTTTGGCTGGACTGAGGTTGATACGATATGCCCTTTTGCTTTCCTGGTGTCTGGTTCCATGCCTTCTTCGGCCGCCTGGCACCACTGGCCTGCTCCTCCTCTTCCATGCTGCAACCCAACCAGGTCATCGCTAACAATTCCAGGTAAGTTTTTGTCTGTTATTTGCCTAAAAGACCCACCGGTATTAAGTAGTTCGCGGGCTCATCCTGACGCAAACCCTACACTGCCGACGTGCATAACTTCCACGACCGGGGGGGGGCCTTTCGCTCCCCTGCGTGTATCGCATGTTCGCGGCCCTGACAGACCCCAGCGCCCTCTCTTGGGTTGGCCCACGCCACATGCAGGATGCTGTATGCGTTCGCACGAGACAACGGTGTTCCGTTCGCCAACTTCGCCAAGCAAGTGCACTCGCGAACCAAGACGCCCGTGTGTGCTGTTGTGTACATGATAGTGCTGGTCACCCTGATTGCTATCCCCATGTGCTTCAACTATTACGTGGTAAGCCGGGGTGCTCTTCACGTGTGCTGAAGCTTGCAAGCTTGGCAAGATACGGTAGCAGCGGCAGACATCCGTGCATTCCTGCTATAGGGTCGACAAAGCCCGTGAGGGCTGACGAGTTTTGTCGCATGCGCTGTCGTTGCCTGTGTAACGCTCGCTTCGTTTGACATACGGCTATAATGGCCATCCCTGCGGCCCTTTGCCATCACGGCACTTCAATCCTCCGCAAAAAGACATTGTCACGACGCTGTTCGTGCATGGTTCGAGCTTACCTCCGCCCCTTTGTGACCCCACCCATGCAGTTCCTCGCGGTCACCTCCTTTGGGGTTGTTGGCTGCTACATCGCCTACGCGCTGCCCGTGCTGTGCAAGTGAGAAGGGGACCTCACAGGGATGTCGTCCTTAGCACAAGAATAGCCCGTTCATTGTTGCTGTGGGGTCATGCTGGTATGCTGGTGCGGCTAGTGCGGCGGACAGCATTGGGCGCGCAGCACCGTAGGCGTTACTTGATGTGCGGCTGGTCCGGAGGCCCTTAACCAGTGCGCGACATGCAGCTATTTGACGGCCATGTTACCTGCTATTGACAGCGCATCGAGTTGACCCATGGGTCACTAACGAATAGCCGTTACCGCCCACAGGCTCTCCACGGGTCGGCGCTTCTTTCTGCCAGGGCCCTTCTTCCTGGGTCCTCGGCTGTCCTACGTTAACAACGTCATCGCCACGCTCTGGGTGCTCACCGTAACGGTGCTCTTCACACTGCCACAATTCTACCCAATAACGTTGCTCAACCTAAATTGGGCTGCACCTATTCTCATTGCCGCCTTTATGTTCTGTTTTGGATGGTAGGTTGGGGTCTGCTGGGCCGGCGGCAACATGGCAGTGCGCTTTGCATGTTTGCCTGCTGACATGTGACTATCTTGCTGCGCTTTAACAACTACTACAATGCCATCCACGTGTTCCGGTACTTCCAGCCTCCTCCTCCTCCTGCATCCCCAGCCCGGACGCCACCCGCCGAAACACTTGCAAGTCTGCTTTGCCCCGCCCCGCAGGTACTACTTTCCCAAGTACGGCGCTCGCTATTGGTTCCTGGGTGCGTTCGCTGGGCAGTCATGTATGCCTGCAAGCCTGGTGCATGCGCTGCGGCTAATAATAGCCCCTCCCATCCACAACACACGCCACGTGTCAGCCCCCATGGCTGATATGCAACCCCCAAACCCCCTTCTTCTTCTTCTTCGCACAGCCTGACGCGACCGCTTGGGCCCCCTACCTACATGCCTTCCCGCACCCGCACCTCGCCCCGCCCTCGCAGGCCCCCGCGCCAACCTGGGCCAGTTCAAGGACGAGCTCCCCTCCGAGCGAGCGCGCAAGGTAGCGGAGGCGGAAGCGGCAGCGGCAGCAGCGGCCGTAGCAGCAAGCAGGGCAGCACGCGCGGCCGCAGAGGCTACGGAGCTCATGACGCGTGTGGCTAGGGGCTCCTGCGGCGGCAGATCCCCCACTGGCAACGGCCAGAACATCAGCAGACGCAGCTCCCGCCATTCCGGCGGCAAAAGCCGCACGGTCACCCCCTGCGGGACGGGAACGGGCGCCTTGCCAGCGGAGGCCACCACAGCAGCCGCTGCAGTGGCAGTGCTGTGCGGCGTGCCTCCTCCTGCATCACAAGCACCTCAAGGTGAGGACCTGCCTCCCCAAGCGGCTCTCACCAGCAACACGCACACCAGCCTGATGCGGACACCCATCAGCGGAGCCAGCTCAAGACGGCACTCTGCCATGGGCCTCATGTACGGTGCGCCATCCACCAACAGCGGTGCGAACAACATCAACTCATTCCTGCTAGGCATGGGCCCGCGTGCTGCAGATGACTCTGGCGTGAGCACCAGTGGCATCGGAGTGGACGTGGCGTCATCGGAATACCCGTCTTGGGCGGGCGAAGGCAGGACGGAGGGACGGGTGCCCGCGACCGCCAGCAGACGGACCCTGCCTCGCAGTCGCATACACTCTCAGAGCCTCAACATGCAACCGCTGTTCGCTTCAACAGGCGGAACAGGAGGCCTTGATCGCAACTCGGGCCTGAGCCGCGACCGCCTCTCATCACTCCTGATGTTTGGCCCCAGCGGCAGTTCCACGGGGGCCGTTCCGCACCTCCTCATTGGGGAGCCCCTGTTGGATGTGGCCGAAGGCACGGAGGGCGGAGAAGCGCACGAAGGAGTTCTCGACAGCAGCAGCCTGCACACGCGAGCTCGGATACGACGAGCATCTGTGAGTGTGTTGGCGCTGTTGGGTGCCCCGGCTCCTGAGGAGGAAGACGCCACGGTCATGGCGGGTGATGCCGCCGCTTCCGCCCTGCAGCTGCCGCTTCGTGAACGTGCTACCACTGGCCATGCGCCCGCTGCTGCTACGCTAGGTTCGGGGCCTTATCAGGATGACATGCAGTGTCTGGACATGTAAGACTGCTGCTGGGGCGGGTGTGTAAACCGTAAATGTATGACGCACAGGAATGCAAGGAAGGAATGAGCGTTGGCTAGAGTGTTGGATCTGGTAATAGAGTAAAGCGTGTGTGCTTTTCTACGATGGAAGTCGTTCCAGCAGGGGGGTTGCTATGTAATTGTGGAGGCAAGGTGCTTGAAAGGCAGGGTATGTAGGAGATGTGTGGCGGGCTAGGAAGGCGTATGATAGGGGCACGGCGGAACTGTGTAGCACTTGCTTTACCTGCGTGCAGAAAACATCTGGATAACTAGCGCAGACGCTGTACACGAATCCGAGCACTTGCAAGTTTTAAGACACTGCTCCAGTGGCAGCAGCAGCAGGTGTATGGTTAGTTACGTTGCTTTTACTACTTGCGGACAGAAAGCATTGTATGAAACCGTGACCGACCAACTGGGTGTTTGCGTGGCAACTAATAGAAAGAACCCTAAAACACTACTTACGGTATTACATGGGTTGTATAATTTGCTAACGCGCGAAGCACTTGTTTTGCCTGTTGCTTGTAGCGTTTTACGTACAGTAATGATGCGTCTGATGGGTTGATGTATGGTTATGAGGTATTGCAACAAATGTGGATTGGGCTTTACGAAACCTCTGTCGGGTGGCAGAGAGAGCATTCAGCGTCTGGGCCGGTGCTTGCCTGCCTACCTGCTAGCATGGTTGTATCTGCGGCGACGCAGGTGCGTGTGGGCGAGGAATCCATGGGGCCTTTCTTAAAGCTCGTCACTAGGAGCTCCAAGCATGCGTTTTGCGGATTGGGCTTGTTTAAGATACCGGTATGGCGAGATCATTGTAAGCTCGACCAACCAAGGCAATCAGGGATGTTGCTGAGTCAAGGGTTACTAAGAACCGACAATACTGGTGTGTGGGATATGTATTACTCATTCGTTACGACCCGGGGGCATGCAGCGTCGTACATGCCCCCTAACGGCTCTATTGCTTTCACAAATTAGCCGTTGTGCATGAATTGAAGGTTTTTGCCAGGTTCTGCTGTTTGGACGTCGTAGGCTGTACCTTATGACTCTGCAGTGGGATTCCAAGAAGACCCGCATGCATCGCGCTATTCCTGCTTCTCGAGGGTGGTTTCCTGTGTGTGCTTGTTCATTCGTGACTTGTTCATTCGCTACATTCTTTCTCGCTAAATCTGCACTGTTTGCAACGTGCGGTGTGTACGCCGTTGCTGGTGGAGCACTGGAGTTGTGTGTGCAGTCTGCATGTCTGAGGCCCTGGGTGAGGGCGCGTGAGGTGTGGCAGTATAATGTTGGGAGCTGTAACCCTAAACGCCTTATACTTGCTTTTCTGTTGTAAACCCGTTGAGCTCAATCTGCGTTCAGTGGTCATTGCGCATTTCCTGACAGGCTACGAGCAGCAACGTCTAATACAAGATCGGTTGCCAAAAAAACCACCATGGCAGCAACCACGTGCAATAGGCTGTACAGGACCTACCGTACCTGCAGCAAAGACGGAAGAATAACCGTGTGTGCTTCATTAGGCCCCACACCCTACGACTATTGCTCCCCTGGACTGCATGCAAATCGATGAGTCTGACCCCTGGGAGTCCAAGCCTTGCAAATGCAAAACCCTAACTGCCTCGCTTAGAAAAAAAACATGCTTTATAAACGTGCTTTACGAACAGCACACGAACAGCACACCATCGTAATTCACGCGCCCCGTGAACAGCCTAACAATCCGAACAGTACGGCTTCCAGGCTTCCAGGAGCTCCGGTCCCCCTGGTAACACTCGCATCCTAACAATCTAACAATCTGACAGGCTATCGGTGCTCCTAGACCGTCTTTGGCCCCTGCCTTCACTTTACCCTACGGCGATGAAGCCACATGCACATGCGCCGTTTACTGCAACAAGCCCGCAACCTGTTACTGCCCTACCCATTGATGCCCTGCCGCAAAGTGCGAGAACATAAAACTCTGCACGTGGAATGCCCCACAGCGCGTGCCTACCATGCAGAAGGGCACCGCCCGTTCCTCACACTCAGGGAGGGGGTGTATCCCACCTGACGCTTGCTATCACGCAGGCTCCCAACACCTCCCAAAGAGGATTCGGATTTTCGGCAGTTGGGGCCAACTGAAAACTACCAACGCAGCAGCAAGGTAATGTACACGGCCATACCGTACGCGTCTTGGCAGCAGGCTGCACAATATATATGAGCACCGCGATCCACGTAGCCAGGTATTTGGTATCTCTTGTGCGTCCAAGACGTCTATAGAACGTACCTTAGAATCTGCCTACCGCTTGACCCTGACCACCACAATCAACTCGAAAGTACCCCTCTACGCTTCCTACCACACTTGCCCGTTTCATCCCATCCTCGCCTTTCGCTGCTGCTACTGATGCTTCTGCTGCTGCTGGGGCGCACGTTGCATCTGTTGCTGCTGCTGCTGGTTATTGTTGTTATTCCCTCCTCCCCGCCTGCGAGCTCTCCGCAACGCGCTTCCTGACATGCGTTGTCGTCCTTGCTGCTGCTGCTGCTGGTGCTGCTGTTGGTGCTGCTGTTGGTGGTGCTGCTGCTGCCGCTGCTGCTGCATTTGCTGCTGTTGCATTTGCTGCTGCTGTTGCAACAGTGGCTGCCCCACAAACCCCTGTCCTCCACCTTGGCTAGCAAAGCCGCCCGCAGCGGAATGAAGATGCGCATGGTACGGTGGCGGCATTGGCGGCGGCATTGGCGGTGGTAGGTGCCAGTGGCCGCTAGCTATCGCCGCAGCTACCGCCGGGTCGGTGGCTGCTGCGGCTAGCATCTGCTGCTGTTGCAGCGGCGGCGCCAGGGCCAGGGCGGGAAGGAAGAAGGCGTCAAAGGGGTGCATCAGGGATATCAGGGCAGGGTTGTACGGGTTATGCTGCGAAACGGTGGCAGCAGCAGCCGCCTCGGGGGCATCCTGGGCACCATGGGATTGGGTCGCCGGTGAGTTGAGACGGTTGCCGTCGCCGCCGGCACGCCCACCACCGCTGCCGTCGCCGCCGGCACCACCGGTACGCCCACCACCGCTGCCGTCGCCGCCGGCACCACCGGTACGCCCACCACCGTTGCCGTCGCCGCCGGCACCGCCGGCACGATGACGACGACCAACACCACCACCGCCGTCACCGTCGCCGCCGCTGCCGCCAGCAGCGGCAGCGCGACTACCGCCACCGCCACCATTACCGCCGCTAGCAGCAACAGCACCACCACCACCGCCTCCACCTCCGCTGGCAGCTCTTCCCTCTGTTCGCCCTGACGTCGACGACGGTGAGGCAGCCACATCCCGCTTCAGCCGCTTGAGTACCTGCGGCGACAGCTGCCGTCGCTGCTGCTGCTGCTGCTTGGCTGCCGACTTTCCATGCGAGGCAGCACCATCGCTGCCGCCACCACCGGGACTCTGCTCCGGCCCCACAGCAACAGAGCACACCAAAGGTGAGGCCGACGGCGCATGGCGAGTCGCCTCCTCCCCATCGCCCTCAGCGTCTGCGTCAGCATCTGTTATCGCTGACGGCTGCAGCGGCTGCTGCGGCGGCGGCGGCAGCGTCGTCGCCTGTGCCGTACCTTCCAACGGCGCCGCTGACGCCGTCTCCGAGGACAGCAGTTTCTGACGCTTTGCAGCCGTGTGGTCAGACGGGTCCCGCGTCGCACTCCTGTCGCCGTCGGCTGCTGCGCCACCTCCGTGTGCTGACCACTCCCTTCGCTTGCCACCGCCATCGCCTTCCCTGCCTTCCCGACCGCCTACAGCGCCTCCGCCACCTCCGCCTCCGCTTCCACCTCCGCCAGTGCCTTCCCCACCTGCTCCTCCGCCACCTCTACCGCCGCGACCACCGCCGCCATCCTTACACTCACTGTGCCCCACGCGACTGCGCTTCCGCTGCTGCTCTTCACCTTCCTCCTCCTCCTCCTTCTCCGCATGCGAGTGTGAACCCGAATCCTCAGCTGTCAAGTCGATCAACTCCACAGACTGAGCACACACAAGCTGAATCCGCACAGGTGCCCGACACCGCTCCCGCTGCATGGCCGAGGCGGCGGCGGCGACGGCGGCACCGCGCCCTCCGGCAACAGCCCTGGAAACGGAACCCTCTGCAGCCTCCCCGGCAGCGTCGCTCGCGGCAGCCGTACCGGTGATTGCGGATGCAGGCTCACCTACCGTGGATGCAGCCGCTCGTACCGCCGCCGCCGCCGCCGTCGTCATTGTTGTTGCAGTAACGGCTGGCGGGGTTGCGGCTGTGGCGGGCGGTTGGGCAGCAGCAGCAGCCGAGGGCAATGGCTGCGGTGGCGGCGCTTCCGCGGATAAAATGCTACCGGTAGGCGCCGACATGAGATGACTTGGCGGAGGAATGGGGTGCCGTGAGATGTGTAGCGGCGCTCTAGGAAGCGGCGATCGTGGCAGTAACTGACCGGAACGTGGAGAGCACTCGTGAGCAGCAGCACCGCCCTCAGACTTCGGGGCTACAGGCGACACAGCGTCAACCTTGCCGCCTCCGCCTCCGCTGCTGCCTCGATCTCCGCGATCACGGCCACCGCCGCCGCCGCCGCCGCTGCCTCCTCTATCGCTGTAGCCGCCGCCGCCGCCGCTGGATCGATAAGCGCCTCTGCTGCCGTCGTGACTGATGTCGTGACTGAAATCCTCGCGACCGCGTTTCCATTCACCCGACGATCGCTCCCGGCGCCGCGGCGACCTTTCGACTTCCCTGCCACGGCCGCGGCCCTCCTCTACGCGCCTCTCTCTGCCCGCCCCAGTTTCCCGCCCCTCACATCCACCTTCCCAACCGTCTCGCCCACTGCTTCTTCCATCACTTCTTCCATCACGCCCGCTGCTCCTTCCGTACCCTCTGCCCCTTTCCTCTCGTTCCCCGTCCCTTCCATTGCCTCTCCCTCCGGGCAGCTCTCGCTCTCCGCCTCTCCCCGCCCTTTTGCCTCCTCTGCCGTCCAACCCTCCTCTTTCCTCCCGTTCGCCACCTCTTCCCTCTCGACCTCCACCCCTTGCGGTCCCTCCGCCCTCCTCACTTTGCCGCTGTCCGCCTCCCTCTATTCGCCGCTCTCCGCTCCTCCCTTCCCGTTCCCCGCCTCTCCCTTCTCGCTCCTCGCCTCTTGCCTCCCTCTCTCCGGCCCTTCCTTCCCGCTCCCCGCCTCTTGCCTCCCTCTCTGCCCCTCCGCTAACACTCCCAAGCCTGCCTGGCTGCTGCTGCTGCTGATCCTCCGGCGAGTGCTGCCGACTCCTCCGCGGCGACGTCCGCTCCTCCCTCTCCTCCGGCGCCGTCGGCAGCGCCGGCGGCGACCACTCTATCCGCTGCCTACCTGCGCCCTTGCAGGCGGCAGATGCCGGGGACGGCTCGCCCGCCGCTGCCGCCGCCGCTCCGTCTCCCTCTCCCTGTACGGCAGCGCCCTTCGCCGCCTCCACCACCAAACCGATTCCATCGCCGGTCGCCGCTGTGACCCCGCCCGCAGCCCCCGGCTGTGTGGCCGACATCGCTACTGCTACTGCTACTACTGCTGCTGCCTTAGGCCCCCCGCTGCCACCGCTTGTCGTCTCCTGCTGGGCTGTTGTCTGCTGGGCCGCCCCGCCAGCTGCCGCATGCGCGCCAGCGGCGGCATTCTCCGCAGGCGCCGCAGCGGCTGCAGCGCCATCTGCTGCTGCTGCTGCTGCTGCTGATTGTGATGGTGAGCGCGCATGTGGCGGGGCTTCGGGAGTTGATGCTGCCGCGGCGGCGGCGGCGGTGGTGTCCGCGAGGGGCTCTGCTGAGGTCGACGGCAGCGAGGGTGGGGGCAGCGAGGGTGTTACGGCGGTAACAGGGATGGCGGCGGGGGCCGATGAGGCATCCGGGCGTGGTGGTTGTGTAGGTGGGGACCGCACAGCCGGTGGCTGCGCATGCGGCTCTGCATGGACACTCGCACCGTCAGCGCCGCCTGATTGGGGCGGTCCTGGGCGGGGTTGGAGGTCTGGGGTGGCAGCCAATGCAGCGGCAGGAGGCCCCTCCACAGCCGCGACCGTGTCCCGACCTTGTTTGTCGGCTTCTCGTGCCCGCTGTGTCTGAGGGAGTGATGATGCCAGGTGGAGCGGTGCAGGTGCTGCTCCGCCAGCCGTGTCTGGTGCGGCCCGCTCGGGATTGGCAGGGCGGGAAGCACCGACCTGCTGCTGCTGAGCCTGCGAGGGCTGAGCTGCAGGCGGAGGGACCTCCTCCTCCGCCCGGTCGCTGCCGCCTGCGCTGCTGGTGATGATGTTGCTGCTCCGTTCGGCTGCTGTTGGCCCCTTGTTAGCCTCACCAGCAGGCTGTGAAGACGTACTTCCTTCCTGCTGTTCGTGCTGCTGCTGCTGCTGGTGCTCTTGCTCCGGCCCTTCCCGTT